GTCGACCGCTTGTTTCTCTAGTTATACAAACTAGAATTCAAAATCTTTTTGTTTGTATGTCATTTAAGATTTTATATAATTTGCAAATAAAAAGTTAAAGTTCAAACAAACAATAAAAAAAAGATCCATTTGTGGTTTAATTCATGCATGAGAGGATGAAAATGATTGAAAATCAGGTTTTTACTTTTACTTGGAGGGAAAGTGCTGCAGTGTGCAGGAATGATGTGAGATTAGCTCCCTCTTGTGGTCATCAATGTAAACTGAAGTTCCAGGTTCACTGTAGACCACAGAGAAGAGATTATCAGCACCGTATTCTTCACTTTGCATCAATCTTTGAATTACTAAGAGTAACAGAGACCGTCCCCCCCCTCAGGTCAGTGTCCAGCCGGTCATTTCTCAGCTGACGGTTTTCGTCCGTGTCAGTCCTGTCCTCTGGGCTCCTACCAGCCGGAGCCGGGTCGGGTCCTCTGCTTCCCCTGTGGAGGAGGTCTGATGACCAAATATGAAGGATCAGTCTCCTTCAGGGACTGTGAGGCCAAAGGTGAGAAGTTCTGATGGTTCCGGTTTTATCGTCACACACTTGACGTTTATTTAAGAGGAGCTGTTAGCAGAGATTTATGAACGAGGTTTTTAACTTTCACTTTAAGTTTTATCTCTCTGCTGTCGCGGTGAACATTAGTCTGAAGGCTCACACAGCAGCGATGAAGAACAGCCTCGCCGAGCTGCCGACCAGCCTGTAAACTCTTCATCTTCCTCAGTACTCCGCAGACTGCTGACTGTCTTCTGAGTAACTGGATGTTTTTATCTGTATGTTAATTCTGACATTTACAAAGAGACGAGGCGTTTGTCAGCGGTTTCATCGTTAATGTCATCGTAAAGGATTTCGCAGATGTGTGTGAGACGGAAATCTGCACAATAAAGTCATCTATACGAGGCTGTTTATGCTTTGTTTATCCGCCTGAGTAAAACCACAGCTGTGCGATGCATCTTGAAGACGCTCGGCTGTTTATCTCCGTTGGGTCTAAACTGGAGTCTGTTTCTCCTCAGTGCACTGCGCTCCAGGACATTACTACAACTCCAGCACTCACCGCTGCATCCGCTGTCCTGTGGGAACCTACCAGTCTGAGTTTGGACAGAATTACTGCATCACCTGCCCCGGAAACACCACCACCGACTTTGATGGAGCCACCAACGTCTCCCACTGCAAAAGTAAGAACAAACAAAAAAACCTGCTCCTAATTAAGTTATACCCCCATCCAGAGTGGTGCTGCAGACCTCCGAGACCTCAGAGAGGGTTCTGGTCTGACTGGAGTCAGGTCTGTTCAAACGTTCCTGTCGTTTTCTCCTCAGATCAGCTGTGCGGGGGTGAGCTGGGCGAATACACCGGTTATATCGAGTCACCTAACTACCCTGGAGATTATCCATCGAACGTGGACTGTGTCTGGACCATCAACCCGCCACACAAGAGGCGGATCCTCATCGTGGTACCAGAGATCTTCCTCCCCATCGAGGATGAGTGTGGAGACGTGTTGGTCATGAGGAAGAGCGGTGAATAAACATTTCGAAATCTGCAGATTTGAAGCCTTTCCTGTTTGTCAGACAGTTTTTATTCTGTAGTTCCTCCTCCTCTTGTACCCCTCTGTCATGTGGCGTCCCCCAGGGCGCCATCTTGGATCCTCTATTACTCACTGATACTCGCTAACACTGAGGCAAAAACACATGTAGGCATGGTAACGGCTTTCACAGCTATGTAGATGACACTCAGCTAAAACCTGGCACCACTGTTTTTAAAGCCTTAAATGGCTCCGCCCCTTATTCTCATGGTTCCTGGAATTAGATTTTGCTTTAAAACAAGTTTTTAAAGTAAGTATTATTTGTCTTTTTGCAGCTCTTTCCACCTCCATCACCACGTATGAGACGTGTCAGACGTACGAGCGGCCAATCGCCTTCACCTCGCGCTCTCGCAAACTCTGGATCCAGTTCAAGTCCAACGAGGGCAACAGTGGCAAAGGGTTCCAGGTTCCTTATGTCACCTATGATGGTGAGTGATCATCAACACACTGAGTGAACTCTTACACAGAGGTGTTATGAACTTAAATCCTGTCGTGTTTCAGAGGACTACCAGCAGCTGATAGAGGACATAGTGAGAGACGGCCGACTCTACGCCTCTGAGAACCACCAGGAGATACTGAAGGTACTGAATACAGAGAACTGTCACTGCAACACGGTAATTACAAGAAACCTCGAGACCATTTGAAAAAGAAAAGAACAAGAAAAAGTATTTATAAGATTTATTGCAGGAGCAGCAGTAGAAGATTATTTGATGGTTCACTCGACAGTTAAAAGAAAATAGAATTAGATTTTTTTTTTTAATTGTCGGAAAACATTCAAACATTAGAAAGAGGTGAATTCCTCTGATTCCGAAGCTAAATTTGAGCATCATCTGCATAAAAGCTGAAATTGTTAGATGTCCAAGATTAGAGCCCTGAGGAACTGCACACACAGCAGCTCTACAGGTGTCGTTTTAATACAAGCTCATTACTCCAGGTAAAGATAAAGATCCCTCCAACAGTCCTATTCTGCGGGTAAAGGCGTATCAGAACGAGGACAGCCCATTTTATAAAGTATCCTGCACTCACGCACGCCAAACTCTTGGTTTCCCCTTCAGGACAAGAAGCTCATAAAGGCCCTATTTGACGTCCTGGCTCATCCCCAGAACTACTTCAAGTACACAGCACAGGAGTCCAAAGAGATGTTCCCTCGCTCCTTCATCAAGCTGCTGCGCTCCAAAGTCACCAGGTTCCTACGGCCGTACAAATAGGATGGAGAAGATCCCTCCAGCCCCCGTCATCCTGCGTCATTCCAAATCCAGCAACCTAAATGTAACCCCCTCCCTCACCTGTTCCCCCTCCGCCCAGGTCAACACGTTCATGTACCTGCTCTGTGACTGATCACCTCCTTTTCCTGTATTTGTCACATGATGCCTTCCCCCGTCTGTAACTAAAATACGTGGTTTACTCAGACCCCTCTCTGCGGCGAGCGCAGCTTCTCTAAGGTTTGACTGATACAAAATTTGAAGGCCAGGAAGTTCTTAGAAACTTCTGCAGACATAAATATTGTGTATATATTGTTTTTTTTTTGACCATTTTATACAAAGTTTGCTTTATCTCAGTATCAGTGTCAGCCCCTTATTGGTCCAGAAAAGTGGTCAAAACTATGATTGTAAGTTTTTGTAAGTCACCAAAAGGACCCCAGGGGGCGTCCACAGCGACTGCCTGGTTGGATGAAACCAGCTCTCCCCTGACCTGGTTGTAACCACATATAATCGGGAATATGAGCGTGCACTTCCTGTCTTATGTGATTTAAGGGATATTCCGGCGTAAAATTGAGTTAGGATCAGACACACCGTAACACCGAGTTAGACACTACCTAGAGAGATGAATGTTGTCGACCGCTTGCTTCTCTAGTTAGACCAACTTTAGTAACAACCGCAGGATAGTAATACAGAGAGCCACGCCCTCAACCAAAATGCCACTCTATAGCCACAAATAATGCTCAGAACAGCACCTAACTTCATCAACAGGACATATAGGGTCACAGACATAGTACTAGACACCAAACATCTTTTTAACTTTGACTCATTTCTTTAGCAAAGAGACTAAACACAACTCACCTACTCTCTTCCAGCAGACGCTTGTTTATAGGGGGACTGCAGGCCAGTTAATTACGGACTACAGCGGGGTGCCGCAGCTCAAGGAAGAACATTTATAACCATTTCTTTATCATTTTATTGAAGTAATAATCATCATATTAATCATTTTACAGACGCGGTAGTTCTTCTGTCTTAGCGTCTCGGTCTGATTGTATTTCCATGAAGAAATGATCAGAAATGTTCTTCCTTGAGCTGCGGCACCCCGCTGTAGTCTGTAATGGACTGGCCTGAGGTCTCACTACAAACAAGAGTGGCGTTTTGGTTGAGGGCGTGGCTCTCTGTATCACTATCCTGCGGTCGTTACTAAAGTTGATATAACTAGAGAAGCAAGCGGTTGGCAACATTCATCTCTGGAGGGGGGGTCTAACTCTGTGTTACGGTGTGTTTGACCCTAACTTAATTTTACGCCGGAATACCCCTTTAAAAGTGCTTCTTAAAGGGCCAGTATCATCAAACGGGAATATCGGTCAAACCTTACTCCTGCACTTCATCGTCGTCTCCTCCAACCATTCCTGGATCTCTGCACTTTCATTAACCTCCTCTTCCTCTTCCTCTTCCTCTTCCTGCTTTTTTTTCTTCGTTGTTGTTTTGTTTTTGTAATATTTATACTGAACATGTCAGAACTTGCAGAGGCCCTCGTCGCAGAAATTTGTGTGGACATGCATGATGTGTTAGGATGTATCGGCCCACACCGTGTTAGAGGATTTGGTATCGCCCCCCCCCCCCCGATGTGCACGAGACAAAGCAGAGGGAAGAGTTGGTGCACTTAAAAAGATTTGAAAGAATTGTTGAGGCGGGGTGGTTTCATCCCTTGGAGCACAGGGGAGATAAAAAAAAAAATGGGGTGAATCACAAAGTCTATATTGTAATTTTTTTTAAATAATAAAAAAAAAAGATATATAACAAGATGAGATAAACTACCTGCAAGTAACAGAGTGTTACTTTAGAGAGAAATGTTTGTGATGTAACTAATATTTGGAACTTTAATTGCACTTGAATTTTATATTTTAAACTGTAGGACAAAGTTACGTATGTTTCCTTTTTTGTGTTGTTTTGAAATGTGCCACACGAAAGTCAGCTGCGTCTCCTGTTAGCGCTCCCGCTCCGTAGCTCTCGGTTAACCCCCACGTCTCCTCCGTTTTAGTAGCTTTGAGCCCCGTTTGCACACACGGCGAGGAAGCTTTTAAGCTTTCTCCGGTTTCTCCGAAAAAGAGAGACGGTGTTTGTTTGTTGTTTTTTTTTAAACTAATGCGCACAGAGGATCAGAGAGACAGACAGAGAACCGCCACTACAGCAGCGTGTCTGTGTTTTCACTGCCCAGTCCTGCTTCATCCCTCGAACATCGCTGCCAGAGAGAAGAAGCGTCCGCGTAACGGCTTCTTGAATGATGGCATTATACATACATTACATACTACCACAGTATACGCCTGAAAAACTACTCGTGATATTAGCGCGCACTACCATGCAATCTCTTTAAACAGAAGTGTAGTGTGTATACTATGCTTTCTTATAACCCAACTTAGTGTTTCTGTGTCATTCCCAGTGGTACTAATATGTCTATGAAATCCTACAAGACGGACTCTGTATCTGCACACGCGAGAGGAGTTGGAAATACGTACAGTGTAGAGCAGGGAGGGTGTAAGACGGTGTGACTGGAGTGTTGGTCTGGAGGTGAATGTAGAGGCAGGGACACGGTCAGAGCGAGAGGCTTCTCCTATCTGAGTGTCTGAGTCTGTAGCACTTGCTGCTTCATCTGTGTGTTGTGTTTTTGAGAATAGGAAAAGAAACGACCCCGGCAGACTGATCAAGTCCCAGTTTGGTGTCAAAACTCATCCAGAAACTCGAAGTGTCGTCGTCCAACGATGCCGAGCACGAGGAAGCGTCAGTGTCGATTTAGACCCTCGTTTAAACGCATTTAGTGAGAATACAGAAGGACCATACTGGAGGCTCTGCCGGTTTCAGCCTGTTTAATCCAAACATGGTTAGTTATTCATATTTTCAGTGTCGCCTTCACTCCGACATCATTTACAGAGGGGGTGAGCTAACCGGCCTCCCTGTTTATCTGCTCATGCAGGACCAGGTTTCAGCTCAAGTGCTCCAGTTTTCTCGTGTCGTACGTTTGCAGGTTCACAGTCAGTATGGAGAGCAAAAGCAGGCGTGACGACGACTTTTCTCTCTATAAATAGACTGTAGAGACCAGTAGACCGTAGACTGTATATACTGTGGACGACTTGGCTTCCAGGATTTTCTCCACTTCCTGGAACAACCCCTTTGCAGTAGCGTTGTGCTCATTCGGCGGGAGAGTCGCTGTGATGACGCGCGGCTCAAACAGCTACACAATCTCTGTCCTCCCATTGGCTGTTTCAGGTGTCAATCATAGAAAACATGAACCCCCTGATAACTTTTAAAAATGGAGCTGTACAGAAAAAAGAGGACTTGAGCTCAAACCAGTCTGACAGTAACTACATGTCAACATCACAACCAGGGGAGAGAAACATTTATATTCTGTGTCATTCATTTATAAAGTTTGTCCACAGCTCCATAAGGAGGCGGGGTTTATGAGCTATACTGCAGCCCGTCACCAGAGGGTGCTGTTCTCGCTATGGCTTCACCCAGAGAGGAGGCAGACGGCGTCCATTCTTTATACAGTCGATGGTAGAAAACCGTCTCCAGATCAACCGTTTACACTGACACTGCGATGAAATCCAACAAGTGTTGAGATTTACTGACTCGCCTGAATGCATCAAAAAAATCTGATCTGAAGAAACTTTCTATAAGTTTACTTCCCCTGGAAAGGTTGTTACCGAGGTAACCTTAAACCACGCCTCCTTTTTCCTTTTAATGTGATTGGATAAGAGGCTGAGGCAGGGAGAGCAGCAGCAAAGACAGAAAAACAGATATCGATATTTGATGACGTGACTGAGGCGAGTAAAACCTCGAGTATGGTCCTTTTTCAGCACTGAGCTTCTTTTTACAAGATTAGATACTAAAATCGTCTTTTTACGAAAAGTGTTTGGCCGATAATCACGACTTTATGACCAGCAGGGAGTCCACTGGATCATGAGAAACAAACAGCTGCCACATGGACCCCTCATGGTTCTGCCTACTTCCTGTTTGAAGTGGGCGCTGTTCAATATGAGAGATGAGAAAAATGCTGAAATGCTCTAAAATTTATAATTGACTGTTTTTTTTTTCTTCCTGAGAATGTATTCTATTGTGAAAGGGTGTGTGTACGAGCCTGTGTGCAGTGAGAGTGTGTGTTTCTGTGTGTGTGTGTGTGTGTGTGTGAGGTGCCTGTGATAGAGAACGAGACTGTGTGTGTTTGTACTTTAGTCCAATTTGTAGAGGAATAATTTTAACGTTTGTGTTAGTCGGTTGTACCCAAAGAGAGAAAGTGTAACACAGTGTTGTGCCGTTGTTTGGTCCATGAAACTCCAGTACTGAACAGATTCAATAAAACTGTAGCAGAAAACCGACCCGGCTCCTCTGTGTCTCTGTGAAAGTCGATGAAGAAGAGCGTCCTCTATCTGCTGGATCTCTTATCTCGCCTCAGATTTCGCTTCACGCATGTCATCACGCTCAACCAGCCCGGGAGACACTTCTGGAAAATTCAGCTGACGCCGCTAATATCCGTGTTATCTTTAAGGCAGCAGATCTGAGAGATACGCCGGAAACAATCAGCGTCAAACACGCCCTGACTATGTTAGCATTAATGTTCTGTCTTCATCTAAAACCAGGAAGAGTTGATGACGTTGGCGCCTCCTCAATCTGTCACCTGATTGGACAATAAAGGGTAAACAAACCCACCTGGACGTCACCTCAAAGATGTCACATTATGCAAAGTTAAAGAAGTTAAAGACTGTTTTTCTCAGACTTTGCCTGTCGCCCCCTGATGGCCGGAATAAGAAATAGCTACTTATGTTTTCAGACTCACAGTTTGAGCATTTTGACAAGATTAATCGAACGAATTCATGCAATCAATGTCTTTATTTAAACATGTAAATTTAGGAAAAAGATGACAAACATCCACAAATTAAAGTTGTAATTTTAAAAACACTAAAATCATAAATTCACAGTTGTAGATTTTTAAGATTACAGTCTTAAATGTAAAAAAAAATTGAGTTATTTTTCATCATAAATGTGTTGAAAATAAATCAACAAGAATCTAAATATATATATCTATGCACACAGTCCTTTCTTTTAATAAAAATAATTAATAAAACGTCTTTTTTATGACTTTTACATGCATAACCCATGTTTTAAAAAGGCTAATTGAATAATATAGTCTGAAGAGAGGGAATTGAAAGGTATAATTTGCACTAAAAGTCAGTTTAGAAATGTCCTACGTTGTCGACAGTTACTCATAGTTGACATATATGACGGCCAGAGGCGAACACATCATTCCCCATTGACTCTTGTTACAACTTTGACATGTGCAGTTCTGGACGACTGCAACTCTTTGTTCACACGTCTGAACCAACAGAGTTTACACAAGTTACAGCTGGTCCTGAATGCAGCAGCTCACCTCCGAACTAGAACCAGAACCAGAGATCATAGAACTCCTATTTCAGCTTCACTTCATCGGCTCCTGGTAAGTTTTAGAATTGATTTTTAATATTCAGATCCATCCAATAACATCATTAATATCCATTTGATTATTAGTAAGAACTAAACTGAGACAGCTGTTAGAATATAGATTTCTTTATTGAGTTCATGTTTCATAAACGTCCTTACATCAATTCTTACACCTGTATTACTCCTCTTGAATTTTTCACCCTTCTTTTTTCATTCATTGTGATTTTTCTCTTTGATTTGAGTTGTAATGATTTCTAAAGCAGGTTTGTTGGTTAAGAGGTGACGTTCACTTTCTCTTCTGTTTACAGTCTGCTGCTCCGGCTCCAGATTTTCATGTTTTCTGTCTTCACTTCTTTCTAATCCTCCTCTCAGCTTGGCTCTGATTTTTCTGTGTGTGTGTGTGAACCAGCCTGCAGTCTCATGAGGACATGACCTTATCAGTTTAAACACAGGTATGAACACCTGTGCAGGTGAAGAAGAGTTTCAGGAGTCTGACTGTTCAGACAAACTTTCTGATCAATACAGTGAAGAAAAATGTGCTGAATGAGGCGGATTTTTCCCCCATAGAGACAGAAATCAGTCCAGTTCAGTGAGCCAGTTTGACATGGAGTCCTGCTCTTTGATAACAGACATTCAGACTGATGTGACAGGATACAAACAGTCAGATAATCAGCTGAAGTTTGTGTTAGTGCAGAGGGTCGACTGTTCTTCAGCTGCTGTTTGTGTAGAGAGGAGGAGACTCTCCCTCCTACACAGAACACAAACTCACTGAGGAACCAGACCAGATCCCAAACCCAGGATAGAGAGGTTGAGTGAAGGTGGTGTTGAAGGTGTGGAGGTGGATCAGTGTGTCAGAGGAGACGCTGTAGAAGGACAGAGTGCCAGCAGGACAGTCCACATACACTGCTACTCTGTGAGAGACAGAGGACGAGGGGAGACCGAGGACTGTTTCTATGTTATTGTGATGGACAGAGTAACCTCCATCAGAGCAGATCAGACTCCAGGACTGATCATTAGATCCAAACAGACAGGCAGGACTGTTTCCTTTCCTTCTGATTCCTCTGTAACTCACTGATATATGAACCTCTCCTCTCCACTCGACCTCCCAGTAACAGCGACCAGTCAGACCATCTCTACACAGAAGCTGAGGCCAGTAGTCAAATCTGTCTGGATGATCAGGATATGACTGATGCTCTAACACACATGTCACCTCCCTGTTGTTTTCAGACAGTCTGAGGCGTCTGTTTACTGTGTTTGAGTCCAGTGTGAGTTCACAGAAATCTGACAGAGAGAAAAAGACACAACACAGCAGCAGGTTATCATCAGACACACCTGAAGGCTTTCTTCTTTGTTAGCTGACAGTCTGCTGTTTGGTCATCAGGAGTCAAACTGATTCAACACTTACACTTCTTCAGACCAGGTTTTAACCTCTGCTCTCCACCATGGTCCACCCTGGAGGAAGAAACACAGTCAGAATGATTGAGTGTCCAACATGAGTCCTACCTGCTGTCCAACATGAAGCAGAGTTCCTCAGTTTGTCCCTGTGACAGAGAAACAGGCTGAAACTCATCTGAGCCAACAGTCTCCATCACTCTGTCACTTTTTCTGAGTCTTTCTGACAGAAACTCACAGAAAAACAACAAGATTCAAAGAGCAAAGGCTGGCTGTTGGTCTGTCCTACAACATGGAGACTTGATTTGGACCCTTTGGAAAAAGACCTTCATTTCTTCTTTTAGGACAGCTGTCCACACTTTGGTCTAAAAGCTCCTTCTAAATAGACTTGAAAGCTTGTCTGCAGATAGAGAGATGAAGTAGTGGGCTCTCTTCTTCTAAATATGAATGAAGATGAAATGAAAGCTCTCAGATGAACTCATGTGAGTGTGTGAGGCTCTTCTTGGATCATTCAGAGTCAGCTAGAGCAGAGGGAGTAGGAGCATCACACCTGGAACAGCAGGTGGATTTCCTGCAGTTTGGGATGGACAGGAAGTGGAGCAAAGTCAGTGCATGTCCTCAAACAGCCCCTCAGCTTACCTGATCATGACTGACAGGTCTGCTGCTGCTCTCACTGAATGTAGCTGTGCCAGTAAAGCAGTAGAGCTCAGCTGATGAAGCTCAATGAAGACTATCTGATCTCCTTTGAACCCACTTCTGCAGCCAGGACTTTGAGTCCATGTTTCTGACTGAGGGTGGATGTATGAAGGAGGTGTTTCTCTGTAGCTCTGAGGGTTTGTTTGATGGCTCACCAAACAACTTGAACTTCAAATATGAGCCTATCTCTCTCCTGATCATCTCTGTTTTTAGTCTGTGTGTCTGTTCATCAATCAGGGAGCTGAGAAATGACCACAGAGTCACAATATCCAGGTTTGGACCTCTTTCTACCTGGAACACTGGATAAGGTCTATTCTTCCTCATCCTCCATCATCTTCACCTCCCTGCAGACACCTGCATGTAATAGGCCAGGTTATAACCAATCAGAGAGCTTGTTTCATGGCTCATCTGCATTGTTGTACCTGGTTTTACCAGCTCAAGGCCCAAAGTGTGAGGGAAGGAAAAATGGAGAGGAGGAACGGAAAGATAAAAGACTTCGATAATCGATTAGCTAACAGGAAAAGGAAAAGCAGACAGGAAATGGAAATAAAAAGAGGAATTGTCCTTTAAATGTCTGATTAAAAGCTGTATTCTTACTTCAGATTGTCAATTCACTTCTTTATTTCTCTTTTTTAAAACTTCATTTTTCAGACTGATTTTTAAACTATTGATTAGGGAATACATTCATGTTTTTTTAACCCTCGGTTCCTCCTCTGTCCGTTTTGAGGACATTTGTCTTTTTTTTTTATCTTTATTTTGAGCTGACAGTCACATTTTTAAAGATTGGAGCATCAAATTTGGTGACAGTTCTTATTTTTCTTCATATTAAAAAAAAAACTCAGTGTCACCTGTAGTTCTCTGTCATTTTAGCTCCACCCACCCTCCTTTGTCCACAAATCGGCCAATAGACTTCCATTAAAAACAGTTTTTTTTGAGCGTGTGTTTACGGCTCCATAACAACATATTACAACCTTTTTTCTGCAGTCAGTCGATCAGCAGGGCTCTAAATTTGACTTTCCCACAGTGAGACAACAGACTGAGCCACACATCATTTTAACCCCTTCAGAGCCGCTGAGCACGCAAGTCTTCATTCATGGACTGAGAGTGTTTGAAGATTCATCCACTAAACATCATCAGAAATGAAGGAAACTTTACATGACTCTAGATATGGATGTCTAAGAGTGGGATATGTGTGGAAGGAGAAGTTTGTGTGCTCCTGCGTGTGTGCACGGGTGAGAATCTGCGTCCATGTTTATAACCAGGCATGACGTGAGTTTTTACGGTCGAAAATCTGACGTCCAAGTTCTTCAGTGTGGGACAAAGAGAGGGGGACATTTGGACAATTTCAACTTTGTCCTCACTTCAGAGTAAGTGGATGGACATGCATGAGGATGAACAGGTCCTTCAGATCATTAGGGGAGAAGATATCACATCTCAAATATGCAGTTATTTTTATATCAGAGTAATCACGGTCATATTTTGGTTAGAGGAGGATAAACACTTATAAATGATTCCTGTCTTACATATATCTTCAGATTTTATATGCCGATATATAAAATTAATTTAATATGAAAAAATTAATTTGATTGCATTTGATTTGGTAGAGGACGAGGCTCGAGAAAAGGAGGTGAAAATGACGTTTTTCCGCTCCAATACTGAACGGATTGAACGGGTCATTTAGGGGGGGAGAACTAGTTCATTTCGTTCATCAAAAAGAACTAGTTCTTTTGATCCGTTCGTTCAAGACCGACACACCACTAGATTTGTTCATGGATGAACTCATGAATTTGGAAACCACTTTATGAATTCCTGTTTTACTAGTACAATAACTTTTTCAATTAAAAATACTTTATTTTAATTTCAGCGACCCTTGCGGTCCTCCATAAAGAGCATTTAAAAATGGTTCTTTATTTATATATATACATAAATATAGACCACTGACATCAAGACAAGAAAGCTCTTCAAAATACTCAAATGGAGGTTTTCACCCTAAATCCAGAACCCTGAGGGTCTACAGGGTCTACAGGAAGGAGGGAGGCTGAGAACTAGTGAGCATCAGAGCTACTATCCAGGATAAACATATCCAAGAGTCCTTCAGAAAGATGGTCCACAATGATGACCTGCTAAGTGAAGACCTCAGGAAGAAGAAACCAAATATATCTGTAGTTGTGTGTGACCCAGTAACTGTCTGGTTATACCTCAGTGTATCCAGTCTCCATAGAGGATCCTCCAGTCCAGCAGAAAGCAGTTTTACTCCTGAGTCTCCTGGATGATTGTAGCTCAGGTCCAGCTCTCTCAGGTGTGAGGGGTTGGAGCTCAGAGCTGAGGCCAGAGAAGCACAACCTTTTTCTGTGATCAGACAGCATGATAACCTGGAGTCAGAAAAATATATGAAACAAGGAAAAATGTACCAACTTGAGACAATTTCATTCAAACAACTACAAAACTGAATCAGCATAAAACCTGACCTGAGAGTTTCCAGTTTACAGTGAGCACTCTTCAGTCCAGCAGACAGCAGCTTCACTCCTGAATCCTGCAGGTCATTGTGACTCAGGTCCAGCTCTCTCAGACTGGAGGACTGGGAGCTGAGGACTGAGGACAGAGCTTCACAGCTTCTCTCTGACAGGTTACATCCACTCAGCCTGTAGAAGAGTCAGTGATTAGCACAGACACAAAGTTTCATGAACAATAATGTTTCATCTCTCATGTGTCCACCTACAGAGCTTTGGTGGAGGCTTTGACCACTGGCAGCAGCCTCAGAAGACCCTCCTCTGAAGCAGAGTATTTCTTCAGGTCAAACACGTCCAGATCTTTTTCTGATGACAGTAAGATGAAGACCAGAGCTGACCACTGAGCAGGAGACAGTTTCTTTGTGGAGAGACGTCCTGATCTCAGGGACTGTTGGATCTCCTCCACTAGAGAACGATCATTCAGTTCATTCAGACAGTGGAACAGATTGATGCTTTTCTCTGCAGACAGATCCTTACGGAACTTCTTCTTGATGTACTGGACTGTTTTCTGATTGGTCTGTGAGCTACTTCCTGTGTGTGTCAGCAGACCTCTCAGGAGATTCTGATTGGTTTGCAGAGAAAGACCCAGGAGGAAACGTAGAAATAAATCCAGGTGTCCGTTCAGACTCTGTAAGGCCTGGTCTACAGCACTCTGATGGAGATGTTTCAGTTTTGATTTGACACTGAAGATTTTAGAGATTGAAGATGTTGTTTGTTGTTCTTCTTCCATCAGGTTGACTCCAGAGTTGGTGAAGGTCAGGTGGACATGAAGAGCAGCCAGAAACTCCTGAACACTCAGATGGATGAAGCAGAACACCTTGTCCTGGTACAGTCCTCTCTCCTCTCTGAAGATCTGTGTGAACACTCCTGAGTACACTGAGGCTGCTCTGATATCCATGCCACACTGAGTCAGGTCTGATTCATAGAAGATCAGGTTTCCTTTCTGCAGCTGCTCAAAAGCCAGTTTTCCCAGAGACTCAATCATCTTCCTGCTCTCTGGACTCCAGTGAGGATCAGTCTCAGCTCCTCCATCATACTTGATGTTCTTCAGTTTGGACTGAACCACCAGGAAGTGGATGTACATCTGAGTCAGGGTCTTGGGCAGCTCTCCACCCTCTCTGGTCTTCAGCAGATCCTCCAGAACTGTAGAAGTGATCCAGCAGAAGACCGGGATGTGGCACATGATGTGGAGGCTTCTGGATTTCTTGATGTGGGAGATGATTCTTCTGGCCTGCTCCTCATCTCTGAATCTCTTCCTGAAGTACTCCTCCTTCTGAGGGTCAGTGAACCCTCTGACCTCTGTCACCATGTCAACACACTCAGGAGGGATCTGATTGGCTGCTGCAGGTCTTGTGGTTATCCAGAGGCGAGCAGAGGGAAGCAGGTTCCCCCTGATGAGGTTTGTCAGCAGCACATCCACTGAGCTGGACTCTGTAACATCAGTCAGCACCTGATTGTTGTGGAAGTCCAGAGGAAGTCGACACTCATCCAGACCGTCAAAGATGAACACGACCCTGAAGTGTTGAAAGCTGCAGATTCCTGCTTCTTTGGTTTGAGTGAAGAAGTGATGAACAAGTCCCACCAAGCTGAACTTCTTCTCTTTCAGCACATTCAGCTCTCTGAAGGTGAATGGAAATGTGAAGTGGATGTCCTGGTTGTCTTTGTCTTCAGCCCAGTCCAGAGTCCACTTCTGTGTTAAGACGGTTTTCCCAATGCCAGCCACTCCCTTTGTCATCACTGTTCTGATTGGTTCCTGTCTTCCAGGTGAGCCTTTAAAGATGTCTTCTTGTCTGATGGTTGTTTCTGGTCGCTCTGCTCTCCTGGATGCTGATTCAATCTGTCTGACCTCATGTTCATCGTTGACCTCTCCAGTCCCTCCCTCTGTGATGTAGAGGTCTGTGTAGATCTGGTTCAGAAAGGTTGGGTTTCCTGCTTTAGCAACCCCCTCAAACACACACTGGAACTTCTCCTTCAGGTTGGACTTGAGTTTGTGTGGGCACTCTGCAGCAGCAGATCCTGAATGAACAAAGAGAAATGTGATGAATCATCTGAAGCTACAATCAGTCTGATGAATTTACACTTGAAGACATCAGGATGGATTTGATTTCCCTCCTCTCTGAAATCTCTTCAGCTCATCAGCTGTGATCAGTTTCTCTCAGTTCATAGATGTGATACAAATGTGTGCATCATATGAACAGCAGAGTCTGAACTCTAAACCTCTCCCATGTTGTCTCCATCATGTTAAATCTCTTCAAATCCTCTTACTGCTCTGCAGACAGTCAGCCAGCTCCTCCTGCTTCATTCTCCTCAGGAAGTTCACAGTGATCTTCAGAAATGCCTCTCTGCTCCTCCTCTGCTCTTCATCCTCATCCTCCCTCTGACTCTCTAAGTATTCTGGTTCATCTGGACTCAGAACTCTCTGGATCTCCTTCAGCTGCTCCTTTACAAAGCTGATAATGTTCTCCTGAAGCAGCTGGAACAGAACAAAATGTGAACTTGAACTTGTAGAACTGAACATCAGATCATCTGTGACAGACAGAAAGCCTGCTGGTCTACAGAGTCCAGCATGGAGACTGGATCACAATGCTGCTTCAGGATTGACTTTGTAGATGGTCCTGTCTTCTACAAATCCAGTTTCTATGACCTGACCTTCATATTGGAGAAACCTCCTGGTGTGGTTTCATGGAGAAAAAGTCTGCAGTGACTTTAGAGGTGATGTGTTTATTAGAATGAAGCTGAAAGCAGCAGCTGTCATCGACATGAACCAAAGTCTTTCTGTTCTTTAAACCTCAAACTGGACTCAGTTTCTGAACTCTGCTCTCTGCTGCCAAAGTCTGAGTCTGTGTGAGACCACCATCCACCATGACCTCTGACCTCTGACTCTGTGCAGGTCATAAATGTGAGGCTTCATTCAATCAGTCAAACTGTGAGTGTGAAGATAATTCAGGCAGAGATGATGTTTGCAGAGTCATTAGGAAACAATCCAGAAACCTCCAAATATACTGAGTGTCTGCTCTGATGATCAGTAGGAGCTGTGTTTGTACATTTACACCTACCATAAATATGGAGTCCAGCTGTGTTTGATGCTGCTGGGCAGACTGACCAATGGGAACCTCTGATCTCTGCTGCTGAACTCTGTGGAACAAACAGAATCTAATGTAGTGGATATAATATAAGGAGACACAGGGTTACATGTGAGAGAGTCTATCTAGAGGATCCTGGTAGAAACACTGCTGGATCCTCCTACAGACACACATGAAGATACATGCAGAGTCCAGGTCTTTCTGGCTCAGATCCTGTTTACTGCTGTTGGATCCTGATAGAAACACAAACCCTGAAAAATCTTCACCTTCACAGAGAAAACACCGACCACAGTTAGGATGAAAAGTTTCACAACAAAAGAAAGTTCAGTTTGAAAGACTCACCTTTGCTCATCACAAGTCTCTCCTTCTTTGAACTCAATAAGTCTGAACATAGACCCGTCACTCTTAAAGGACACACAGCTGGGTCCAGGTCCAGGTCCAGGAGAGTCTGGTCTCTCATGTTTGACTCTGACAGAAACACAAACACTGATGAAGAAACAAGAACACTGAAAATCTTCCAGGTTTGAGTGCTGCTGTTATAGATTATTACTTTTGATGATCAGGCTGATGTCCAACTTTGAAATCAATCCATCCATCCTTAGACCAGTCACTCTTTAAGGACACACAGCTGGGTCCAGGTCCTGGAGAGTCTGGTCTGCACTGCTGTTCAGGTCTTAGACAGACAGACAGACAGACAGACGTCTGAGTGTGAATAATAGTGATGGTGGAGTGATGTGAGTGCTGAGCTCTGACATGGAGAAGAGTCATGGACAGTTGGAGATCCTCATCTCACCTCTGAGCTTTGGTCTGGCTCTCATGTTCCCCCCACAGAGTGGTTTTAGAGGGAGGGGCCCCCTCCTCTCTGTCCTCACACTGATTCATAGCAGAGCCCCCACCTTCACACAAACACAACAACATACTCAGTCAGTACAACAAACTTTACACCACAGGACACTTCAGTTCTCATTCCTCTCAATAACACAAATATTCAGGACTGACAGAAACCTTGTTGGAGCCTCAAACAGGATCTGATGAGTCCAGAATGAGTTACAGCCCCCAGACTCTCCCATAAATAAACTGTGGTCATCACAATTATCTATAACATAAACACTGTTGTTCAAATGAGTAAGAGTCAAATAAAAAAAGTCTCTTTAAATCAACATGTCTGATTAGCTTGATTAAAAAAATCTTTAGTTTTGATTTTAAGTTTTCAAAGTTGGACAAATATCAAATACTGACATAGGATGGCTCATTTTCTGTCTTATAGCGGCCCCTGACAGCTGATGGGTCTCAATCAAACACTGAGTCCACTTCCACCCTGGACTGGCTCTGGTCCATCTACAATTATCTGAAACTTCTGGGACCACTGAGACTTGCACCCTGCTATGTCTCCAGTAAAACTCAGTCAGTCTCAGTGTTGGAGGTGATCTGACCTTTGAACCCTTCACTTCAGAGTATCAACCGTTTCAAAATAAAAGCACCTGAGCCAAGTCGATCCAGGCTGTCAGACCAGTTCAGACACTCCCTGCATTTTTCCCTGATGGTGTGACTCAGATTACTGTCGAACTGCTGCTGAGTCGACTCCACAAACACCAACTATAGAGCAGGTGGATCTGTCTGAAATCTCTGCTCTTTAACTCAGAGAGAAATTCTACATGTTTCAAACAGCCAATCAGCATACAGAAAGATTTCTACACTTCAACAGTGATCCAGCACCATGTGAGCACACGGATCCTGATCCTCAGACATGATCAGATTTCTCTGGAAGGATCCTCACCTGTTGAAGAGAGTTCAGGTCAGCTTACAGACACTTTCCACCTTCATGTGAGGAGAGAAGAAGCTGCTCGTTTGTCCTTCGTCAGTCCTGATGTCTGTGAGCGTTTGATCTGAGGACGCCGTCACATCCTCATAACTTCAGAGTGACGTCAGAACCAGTCCGACCAAGAAACTAGTCAGTGCAGATTTCACACAGATCACATGATGTAGTTCTACAATCAGACCACTAGATGGTCCTAATCACAGCCTATTATCATAGTGTAAATGGCTCAGACAACAATACTACTTTAAACATGTACTTACTTGACTTTGGTGAGAGTCCTTGTTGCAGTCATATCCTTAGGCAGAGACATGCAGAGGATTTTAGAGGGGCAGGGCCTCAAACTCACAAAAGGACAGTTTATCTTTAAACAAATAATTATGCTTCTAAAATATTGACCTTTATGACACTTTGAGATACGTACTCAGAGAAAACTCATGAGACTCAGAGTAGTTTAAATACTGGTACAGGGCAGTTAATAATGATGCATCCATATCATTTCTATGAGCCATTTCTGGAGTCAAGATTCAGCAGAATTTGTCAGCTAACTTTCCTCTATATTGGGAGTCACTGCTGATAAAGGTAGAAACCCTCTACCTCGAGGCAGGGAAAGAGAAGAACTACACAAACTGCTCTTCCTCTGGCAGCATGTTTGTCTATTTCCCTTTACTTCCATATCCATCTAATACCTTCTCAGTAGAAGGCTGATCTGCTCAAATAGACAAGATAGTCAAATGGTCAAAAAAATGGTCAAAAATACAAGCCAACAATTACTGAGACTATATCTAGCTAACTAGCTACTGTGCTTTGGATCTATTCTTTTAGTGGCTGAGACACAATAACTCTGCCGTCCATCTTCTACTGATTCCTCCTCGGACACTAACCTACTGGCAGATTCAGGGTTGATGAGAGAGCATGCAGGACAGCTCTAAACTGCTAAATACTTCAAACAAAGACAGACTCTCCTGACATATAAGTTTTCACTCTGGGCTGAAAGAAGTGCCCTACACTATGACAGCTATGATCAAACTTTCCTCACTTACCTGATGTCCTGCCAAGAGACCGTATGTAAAATAGACGTCATCTGCCTCCTTGCTGGGTGAAGAAGCCTCTGTGAGAACAGCACCTCCTGGTGACTGGTTGTATTACAAGTGATAAACCCTGCCTTATTCTCAGAGTGGAAACATGAGAGAAGAGCCCTCTTTTTCCCCTCGAGTTTTATCTGTTAAACTGAAGAAAAAAAGAGTTTTTCTGCAGTAAGACGCTCCAACTGACACACAGTGAAGCGCCTTTAGCCTGATCGGAAGAACACACTAGGACACCTTCAATCTCTCTAGTTTAGGAGAGCTGGTAATAGTTATTCAAACACAGTAGCATGAAGTTAACAGTTTATTGCCACAGATTGGTAGGTCATATTTTGCAGTGTATGAAAATGAAAGAATGAAATAAAAAAATAGAGTTCTTTCAAAAAGGGTGAAAAATAATAAAATCATTATGTTTTCCAGGAATCGAGTCACAAAGTGGAGAGCCACATCTTCCACATATTTCGCGCTGACTACTATCTGTTTCAGTCCAATTCACAGTACATCAGCTGGTGGTCTACACCCCTTACCCCTCATCGTCACCTCGGGGTACCTGCAGCTCCTCTTCCTCAAAAGACTCTTTGTCAGCGGGACGGGCAGTGAGGAGGAGAAACCCCACTGCTGACCGAAGCAGAGGGGTTTACAGTGAGGATGGGCAGAAATAACCAGTCTTTGTAGAAGATGAAAACACGGCTCAGATGGCCGTTATTCTTTGGTATTTTATTTGTGTACTTGGATGTCTTTACACAGCATGAATAAACCTCACTGCTGGATCATGATGTTAGATATTATGGATGTTCTTCATGCATTAAAAACCTGTAATTTTAACTCTACCATGTTTCAAGGTCTTAGTCGCCCATTTTTGCTTCTACCTCAGGTTTTAAACCCCCTAAACAAACCACTCCTGCTGGTTTATTCCACTTCTGAATTGAAGGCTCATTTAAACGTCACACTCTGGCTCATCCTTTGCTCTTTTGTTCTTTTCTAAAGGGATAGTACACCAATTAACATTACTTTGTTTTAGTCCTGTTTCTTCTCTCACCTGTCTAAGGTGATTAATGATTAATGCAGGTTCAGACAAACCCTTCACGTGTAAATTATGACTAATTTTGGTCGTTTTTCTAAAAAATTATCTTAAATTTCTCCTGAAAGTATTTTTTTATTACAATATTTTTGAACGTCAAGTTGGACGAAGTTTGCATTTCTTTTGGGATCACAGCAAGCAGTCATAGATTAAAAATCGTTGTAAACACAATTAATTGGTAATAACTTTGTTCATATTATGCTGAAAGGCAGAATATGCGTGAGTTCAGAGGGGAACGTATTTCTTCTTAGTCTTGAGAATTATTCAGTTTTTGCTCCTGCATTTTTTTTTTTTTTTGTGCGACTTGTTGCTGTTTCAGACGTGATTATTCGGCAGAAAGTAAAGGTTTTTATTGTTAAGTTTCCTGACTTCATTAAAAAAGCGCGGCAGGGTTACATGATCAAATGCATTGCGACGTTGGCCCGTGGATGTAGGTTACTGAGCCGTCTCTACGAGTAAAAAAAGGTAGACCTCAGTGTAGCGAAACAAGTCCAAAGACAGACACTTTTAATGATTGTGTCACCCAGTTTTCTTGCTAGTTAGCCGATGGAGAAGACAGTTATTTTAATTCATATGCTAAATGAGCAACGTTAGTCACACATCTCATCGAATCATTCCGCGGAAAATAGTTCCAGCACGTTATACTTCTCTGTGTTAGGCAGAGGTTTGTTGGTTCCCGCTCCAGTTCAGTTAGCATGCTAAATCTATCATTTAAGCCATAGATGTAAACATGAATGCTAGATGGATTACGCCCGCTGTTAGCCAATAGAGACCGACGTCCGCGCATGGTGGCCATTTCAACAAGAGTCATCAAGAATAATTTTAACCATGGATTTTCATAAATAAACATTAAGCAGATAGGTAGAGCAATAGATATAGGCCTACAAACACAATGCAGTTATATTCATTCATTTATATATAAAACATTTAATCATTCCATGTATGTTATATTAGTAATATTTCCTTAATAGAGAAAACTTTAATAACATATAGCAATAACATATATTTATTTTCAATATACATTTCTGCCTCATGTTGCCATTTTAGACATTTTTAACAAACCAAACAGTTTGGAAATCATGTGCAACTTAAGTTATGTTGAAACGAAAGAGCATTTCTGCCTCTTTAACTGATGTAAAATTACTGGGTCAACTTTGTAAAATGTACTTGGTCTCACTCACAGCAAGTCTGTTAGGCAAATTAGACAGCTGATAAACACAAGCCCATCCACAAAGACTGTCACCTTAGACAAAAATAAATGCATAAAAAGTAGACTGTCATGCAAGAATTTTAAATCTCGATTGTTCCCAGCCTTGACAACTTGCGCAAAGTGACTCAAAGTTAGCCCTTGCACACAAATAGCTGTGAAACAACTGTGCTGCACGATAAAGCCTTTTTTTCTCAAAGAAAATCTGCGGTTTCAATATGTCCAAGCATCCCGACTCATAGCCACTTTGTTAAGGTCTGTACTAAACTAAACCATTTGTAAATCTGTCAAGATTTCAGAGAGTTAAGAGTATTTTGATCATGCAGATTACTTACCTTCCATCCACTACCATAGAGTGTACCAGAATGTTATACTAAAGTAAGATGGCCGCCGTGTAGGGACGCCGGTGACTCCGCCTCGAGTTATCTAGCCTTTCTTATGTATATCTTATATGACTCTCGTTACAACTTCAATATGCGCAGTTTATTCCTCTTCATTACAACGGGGCGCAGCTTGACCGTGCCCTCCTGTCTGGTTGCTTTAACTTGACTGCTTTTCACCACCGGCCATGGGGTGGCAGCAGAGAGCGAGCGGTTGCCTATAAAGACAACCACCGAGCGAGTGATGTAGAGCACAAAGTGTCGCCGGAGTCCCAGAAAGAGCCGAAAAAAGGAGAAAATGGAGAGAGAAAATTCAGTAAAGTCACTGAAAACAATGCTGTTCGAGAGGAGAACACTGCAGGAGGAATGTAGAGTGAAGGAGCTCGGAACTGACCGGCCGGACGTATTAATTACACAGCAGTCTGAAGACAAAGGGAGGAGATTTTCGCGGTCTTTTTCACGGAGCTGGTATGAGAAGATATCTTGGCTAACTGGATGCTAACTCTAAACCTTGTCTGCTTGTCCAAACCAAGGGAACTGTTGAAGCCTGGATTCAGACAGGTATGCATATTTATCCATTCTTGATTTATTTATTGATGGAAAAGGAGATTTTAAGGGTTTGTGTGAACCAGTTATATCTTATCTGGAGCAAAAGATATCAAACACTGGGGAGATAAATTCAAATTCAATAACTGATAACATTTACCTGCATTTCATTATCTATTTGACTCAGCAGTTGTGCTCAGATGTAACCTAGTTAGTAGCTATACATAGTAAAAGTACATAAAATGGTGTTGAACATAATGTACATCAATTCTTATGTTTTGGCATTGTCGTCTCTGGTTTGGTAAATAAGTGGTAAATATTTGGTGTCTGAGACTTAATTCAGAATGTAATATGCTCCAAAGTTGATAGTCTTTCATGCAGAAAACACACTGTCAAAATTCAGATCTTAATTTAAAAGCAGAGGCGGCTGGTCGATAGAGGGCGCTAGGGTGCCGCCCCCCTCTGTCTCAACATGTAGAATCACACTGCCATAAATGTATATAAGAAAGGCTTATTTATGCACACAGCCCTTTCTTTTAATAAAGCATCTTTTTTTATGACTTTTACATGCATAACACATGTTTTAAAAAGGCAAATTGAATAATATAGTCTGAAGAGAGGGAATTGAAAGGTATAATTTACACTAAAAGTCAGTTTAGAAATGTCCTACGTTGCCGACAGTTCCTCATAGTTGACATATATGACGGCCAGAGGCGAACACATCATTCCCCATTGATTCTCGTTACAACTTTGACATGTGCAGTTCTGGACGACTGCAACTCTTTGTTCACACGTCTGAACCAACAGAGTTTACACAAGTTACAGCTGGTCCTGAATGCAGCAGCTCACCTCCGAACTAGAACCAGAACCAGAACCAGAGATCATAGAACTCCTATTTCAGCTTCACTTCATCGGCTCCTGATAAGTTTTAGAATTGATTTTTAATATTCAGATCCATGCAATAACATCATTAATATCCATTTGATTATGAGTAAGAACTAAACTGAGACAGCTGTTAGAATATAGATTTCTTTATTGAGTTCATGTTTCATAAACGTCCTTACATCAATTCTTACACCTGTATTACTCCTCTTGAATTTTTCACCCTTCTTTTTTCATTCATTGTGATTTGTCTCTTTGATTTGAGTTGTAATGATTTCTAAAGCAGGTTTGTTGGTTAAGAGGTGACGTTCACTTTCTCTTCTGTTTACAGTCTGCTGCTCCGGCTCCAGATTTTCATGTTTTCTGTCTTCACTTCTTTCTAATCCTCCTCTCAGCTTGGCTCTGATTTTTCTGTGTGTGTGTGTGAACCAGCCTGTAGTCTCATGAGGACATGACCTTCATCAGTTTAAACAGACAGGTATGAACACCTGTGCAGGTGAAGAAGAGTTTCAGGAGTCCGACTCTGACTGTTCAGACAAACTTTCTGATCAATACAGTGAAGAAAAATGTGCTGAATGAGGCGGATTTTTCCCCCATAGAGACAGAAATCAGTCCAGTTCAGTGAGCCAGTTTGACATGGAGTCCTGCTCTTTGATAACAGACATTCAGACTGATGTGACAGGATACAAACAGTCAGATAATCAGCTGAAGTTTGTGTTAGTGCAGAGGGTCGACTGTTCTTCAGCTGCTGTTTGTGTAGAGAGGAGGAGACTCTCCCTCCTACACAGAACACAAACTCACTGAGGAATCAAGAGAGCAGAACCGAAACCCAGGATAGAGAGGTTGAGTGAAGGTGGTGTTGAAGGTGTGGAGGTGGATCAGTGTGTCAGAGGAGACGCTGTAGAAGGACAGAGTGCCAGCAGGACAGTCCACATACACTGCTACTCTGTGAGAGACAGAGGACGAGGGGAGACGGAGGACTGTTCTTCTGTTATTGTGACGGACAGAGTAACCTTCATCAGAGCAGAGCAGACTCCAGGACTGATCATTATATCCAAACAGACAGTCATCACTCCTTCCTTTCCTTCTGATTCCTCTGTAACTCACTGATATATAAACCCATCCTCTCCACTCGACCTCCCAGTAACAGCGACCAGTCAGACCATCTCTACACAGAAGCTGAGGCCAGTAGTCAAATCTGTCTGGATGATCAGGATATGACTGATCCTCTTCCACACGTGTCACCTTCCTGTTGTTTTCAGACAGTCTGAGGAATCTGTTTACTGTGTTTGAGTCCAGTGTGAGTTCACAGAAATCTGACAGAGAGAAAAAGACACAACACAGCAGCAGGTTATCATCAGACACACCTGAAGGCTTTCTTCTTTGTTAGCTGACAGTCTGCTGTTTGGTCATCAGGAGTCAAACTGATTCAACACTTACACTTCTTCAGACCAGGTTTTAACCTCTGCTCTCCACCATGGTCCACCCTGGAGGAAGAAACACAGTCAGAATGATTGAGTGTCCAACATGAGTCCTACCTGCTGTCCAACATGAAGCAGAGTTCCTCAGTTTGTCCCTGTGACAGAGAAACAGGCTGAAACTCATCTGAGCCAACAGTCTCCATCACTCTGTCACTTTTTCTGAGTCTTTCTGACAGAAACTCACAGAAAAACAACAAGATTCAAAGAGCAAAGGCTGGCTGTTGGTCTGTCCTACAACATGGAGACTTGATTTGGACCCTTTAGAAAAAGACCTTCATTTCTTCTTTTAGGACAGCTGTCCACACTTTGGTCTAAAAAGCTCCTTCTAAATAGACTTGAAAGCTTGTCTGCAGATAGAGAGATGAAGTAGTGGGCTCTCTTCTTCTAAATATGAATGAAGATGAAATGAAAGCTCTCAGATGAACTCATGTGAGTGTGTGAGGCTCTTCTTGGATCATTCAGAGTCAGCTAGAGCAGAGGGAGTAGGAGCATCACACCTGGAACAGCAGGTGGATTTCCTGCAGTTTGGGATGGACAGGACGTGGAGCAAAGTCAGTGCATGTCCTCAAACAGCCCCTCAGCTTACCTGATCATGACTGACAGGTCTGCTGCTGCTCTCACTGAATGCAGCTGTGCCAGTAAAGCAGTAGAGCTCAGCTGATGAAGCTCAATGAAGACTATCTGATCTCCTTTGAACCCACTTCTGCAGCCAGTACTTTGAGTCCATGTTTCTGACTGAGGGTGGATGTATGAAGGAGGTGTTTCTCTGTAGCTCTGAGGGTTTGTTTGATGGTTCACCAAACAAAGAGAGCAGAAAATCAAGAAGAGAAGACCTTCCCATGTCAGCCAGGAGAGTTGATCCTGGTCTGTATGGATGAATGAAATAAAGGATCTGGAGGAGATCTGAATGTTGTTCTGCTCTGATCATTCAACTAGATGTGAACCTTCATCTTGTAACATCAGGTGTAATAAAGCATCTTCTCTGAGTTCTGACGTGGGCTAAAGGACTGTCAAATGTGTTTGAACTTCAAATATGAGCCCATCTCTCTCCTGATCATCTCTGTTTTTAGTCTGTGTGTCTGTTCATCAATCAGGGAGCTGAGAAATGACCACAGAGTCACAATATCCAGGTTTGGACCTCTTTCTACCTGGAACACTGGATAAGGTCTATTCTTCCTCATCCTCCATCATCTTCACCTCCCTGCAGACATCTGCATGTAATAGGCCAGGTTATAACCAATCAGAGAGCTTGTTTCATGGCTCATCTGCATTGTTTTATCTGGTTTTACCAGCTCAAGGCCCAAAGTGTGAGGGAAGGAAAAATGGAGAGGAGGAACGGAAAGATAAAAGACTTTGATAATCGATTAGCTAACAGGAAAAAAAAAAGCAGACAGGAAATGGAAATAAAAAGAGGAATTGTCCTTTAAATGTCTGATTAAAAGCTGTATTCTTACTTCAGTTTGTCAATTCACTTCTTTATTTCTCTTTTTTAAAACTTCATTTTTCAGACTGATTTTTAAACTGTTGATTAGGGAATACATTCATGTTTTTTTAACCCCCGGTTCCTCCTCTGTCCATTTTGAGGACATTTGTCTTTATCTTTATTTTGAGCTGACAGTCACATTTTTAAAGATTGGGGCATCAAATTTGGTGAGAGTTCTTATTTTTCTTCATATTAAAAAAAAAACTCGGTGTCACCTGTAGTTCTCTGTCGCTACATTTTAGCTCCACCCACCCTCCTTTGTCCCCAAATTGGCCAATAGACTTCCATTAAAAACAGGTTTTTTGAGCGTGTGTTTACGGCTCCATAACATATTACAACATCATTTTAATTCTTCAAGTCTTCATTCATGGACTGAGAGAGTTTGAAGATTCATCCACTAAACATCATCAGAAATGAAGGAAACTTTACATGACTCTAGATATGGATGTCTAAGAGTGGGATATGTGTGGAAGGAAAAGTTTGTGCACGGGTGAGAATCTGCGTCCATGTTTATAACCGGGCATGTCGTGAGTTTTTACAGTCGAAAATCTGACGTCCAAGTTCTGCAGTGTGGGACAAAGAGAGGGGGACATTTGGACAATTTCAACTTTGACCTCACTTTAGCGCGGGTGGATGGACATGCATGAGGATGAACAGGTCCTTCAGATCATTAGATGAGAAGATATCACATCTCAAATATGCTGTTATTTTTTATATCAGAGTAATCACGGTCATATTTTGGTTAGAGGAGGATAAACACTTACAAATGATTCCTATCTTACATATATCTTCAGATTTTATATTCCTTTAAATATAAAATAAATTTAATATGAAAAAAAGAATTTGATTGCATTTGATTTGTTAGAGGACGAGGCTCGAGAAAAGGAGGTGAAAATGACGTTTTTCCGCTCCAATTGACTCAGCTGTTTAAAAGGAACACATTATCAATAAATATGACATGGTGAACAAAAACTGACATAAAAAGTGTCATACATAGAATTCTTCATTCATCACTTTTTAATGGTTGAAGTTGTTTAAGAATCAAAAAAGTAAGAAAAAATGTTTAAAAATGATTATTTTATCAACACTTAACTGTTTTGGAGACAAAGTAGGCTGGATGGAGCTGAAAATTAACAGGAACCAAAGGGTTAAAGAATAAACTTTTGTACAATTTAAAGATTCATTTGTAGAATCTTTTTATAATTCCTGGATTTGTTCATGGATGAACTTGTGAATTTGGAAACCACTTTATGAATTCCTGTTTCAATAGTACAATAACTTTTTCAATTAAAAATACTTTATTTTAATTTCAGCCACCCTTGCGGTCCTCCATAAAGAGCATTTAAAAATGGTTCTTTATAAATAAAGACCACTGACATCAAGACAAGAAAGCTCATCAAAATACTCAAATAGAGGTTTTCACCCTAAATCCAGAACCCTGAGGGTCTACACAAAGAGGAAGGAGGGAGGCTGAGAACTAGTGAGCGCCAGAGCTACTATCCAGGATAAAACTGTTCACATCCAAGAGTCCTTCAGAAAGATGGTCCACAATGATGACCTGCTAAGTGAAGACCTCAGGAAGAAGAAACCAAATATATCTGTAGTTGTGTGTGACTCAGTAACTGTCTGGTTATACCTCACTGTATCCAGTCTCCATAGAGGATTCTTCAGTCCAGCAGACAGCAGTTTTACTCCTGAGTCTCCTGGATGATTGTAGCTCAGGTCCAGCTCTCTCAGGTGTGAGGGGTTGGAGCTCAGAGCTGAGGCCAGAGAAGCACAACCTTCTTCTGTGATCAGACAGCCTGATAACCTGAAGTCAGAAAAAAGATATGAAACAAGGAAAAATGTACCAACGTGAGACAATTTCATTCAAACAACTACAAAACTGAATCAGCAGAAAACCTGACCTGAGAGTTTCCAGTTTACAGTGAGGACTCTTCAGTCCAGCAGACAGCAGCTTCACTCCTGAATCCTGCAGGTCATTGTGACTCAGGTCCAGCTCTCTCAGACTGGAGGACTGGGAGCTGAGGACTGAGGACAGAGCTTCACAGCTTCTCTCTGACAGGTTACATCTAGTAAACCTGGAGATATTTGAATAAAATAAGGTGTTTCGTTTTATTGATAATTAAAGGTAGTAGATGCGTTTGCCTCTACTTCTTTGAACATACCATAATCTTTAAAAAGAAAATTCTCTCTCATTACTTTGAATTATCATCTTAACAAGATCTGACTTAATATAAAAAAGAGCAGTAAGTAGCTCTCTGTTTTATTAATGTTTTTGTTTCTGTGGTTTTGTGATCTGACAGACTAAAGTTTTATGTTCAACCTGATACAGACCTGAGAGTTTCCAGTTTACAGTGAGGACTCTTCAGTCCAGCAGACAGCAGCTTCACTCCTGAATCCTGCAGGTCATTGTGACTCAGGTCCAGCTCTCTCAGACTGGAGGACTGGGAGCTAAAGACTGAGGACAGAGCTTCACAGCTTCTCTCTGACAGGTTACATCTAGTAAACCTGGAGATATTTGAATAAAATAAGGTGTTTCGTTTTATTGATAATTAAAGGTAGTAGATGCGTTTGCCTCTACTTCTTTGAACATACCATAATCTTTAAAAAGAAAATTCTCTCTCATTACTTTGAATTATCATCTTAACAAGATCTGACTTAATATAAAAAAGAGCAGTAAGTAGCTCTCTGTTTTATTAATGTTTTTGTTTCTGTGGTTTTGTGATCTGACAGACTAAAGTTTTAATATTTAACTTCATACAGACCTGAGAGTTTCCAGTTTACAGTGAGGACTCTTCAGTCCAGCAGACAGCAGATTCACTCCTGAATCCTGCAGGTCATTGTGACTCAGGTCCAGCTCTCTCAGACTGGAGGACTGGGAGCTGAGGACTGAGGACGGAGCTTCACAGCTTCTCTCTGACAGGTTACATCCAGTACATCTAAAGAAATTGGGTAATATTGAAAAAAAAAATTCATTTCTATGAGCTAAATACAAGTTTTAATGTTATTCAAAGGCTTTTTTACTCTTCAGTGCAGCATTTAATTATTTTGTGTCCATCCCCTGATGGTATGAAACAGCCAACATAAAAAAATTTCAGTTTTGTCCTTCCTAAGACTGAAATGATAATTAGTTGCTCAATTTATATCTCATTTAGTTTTATTTTCTTTTTTTTTCATCTCTTAAGATCAAATTTTAATATTTAACTTCACACAGACCTGAGAGTTTCCAGTTTACAGTGAGGACTCTTCAGTCCAGCAGACAGCAGATTCACTCCTGAATCCTGCAGGTCATTGTGACTCAGGTCCAGCTCTCTCAGACTGGAGGACTGGGAGCTGAGGACTGAGGACAGAGCTTCACAGCTTCTCTCTGACAGGTTACATCCACTCAACCTGAACAGACATGAAGATATTTGAACAAATAAGCTCTTTTGTTTCACTGATAATCAAAAATCATGGATGTTTCTTTTCATCTATAATATCATAAATTGTTTTTTTCAGTTTCTTTTTCATCAGTTGAAATAAAGTCATTCAAACCAGATCCTATTGAATTAGTTAACTCTCTTGACTTGACCAAATTTATCACAAGATCATGAGATAAGTGCAGTAAGTAGCTCTCTGTTTTATTGATGCTTTTGTTTCTGTGGTTTTGTGATCTGACAGAGAAAAGTTTTATGTTCAACCTGATACAGACCTGAGAGTTTCCAGTTTACAGTGAGGACTCTTCAGTCCAGCAGACAGCAGCTTCAGTCCTGAATCCTGCAGGTCATTGTTACTCAGGTCCAGCTCTCTCAGACTGGAGGACTGGGAGCTGAGGACTGAGGACAGAGCTTCACAGCTTCTCTTTGACAGTTTACATCCAGGAAACCTAAAAAAAAATGGGAAGATAAATAAAAAATCTTTATTCATGTTAAATTACAGTTGTACTGTTATTTAAAAGGCAGAATTCATCTTCAATAAAAGTGTTTGTTTCTTTTTTTGTGCTTTCATCTTTTAATGGTGTTAAATGGCAATCTTACAAAAAATGGACTGACTTTCACTATTCAAACTTGTCCGTCCTTGAAAGTAAAATATTTATCTGTTTCTGGATATTGTTTTTTTACTCTGATACCAATAAAATTTTAATATTTAACTTCACACAGACCTGAGAGTTTCCAGTTTACAGTGAGGACTCGTCAGTCCAGCAGACAGCAGCTTCACTCCTGAATCCTGCAGGTCATTGTTACTCAGGTCCAGCTCTCTCAGACTGGAGGACTGGGAGCTGAGGACTGAGGACAGAGCTTCACAGCTTCTGTCTGACAAGTTACATCTAGTAAACCTAAGAAAATAATACAAAAAAAAATCTTTATTCATGTTAAATTACAGTTGTACTGTTATTTAAAAGGCTTAATTCATCTTTAATTTAAGTGTTTGTTTCTGTTTTTGTGTTTTCATCTTTCAATGGTGTTAAATGGCAATCTTACAAAAAAGGGACTGACTTTCACTATTCAAACTTGTCCTTCCTTAAAGTGAAATATTTATCAGTTTCTGATTATTCCGTTTTTTTAATCCCATACCGATTAAATTTTAATATTTAACTTCACAGAGACCTGAGAGTTTCCAGTTTACAGTGAGGACTCGTCAGTCCAGCAGACAGCAGCTTCACTCCTGAATCCTGCAGGTCATTGTTACTCAGGTCCAGCTCTCTCAGACTGGAGGACTGGGAGCTGAGGACTGAGGACAGAGCTTCACAGCTTCTCTCGGACAGTTTACATTCAGTCAACCTGAAGAAGAATCAGTGATTAGCACAGACACAAAGTTTCATCTCTCATGAACAATAATGTTTCATCTCTCATGTGTCCACCTACAGAGCTTTGTTGGAGGCTTTGACCACTGGCAGCAGCCTCAGAAGACCGTCCTCTGAAGCAGAGTATTTCTTCAGGTCAAACACGTCCAGATCTTTTTCTGATGACAGTAAGATGAAGACCAGAGCTGACCACTGAGCAGGAGACAGTTCCTCTGTGGAGAGACGTCCTGATCTCAGGGACTGTTGGATCTCCTCCACTAGAGAACGATCATTCAGTTCATTCAGACAGTGGAACAGATTGATGCTTTTCTCTGCAGACAGATCCTTTCTGATCTTCTTCTTGATGTACTGGACTGTTTCTTGATTGGTCTGTGAGCCACTTCCTGTGTGTGTCAGCAGACCTCTCAGGAAATTCTGATTGGTTTGCAGAGAAAGACCCAGGAGGAAACGTAGAAATAAATCCAGGTGTCCGTTCAGACTCTGTAAGGCCTGGTCTACAGCACTCTGATGGAGATGTTTCAGTTTTGGTTTGACACTGAAGATTTTAGAGATTGTAGATGTTGTTTGTTGTTCTTCTTTCATCAGGTTGACTCCAGAGTTGGTAAAGGTCAGGTGGACATGAAGAGCAGCCAGAAACTCCTGAACACTCAGATGGATGAAGCAGAACACCTTGTCCTGGTACAGTCCTCTCTCCTCTCTGAAGATCTGTGTGAACACTCCTGAGTACACTGAGGCTGCTCTGATATCCATGCCACACTGAGTCAGGTCTGATTCATAGAAGATCAGGTTTCCTTTCTGCAGCTGCTCAAAAGCCAGTTTTCCCAGAGACTCAATCATCTTCCTGCTCTCTGGACTCCAGTGTGGATCAGTCTCAGCTCCTCCATCATACTTGATGTTCTTCAGTTTGGACTGAACCACCAGGAAGTGGATGTACATCTGAGTCAGGGTCTTGGGCAGCTCTCCTCCCTCTCTGGTCTTCAGCAGATCCTCCAGAACTGTAGCAGTGATCCAGCAGAAGACCGGGATGTGGCACATGATGTGGAGACTTCTGGATGTCTTGATGTGGGAGATGATTCTGCTGGCCTGCTCCTCATCTCTGAACCTCTTCCTGAAGTACTCCTCCTTCTGAGGGTCAGTGAAGCCTCTGACCTCTGTCACCATGTCAACACACTCAGGAGGGATCTGATTGGCTGCTGCAGGTCTTGTGGTTATCCAAAGGCGAGCAGAGGGAAGCAGGTTCCCCCTGATGAGGTTTGTCAGCAGCACATCCACTGAGCTGGACTCTGTAACATCAGTCAGGACCTGATTGTTGTGGAAGTCCAGAGGAAGTCGACACTCATCCAGACCGTCAAAGATGAACACGACCCTGAAGTGTTGAAAGCTGCAGATTCCTGCTTCTTTGGTTTGAGTGAAGAAGTGATGAACAAGTCCCACCAAGCTGAACTTCTTCTCTTTCAGCACATTCAGCTCTCTGAAGGTGAATGGAAATGTGAAGTGGATGTCCTGGTTGTCTTTGTCTTCAGCCCAGTCCAGAGTCCACTTCTGTGTTAAGACGGTTTTCCCAATGCCAGCCACTCCCTTTGTCATCACTGTTCTGATTGGTTCCTGTCTTCCAGGTGAGCCTTTAAAGATGTCTTCTTGTCTGATGGTTGTTTCTGGTCGCTCTGCTCTCCTGGATGCTGTTTCAATCTGTCTGACCTCATGTTCATCGTTGACCTCTCCAGTCCCTCCCTCTGTGATGTAGAGGTCTGTGTAGATCTGGTTCAGAAGGGTTGGGTTCCCTGCTTTAGCAACCCCCTCAAACACACACTGGAACTTCTCCTTCAGGTTGGACTTGAGTTTGTGTCGGCACTCTGCAGCAGCAGATCCTGAATGAACAAAGAGAAATGTGATGAATCATCTGAAGCTACAATCAGTCTGATGAATTTACACTTGAAGACATCAGGATGGATTTGATTTCCCTCCTCTCTGAAATCTCTTCAGCTCATCAGCTGTGATCAGTTTCTCTCAGTTCATAGATGTGATACAAATGTGTGCATCATATGAACAGCAGAGTCTGAACTCTAAACCTCTCCCATGTTGTCTCCATCATGTTAAATCTTTTCAAATCCTCTTACTGCTCTGCAGACAGTCAGCCAGCTCCTCCTGCTTCATTCTCCTCAGGAAGTTCACAGTGATCTTCAGAAATGCCTCTCTGCTCCTCCTCTGCTCTTCATCCTCATCCTCCCTCTGACTCTCTAAGTATTCTGGTTCATCTGGACTCAGAACTCTCTGGATCTCCTTCAGCTGCTCCTTTACAAAGCTGATCATGTTCTCCTGGAGCAGCTGGAACAGAACAAAATATGTACTTGAACTTGTAGAACTGAACATCAGATCATCTGAGACAGACAGAAAGCCTGCTGGTCTGCAGAGTCCAGCATGGAGACTGGATCACAATGCTGCTTCAGGACTGACTTTATGGATGGTCCTGTCTTCTACAAATCCAGTTTCTATGACCTGACCTTCATATTGGAGAAACCTCCTGGTGTGGTTTCATGGAGAAAAAGTCTGCAGTGACTTTAGAGGTGATGTGTTTATTAGAATGAAGCTGAAAGCAGCAGCTGTCATCGACATGAACCAAAGTCTTTCTGCTCTTTCAACCTCAAACTGGACTCAGTTTGTGAACTCTGCTCTCTGCTGCCAAAGTCTGAGTCTGTGTGAGACCACCATCCACCATGACCTCTGACCTCTGACTCTGTGACGGTCATAACTGTGAGGCTTCATTCAATCAGTCAAACTGTGAGTGTGAAGATAATTCAGGCAGAGATGATGTTTGCAGAGTCATTAGGAAACAATCCAGAAACCTCCAAATATACTGAGTGTCTGCTCTGATGATCAGTAGGAGCTGTGTTTGTACATTTACACCTACCATAAATATGGAGTCCAGCTGTGTTTGATGCTGCTGGGCAGAATGACCAATGGGAATCTCTGATCTCTGCTGCTGAACTCTGTGGAACAAACAGAATCTAATGTAGTGGATATAATATAAGGAGACACAGGGTTACATGTGAGAGAGTCTATCTAGAGGATCCTGGTAGAAACACTGCTGGATCCTCCTACAGACACACATGAAGATACATGCAGAGTCCAGTTCTTTCTGGCTCAGATCCTGTTTACTGCTGTTGGATCCTGATAGAAACACAAACCCTGAAAAATCTTCACCTTCACAGAGAAAACACCGACCACAGTTAGGATGAAAAGTTTCACAACAAAAGAAAGTTCAGTTTGAAAGGCTCACCTTTGCTCATCACAAATCTCTCCTTCTTTGTAATTAATAGGTCTGTCCATAGACCCGTCACTCTTGAAGGACACACAGCTGGGTCCAGGTCCAGGTCCAGGAGAGTCTGGTCTCTCATGTTTGACTCTGACAGAAACACAAACACTGATGAAGAAACAAGAACACTGAAAATCTTCCAGGTTTGAGTGCTGCTGTTATAGATTATTACTTTTGATGATCAGACTGATGTCCAACTTTAAAATCAATCCATCCATCCTTAGACCAGTCACTCTTGAAGGACACACAGCTGGGTCCAGGTCCTGGAGAGTCTGGTCTGCACTGCCGTTCAGGTCTTAGACAGACAGACAGACAGACAGACAGAGGTCTGAGTGTGAATAATAGTGATGGTGGAGTGATGTGAGTGCTGAACTCTGACATGGAGAAGAGTCATGGACAGTTGGAGATCCTCATCTCACCTCTGAACTTTGGTCTGGCTCTCATGTTCCCCCCACAGAGTGGTTTTAGAGGGAGGGGCCCCCTCCTCTCTGTCCTCACACTGATTCATAGCAGAGCCCCCACCTTCACACAAACACAACAACATACTCAGTCAGTACATCCTGAGCCACATACTGTCCTCTACCACAGTGTCATTCCAGATTCTACCACTAGATGGAGCCACAGTCATTCCTGTTTACTCGAGAGCTCATCTGGATCCTTTCAGAGTCCAGTTCTGTTCAAAATGATGAAGACATGTGAAAACTTTCAGTTTGATGTTTGACAGAATGAAGAAAATACTCACCAGGTGAATTCAGATCCACTTCCTGTTTCACCTGTAGCAGAAAGACAAAGAGAGAGACTGCAGCTGATCGTCCTTCATCAGTTCATCATCAATAATCTGAGGACGCGGTCACACTCTCATCACTGAACAGTCAAAGTCTACAAACACAAACAGACATGAAATCACTGACCAACACCCAGGAACCAGAGTCCAGCTCCAGTCACACAGCAGGACCCTGCAGAGACCTGCAGTCAGGACGAGACAGAGAAACCTCAGAGTGATCCAGGATAATATCTGATGTGACTGAGAGTCAAACCTGCACACATATGGAAACATTCAAGTTCTCCTTTGGTCTGCTCCAGAAAGAACCAACCATGAGAGATCTTCTGATGAGGAGTCCAATTCAACTTTGACTCAACTCCAAATCAGTGGAACAGACTCAGAAAAATGACATGAAGTTCACCTTTGAATTGAAGGACACCAAATTTAATTCACTCTGAAATCAATGTCGCTCTTTCAAACTTGGACTTTCCTGATATCACATGTATTGTCACGGCCCTTAATGTGTCTTATGTTTAGCCAGTTCGACTGTAACAACAATGACCATCTTATCAGTCTCTGATTGGGGCACTGCAACGAATTGAGCAAAGTCAGAGGTTTGTGTTTGGTGTAGACCACCACGGGTACAACACCAGAACCAACACACAGATCAAAATATCTGAGGGCCCAAACCAATGCCAACACTTCCTTATCTATAGTGGAATAATTAAACTGATAGGAGTTACATTTCTTAGAAAAGAGGCTGACTGGTTTTTCCAACCCAAAGTCATCAGCCTGCAAGAGGACCGATCCCAACCCCACATGACTGGTGTCTACCTGGAGGGCAAAAGGACAATCAAACCTGGTGGCAGCCTACACTGGTGCCCTGCACAGCAATAACTTTACGTTTTCAAAAGCCTCTTCGCACACCAGAGACCAAGCAAAGGTCACACTTGATTTAAGCAGGTCAGTAAGTGGCGCTAAAACCCCAGAGAAGTTTCTACAAAAACTCATGTGATAATCAGGAAGTAGCCAGACTATGGTGTCAGGTTTCAGCATGGAGCTGTAAGATTTACAAGAAGCACTGGAGCTTTGCCAAATTCGTCTCGGTGACTTGTGAGATAATATGAACAAAAATAAGTAATGTTGAATATAACTGCTGAGTGGAGAGGAAAAGAGAGAGGAGTGAGAGAAATGAGAGAGGAGTGGAGAGAGAAGAGATTTTTGAGCTGTTTAGTTGTGACCAAAAACAAAAGAACCAGCTAACAAAAAAAGAGTAAAAGAAAAGTAAATGTTCTTTATCTGTTGTGTATTGTAAATTAGTTTGAAGTGATTTTTATAAAGACTACCTGTCATTGTAAATACTGACTTTTGTGTATGAAGTCCTATTTCAGGTTCAAATTTATTTGAGAGTGAGACCATCCAGTTAAGATAAATGTTATTTTATTTCATTTTTTTCTACCCGCCAAATGCGGACAACGTTACTGAGACATGTTGCTTTCAGGAAGTGGAGAAAAAAAACGGAAATACTGAGAGCTTTTTGGCTTCAAATCTGTATAGAAGGCAGATTCAAGTTGTCCATAGTATATACAGTCTATGACTACAACGATTACCACCTGCTGTTTTTAGAAAAGGTACGATGGAAACGATCCTGAATATCTTAATATTTGAAAAACATCTCCCTGGGAGACGAATTTTGGGGGGGTTTATGAAAAATTGAGACATGGACAAATTTAAGCCCCACAAAATATCCAGGACAGTTTTAACAGCTGGAGAGAAATAGAGAGAGAAGCTGTTACAACAAAGTCTATCTTCTTTATCTTTGTCGTTCTCTGCGTTTGTCTTTTAACACAAGGTGATACTGAGTCTTAGTGAGGTTCCTCTTTTTCGCTGACTTCCTGTTCAAAGCCACAAACAGGCCAGGAAATGGTTCGTCTGCTGGCTGAGTGTAACTGCATTCAGACAGACATGAACTAACCCCAAAGTTTATCTCCCGGGGAAAGCAGTCACTTTGGTTATTTAATCTGTTATATATCTTTTTTGGGGACAAAACTGTTTCGAGTTAAACAGGCGTTACAAAAAAGAAATGTCGGTTTGAACTGGAAGGGAATTAAATCTTTAGTTCAGGCATTTTATCTCTGTTGGTCGGTCACTCACCAGTGATGGAAAGAGATTCTGAGAAAAACTCGATGATTCAGTGAAATTTGTCCTCAGAGAGAAACAGCGACTTAACTCCACTGCAGTTCCGCTTGGACTGAGAACAACTTTAGATTTTATTTCAGGAAATGTGACGTCAAATTTCCTCTCAGTCGCTCCTCCTCTTAGTGCAGCTTAGTAAGTTAATACAGGAAACATTGGACACTTCCTGATATTGGCTCGGCTTTCTTTAAAGCTCCTTGGTGGAGTTTTCAGCAGGTGATGAAACACACCTGGAGACCTATCACACTTCTTTGTGTAGATTATTAACTTTGAGCTCAGGCTTAAACAAACAAATCAAAAACAGGTTCAGGGGAAGTAATTGATGAAACTCAATCAGCGTTTATCAAAGGTAGACAAATACACAATCACACTGGCTTGGTATTAGATAGGCTTGATTATAATGATGTGGTTACCTTCTGCTCTCTGGTTTCTGCTCCTAAACATGAAAAATCACAGATCTGACTCTCAGAGATGTCTGCAGCGCCACCTTAATCATGTGACACGCGGTGTTATGCTGACCAACACATTACTGTCATGATATGTTCAGTTTATTAAGTTTTCTTCTGGTTCTATTTGAGTTCATTTTGTGTATTTTCCCCTCTTGTTTCTGTTCACCTGTAGTCCAGTCTTGAGAGTTTTCAGTTTGTCTTTGACCCTGTTTCCCTCCTGTTCTCAGTGTTTTATTCTTTAGATCAGTTTTTAGAGTTTATTTCCTGTTTTATTTTGTAGGAGTTGATTCCTTGTGTTTCTATTTTGGTTTTACTTCCCTAGTTTTCCCTCCTTTGTCAATCACCCATGAGTCTCACCTGTGTCTCTTCTGCCTCACCTGTTGCTCGTTTCCCAGTGTATGTATATGTTCCCTGTCTTCCCCTCTGTCCTTGTTGGTTCAATGTTTGAACATCTCTGCCTGTTTCCCTGTGATCATTTATCTGTGAGTCTCTACTCCCCTGGTGTTTTTTTCCTAGTCTTTTGATTCTTTGGATTTTGCTTCTTGTGTTTTTTTCTTGGATTGTTCAGTTGGACAGTTTAAAATAAGTTTTTTTGTTGCTTTTCATTTAGTTCTTCTTAATAAATCATGTTTTTAAATCTGCACTTGGGTCCTTTTCCCCGTGACAATTACATTAAAACAAAAGAACCCCCCCCCCCCCCATGACTCCCTCACACTCCTCTGTAGAAACTAGATGTTTGCCTGATGTAGAGAGAAAAGCACACGCTCTGAGGTGTTATGACTCTTAGATGAAGCTCACCAGCTGTATGAGTCTTTAGTAGAAAACACAAAGTTAAGTCACGTTTTAAAAGCTAATGTTTCAGTTTTACTCCGAATTAAAAGAGTTGTCAAATCTAAGGGGCCGGTACACTTAAAATCCACAACAGTATCTTAACGGATGTTCACAGACTTCTTCTCCGCTCCACCACAAACTGAACGTTCAAAACTGATAAGAACAACGAACGAAGCATGTTCAAAGTCAGTTCTCTGTGGTAGACACAGGAGAGGCTGCGAGCTGAGCTACTGCTGCCTTAATTGACAGTTCAATCCACTGAAACTTCACACACTATTAAAATGTCAGATTTAACAGCCACAAAAACATGAAAACTTGTCTCTACACAAAGATGGGCTTCGGAGGCTGTGAGCTGAGTTGGTGCTGATGAGAGCTAACAATAATTTTGCATCCACTTAAAAAGCTGATTTTGCTGACTGAAAATGTTGAAGTCCCTCACTACAAAACAAAAACTCAAACTTAAACTCACGTTAACTAAGAAAGTTTTGAAAATAAATGTCTGCAATCCCTGAAGTGGTGGGATGAAGAGGCTGTGAGCTGAGCTGTCAAAAACCATCGGAGTCCCCCTTTTCAAAACAAAAATAGTCATGAAAACCAGTATCAACACTTTGAAAGATGCACAAATAATAAACCAACAAGGACAGAGGAGAAGACAGGGAACATATACATACACTGGGAAACGAGCAACGGGTGAGGCAGAGGAGACACAGGTGAGACTCATGGGTGATTGACAAAGGAGGGAAAACTAGGGAAGTAAAACCAAAATAGAAACACAAGGAATCAACTCTTAGAAAATAAAACAGGAAATAAACTCTAAAAACTGATCTAAAGAATAAAACACTGAGAACAGGAGGGAAACAGGGTCAAAGACAAACTGAAAACTCTCAAGACTGGACTACAGGGGAACAGGAACAAGAGGGGAAAATACACAAAATGAACTCAAATAAAACCAGAAGAAAACTAAATAAACTGAACATATCATGACAGTAATGTGTTGGTCAGCATAAAACCGCGTGTCACATGATTAAGGTGGTGCTGCAGAGATCTGTGAGAGTCATATCTGTGATTTTTCATGTTTAGGAGCAGAAACCAGAGAGCAGAAGGTGATTCATGAGTTTAACTGTCTTCAGCAGGTGTGTCATCTCTCTGAAAAATAGAGAAGGATTTGTGTTTGTCTTCACTTGTCCAGTCCCAGGTGTCTTTGTCCACTAGATGTCGCTGTTTCACTCGTGATTATATTTCTCTCTGTGTTGTTTCTTGTGTTTAATGACAGTCAGGGAGTATAAAGTGCACCATGAGACCTCTCTAATCCCTCTGAGAAGGTTTTCTTGTGTCTGTCAATGTTTGACTGCAGGTGTTCAGGTGGTTGAGTCCAAAGTCGAGAGCTGCGCTGTGATCACATTTCCTTCCAGAAGACTTCAGTGTGAAGATGAACTCGGAGAGTCTGGACTGGATGTGAATGGTGGGACCTTTGAAAACCTCCTGCTGTCACTTCCATCTTTCTTCTCTCTCTGCTTGGTTTCCTGTTTGAAGCTGCTGATTCGTCTCACCGTCACTCGTGGTCTTCATGCAGATTATTTTCCCCATCAGAAGGTAACCTAACACACTCTTTTCATCATGTTTGAGTGAGCGTCTGTTAAACTGATCTGAGGACAGCACATGTGAAGCTTCTGCAGATCTGACATGTCGTTTTGTGACTGCATTGGTGGAACAGAGGCGAACACAGAGGAAAGGAGAAAATCTCTGTTTAAAGACTGATGTACATGTAGGAGCAGAACTAAGTCAAGACTATGGACCTCAGACTTCTACCAACAAACACAATCACAGGGATCAGATTGAATACAGGAGTGCTGATGTATTGCTGTATTTGCTCGGTGAAAACAGAAGAAACAGGAACAGGTTCAAGTCAGACTGAACAAAACTTGAGTTAAACTTTTAAACACTTTGTTTTAGTGTTTGTAAAAGTCTTTGTGTGCTGAGCACTTTGATGAGTTTATGAGTTTATGATGGTATCAAAGGTCAGTCATTGGCTCTCTTTAAAGCTGAGCACAGTCAACAACCAGTGTGATAAACTTCAGTCAGTGTCCACTCTACAGCAGCAACAGTTTGAACTCCTTCACAGGAGCAATGGTTAGTGAGGAGCTGCTCAGAAAGAAGGTGAAAAAAAAGCTCCAAGAAAAGCTCTCTCAATGTTTCTCAAGCTCTCAGTATTTTTATCTGTTTTGGTTTTCATGGTTTCCCTCATACACACAGACTCTGAATATATCGGCACAGAATTGTCTTCAACTCAAAAACTCAGTCAGCAGAGCAGCGTTGGTGCCTAATCATCTGATATCCAACCATCATCCATAAACTGAGGACTCACATTTGATTGTCCTCAGTCCTTTGAAATCAAAAAGTCCTTTGATCAAAAACCTTTGACAGCCCTGTTTCCTCCAATTACTCACCATCTCTGAGGTGAAAACCAATAATTAATCCTCACTCAGATATGGAAAAATGAATCCACACACTCATCCTCTCCAGAACAGACTCACTCTTTGACGGCATCGACCATTAAACACTTTTCCCCTGTCTGAGTCCTTGAAAAAGCAGCAGCTGGGCTTCTCACTGGTTTGAACAGACAACATCCCATCACCTCCATCCCAGCTTCCTTTGTTTGAGGATTGACTTGAAGATTCAAAGCTCTTCTGGGTCTGGCTCATAGATCTGAAATGTTGACCCCCCCATGAGGCCAGCCTGCAGTCTGAGACCCTTAGGCCCATATGGCTGTTCCAAAGAGACTGAATACTTAGGGAATCATGTTTTTCCATCAGGGCTCCTCCACTCTGAAAGGACCTGTCTGAGGAGATCAGGTTTACAGAATCAGTGTTATCTTTAAAACCACTTCTTCAAATCGATTCTCTAGACTTGTTTTTTGGTGAAATCCTCCTTTAATTGGCCTTTTTTACTCTGACTTTTTCCATCCATCCATCCATCCATCCATCTTCCACCGCTAATTTGGGATCAGGTTGCAGGACCGGAAGCAGCCTGAACAGAGAAGCCTGGACTTCCCTCTCCCCAGCCACCTGCAAGGCGTGCGGGATGCATCCTGATTAGATGCCAAAGCCACCTCATCTGACTCCTCTCAGTGCGGAGGAGCAGCGGCTCTACTCCAATGACCGAGCTTCTCACCCTTTCTCTAAGGGAGAGCCCAGCCACCCTGCAGAGGAAACTAATTTCAGTTGTTCGTACTTGCGATCTTCACCTTCGGTCACTAACCCACAGCTCGTGACCGAAGCTGAGTGTAGAAACGTAGATCAACCGGTATATCCAGAGCTTTGCCTTTCGGCTCAGCTCCCACTTTACCATGACAGATCTGTGCAGCATCCGCATCGCTGTTGACATGACACCGATCTGTCTGTTTATCTCCCGCTCCATTCTTCCCTCATATGTGAACAAGACCCCGAGATATCTGAACTTCTCCACTTAAGGCAGGATCTCATCTCCAACCCTGAGAAGGCACTCCACCTTTTTCCGGCTGAGAACTGTGGACTCAGATTTGGAGGTGCTGATTCTCATCCCAGCCGCTTCACACTCAGCTGCGAACCAATCCAGAGAGAGCTGAAGGTCACGGCCTCTTTTATTTCTCTTTATTCTTCTACAGGTTTGAGGTCTCTCAGTTTCTACATTTGCCGTCACCAACTTCTTTCTTCTTGTTGCTCTGCTTTTCTTTGACGACTTCTTGGCTTGTATTATTGAATTTCAATGCACTCATTCCTTTGATGGCTTTGTCTCTTTATTTATGCAGTTGTTATTTATGGAGCTTGAACCTCTTTGCTGTGTTTTAATCATCTTTGTTAGACTTTCAGGCCTGAACATGTTTCATTGTTTTGAACTCTTTTAGTCACAGTCATGTTGTTCGCTTCTCGTGTTGCTTCGGTTCTTATGATGTCGGGTCCATATGTTGCTCGGCTTTTCCTGGTTCTGTGGGTTCTCCGTCTTTGGGGTCCTTGTGCTGAAAACGTGCATGAATATAATGAATATGAAAATATGAAATAAATCACTGTTATTAATCAGACAATAATCTGTTTCTGGAGTCATGGAGGATATTTATTACAGCATGTCCAGATTATTTCTTTGCTCCTGTTTCACTCGCTCTCTCGTTTCCTCTTATTTAGTCTCTCTGATTTGAGTTGTTGTTAATGAGTAACATCAAGGTTGAATTCATTCAACAATTAATCATTCAAAACATCATCTTTACAATCCTGATCAATCTAATTAGAGGGTTAAACTCCAGACCAGATAACACCAGATATGAAACGTCCATATCACTAAAAACCTGATTTATGAAATACAATCAGACCCTGCAGAGATGCTACGACATGAATATACAGATTATTTCTATCAATCATGCTCCAGCTTCTGTTTTTCATAGAACACTGAAATACAGAAGCACATCAGCAAACTCAATCCAACACTGAACTTTGAGGAGTTTCAGAAAAACTGATGTTTCAAACAAACGCTCCAATTTCAACAAAGACTTCAGCTTTGTCTGCTGCTTTTAAAATGACCATCATCCATCAGCTGAGCTCTGATTGGCAGCTTTCATGTGGTACTAAACCCATTCTCTGTCTTTGAAAGGTTTCTGATCGTAAACATGAGCAGAGTATTGACCTTTTCCTTTAAACCTGATCGATCAATAACAACAGAGGACCATGATGTCTGTCTTTTCTGAGAGCTTTCCTTTGCTGTCTGATCTCCTCTGGAATAAAAAGGAGAGAACTGCTCAGGATCAAAGCTGAAAACTACTGTGATCTGCTCTCAGATTACCAGATAAACAAATATAACGTATTTATGAAAATGATCAGTAAATCATTGATAAAGTAGGATCCATCTCTGGGTGTGAGACGTGATCAACTTTTATTGCTCAAAAAAATTACACAGTTTGATTCAGTGTCATAAATGTGATAAAGTCCAAGTTTGAAAGAGCGACGTTGATTTCAGAGTGAGTTAAATTTGGTGTCCTTCATTTCAAAGGTGAACCTCATGTCATTTTTCTGAGTCTGTTTCATAGATTTGGGGTTGAGTCAAAGTTGAATTGGACTCCTTGTCAGAAGATCTCTCATGGTTGGTTCTTTCTGGAGCAGACAAAAGGAGAACTTGAATGTTTCCACATGTTCGCAGGTTTGACTCTCAGTCATCAGATATTATCCTGGATCACTCTGAGGTTTCTCTGTCTCGTCCTGACAGCAGGTCTCTCTCTCAGGGTCCTGCTGTGTGACTGGAGCTGGACTCTGGTTCCTGAGTGTTGGTCAGTGATTTCATGTCTGTTCATGTTTGTAGACTTTGACTGTTCAGTGATGAGAGTGTGACCGCGTCCTCAGATTAATGATGATGAACTGATGAAGGACGATCAGCTGCAGTCTCTCTCTTTGTCTTTCTGCTACAGGTGAAACAGGAAGTGGATCTGAATTCACCTGGTGAGTATTTTCTTCATTCTGTCAAACTGAAAGTTTTCACGTCTTCTTCATTTTGAACAGAACTGGACTCTGAATGGATCCAGATGAGCTCTCTAGTAAACAGGAATGACTGTGGCTCCATCTGGTGGTAGATTCTGGAATGACACTGTGGTAAAGGACAGTATGTGGCTCAGGTTGAACTGACTGAGGATGTTGTTGTGTTTGTGTGAAGGTGGGGGCTCTGCTATGAATCAGTGTGAGGACAGAGAGGAGGGGGCCCCTCCCTCTAAAACCACTCTGTGGGGGGAAACATGAGAGCCAGACCAAAGTTCAGAGGTGAGATGAGGATCTCCAACTGTCCATGACTCTTCTCCATGTCAGAGCTCAGCACTCACATCACTCCACCATCACTATTATTCACACTCAGACCTCTGTCTGTCTGTCTGTCTGTCTGTCTGTCTGTCTGTCTGTCTGTCTAAGACCTGAACAGCAGTGCAGACCAGACTCTCCAGGACCTGGACCCAGCTGTGTGTTCTTCAAGAGTGACCGGTCTAAGGATGGATGGATTAATTTCAAAGATGGACATCGGTCTGATCGTCAAAAGTAATAATCTATAACAGCAGCACTCAAACCTGGAAGATTTTCAGTGTTCTTGTTTCTTCATCAGTGTTTGTGTTTCTGTCAGAGTCAAACATGAGAGACCAGACTCTCCTGGACCTGGACCCAGCTGTGTGTCCTTCAAGAGTGACGGGTCTTTGTTCAGACTTTTTGAGTTCAAAGAAGGAGAGATTTGTGATGAGCAAAGGTGAGCCTTTCAAACTGAACTTTCTTTTGTTGTGAAACTTTTCATCCTAACTGTGGTCAGTGTTTTCTCTGTGAAGGTGAAGATTTTTCAGGGTTTGTGTTTCTATCAGGATCCAACAGCAGTAAACAGGATCTGAGCCAGAAAGACCTGGACTCTGCATGTATCTTCATGTGTGTCCTGTGTCTGTAGGAGGATCCAGCAGTGTTTCTACCAGGATCCTCTAGATAGACTCTCTCACATGTAACCCTGTGTCTCCTTATATTATATCCACTACATTAGATTCTGTTTGTTCCACAGAGTTCAGCAGCAGAGATCAGAGGTTCCCATTGGTCAGTCTGCCCAGCAGCATCAAACACAGCTGGACTCCATATTTATGGTAGGTGTAAATGTACAAACACAGCTCCTACTGATCATCAGAGCAGACACTCAGTATATTTGGAGGTTTCTGGATTGTTTCCTAATGACTCTGCAAACATCATCTCTGCCTGAATTATCTTCACACTCACAGTTTGACTGATTGAATGAAGCCTCACATTTATGACCTGCTCATAGTCAGAGGTCAGAGGTCACGGTGGATGGTGGTCTCACACAGCCTCAGACTTTGTCAGCAGAGAGCAGAGTTCACAAACTGAGTCCAGTTTGAAGTTTAAAGAACAGAAAGACTTTGGTTCATGTCGATGACAGCTGCTGTTTTCAGCTTCATTCTAATAAACACATCACCTCTAAAGTCACTGCAGACTTTTTCTCCATGAAACCACACCAGGAGGTTTCTCCAATATGAAGGTCAGGTCATAGAAACTGGATTTGTAGAAGACAGGACCATCTACAAAGTCAGTCCTGAAGCAGCATTGTGATCCAGTCTCCATGCTGGACTCTGCAGACCAGCAGGCTTTCTGTCTGTCACAGATGATCTGATGTTCAGTTCTACAAGTTCAAGTTCACATTTTGTTCTGTTCCAGCTGCTCCAGGAGAACATGATCAGCTTTGTAAAGGAGCAGCTGAAGGAGATCCAGAGAGTTCTGAGTCCAGATGAACCAGAATACTTAGAGAGTCAGAGGGAGGATGAGGATGAAGAGCAGAGGAGGAGCAGAGAGGCATTTCTGAAGATCACTGTGAACTTCCTGAGGAGAATGAAGCAGGAGGAGCTGGCTGACTGTCTGCAGAGCAGTAAGAGGATTTGAAGAGATTTAACATGATGGAGACAACATGGGAGAGGTTTAGAGTTCAGACTCTGCTGTTCATATGATGCACACATTTGTATCACATCTATGAACTGAGAGAAACTGATCACAGCTGATGAGCTGAAGAGATTTCAGAGAGGAGGGAAATCAAATCCATCCTGATGTCTTCAAGTGTAAATTCATCAGACTGATTCTAGCTTCAGATGATTCATCACATTTCTCTTTGTTCATTCAGGATCTGCTGCTGCAGAGTGCCGACACAAACTCAAGTCCAACCTGAAGGAGAAGTTTCAGTGTGTGTTTGAGGGGATCGCTAAAGCAGGAAACCCAACCCTTCTGAACCAGATCTACACAGACCTCTACATCACAGAGGGAGGGACTGGAGAGGTCAACGATGAACATGAGGTCAGACAGATTGAAACAGCATCCAGGAAAGCAGAGCGACCAGAAACAACCATCAGACAAGAAGATATCTTTAAAGGCTCACCTGGAAGACAGGAACCAATCAGAACAGTGATGACAAAGGGAGTGGCTGGCATTGGGAAAACCGTCTTAACACAGAAGTGGACTCTGGACTGGGCTGAAGACAAAGACAACCAGGACATCCACTTCACATTTCCATTCACCTTCAGAGAGCTGAATGTGCTGAAAGAGAAGAAGTTCAGCTTGGTGGGACTTGTTCATCACTTCTTCACTCAAACCAAAGAAGCAGGAATCTGCAGCTTTCAACACTTCAGGGTCGTGTTCATCTTTGACGGTCTGGATGAGTGTCGACTTCCTCTGGACTTCCACAACAATCAGGTCCTGACTGATGTTACAGAGTCCAGCTCAGTGGATGTGCTGCTGACAAACCTCATCAGGGGGAACCTGCTTCCCTCTGCTCGCCTCTGGATAACCACAAGACCTGCAGCAGCCAATCAGATCCCTCCTGAGTGTGTTGACATGGTGACAGAGGTCAGAGGGTTCACTGACCCTCAGAAGGAGGAGTACTTCAGGAAGAGATTCAGAGATGAGGAGCAGGCCAGCAGAATCATCTCCCACATCAAGAAATCCAGAAGTCTCCACATCATGTGCCACATCCCGGTCTTCTGCTGGATCACTGCTACAGTTCTGGAGGATCTGCTGAAGACCAGAGAGGGTGGAGAGCTGCCCAAGACCCTGACTCAGATGTACATCCACTTCCTGGTGGTTCAGTCCAAACTGAAGAACATCAAGTATGATGGAGGAGCTGAGACTGATCCACACTGGAGTCCAGAGAGCAGGAAGATGATTGGGTCTCTGGGAAAACTGGCTTTTGAGCAGCTGCAGAAAGGAAACCTGATCTTCTATGAATCAGACCTGACTCAGTGTGGCATGGATATCAGAGCAGCCTCAGTGTACTCAGGAGTGTTCACACAGATCTTCAGAGAGGAGAGAGGACTGTACCTTGACAAGGTATTCTGCTTCATCCATCTGAGTGTTCAGGAGTTTCTGGCTGCTCTTCATGTCCACCTGACCTTTACCAACTCTGGAGTCAACCTGATGAAAGAAGAACAACAAACAACATCTTCAATCTCTAAATTCTTCAGTGTCAAACCAAAACTGAAACATCTCCATCAGAGTGCTGTAGACCAGGCCTTACAGAGTCTGAACGGACACCTGGATTTATGTCTACGGTTCCTCCTGGGTCTTTCTCTGCAAACCAATCAGAATCTCCTGAGAGGTCTGCTGACACACACAGGAAGTAGTTCACAGACCAATCAAGAAACAGTCCAGTACATCAAGGAGAAGATCAGTGAGGATCTGTCTGCAGAGAAAAGCATCAATCTGTTCCACTGTCTGAATGAACTTAATGATCGTTCTCTAGTGAAGGAGATCCAACAGTCCCTGAGATCAGGACGTCTCTCCACAAAGAAACTGTCTCCTGCTCAGTGGTCAGCTCTGGTCTTCATCTTACTGTCATCAGAAAAAGATCTGGACGTGTTTGACCTGAAGAAATACTCTGCTTCAGAGGAGGGTCTTCTGAGGCTGCTGCCAGTGGTCAAAGCCTCCACCAAAGCTCTGTAGGTGGACACACGAGAGATGAAACATTATTGTTCGTGAGAGATGAAACTTTGTCTCTGTGCTAATCACTGATTCTTCTTCAGGCTGAGTGGATGTTACCTGTCAGAGAGAAGCTGTGAAGCTCTGTCCTCAGTCCTCAGCTCCCAGTCCTCCAGTCTGAGAGAGCTGGACCTGAGTAACAATGACCTGCAGGATTCAGGAGTGAAGCTGCTGTCTGCTGGACTGAAGAGTCCTCACTGTAAACTGGAAACTCTCAGGTCAGGTTTTATGCTGATTCAGTTTTGTAGTTGTTTGAATGAAATTGTCTCAAGTTGGTACATTTTTCCTTGTTTCACATATTTTTTTTTGACTCCAGGTTATCAGGCTGTCTGATCACAGAAGAAGGTTGTGCTTCTCTGGCCTCAGCTCTGAGCTCAAACCCCTCACACCTGAGAGAGCTGGACCTGAGCTACAATCATCCAGGAGACTCAGGAGTAAAACTGCTGTCTGCTGGACTGAAGAATCCTCACTGTAAACTGGAAACTCTCAGGTCTCAATGAAGTTAAATATTTAAATTTAATCTGTATGGGATTAAAAAAACAGAATACCCAGAAAATGATAAATATTTCACTTTTAAGGAAGGACAACTTTGAATAGTGAAAGTCAGTCCATTTTTTGTAAGATTGCCATTTATCACCATTAAAAGATGAAAACAAAAAAAGAATCAAACACTTTAATTGAAGTTGAATTAAGCCTTTTAAATAACAGTACAACTGTAATTTAACATGAATAAAGATTTTTTTTTTATCTTACTATTTTTTTAGGTTTACTGGATGTAACCTGTCAAAGAGAAGCTGTGAAGCTCTGTCCTCATTCCTCAGCTCCCAGTCCTCCAGTCTGAGAGAGCTGGACCTGAGTCACAACAACCTGCAGGATTCAGGAGTGAAGCTGCTGTCTGCTGGACTGAAGAGTTCTCACTGTAAACTGGAAAGTCTCAGGTCTGTGTGAAGTTAAACATTGAAATTTAATCTTAAGAGATGGAAAAAAAGAAAATAAAACTAAATGAGATATAAATTGAGCAACTGATAAGATTTCAGTTTTAGGAAGGACAAAACTGAGCAGTTAAAGTCAGTCATTTTTTATGTTGGCTGTTTCATACCATCAGGGGATGGACACAAAAATAATAAAATGCTGCACTGAAGAGTAAAAAAAGCCTTTAAATAACATTAAAACTTGTATTTAGCTTGTAAAAATGAATATATTTTTCAATATTACCCAATTTTTTTAGATGTACTGGATGTAACCTGTCAGAGAGAAGCTGTGAAGCTCTGTCCTCAGTCCTCAGCTCCCAGTCCTCCAGTCTGAGAGAGCTGGACCTGAGTAACAATGACCTGCAGGATTCAGGAGTGAAGCTGCTTTCTGCTGGACTGAAGAGTCCTCACTGGAAACTGGAAACTCTCAGGTCTGTATCAGGTTGAACATAAAACTTAAGTCTGTTAGATCACAAAACCACAGAAACAAAAACATTAATAAAACAGAGAGCTACTTACTGCTCTTTTTTTTATTCAGTCCGATCTTGTTAAGATGATTAATTAAAAGTAATGAGAGAGAATTTTCTTTTTAAAGATTACGGTATGTTCAAAGAAGAAGAAGCAAACGCATATACTACTTTTTATTATCAATAAAACGAAATACCTTATTTTATTCAAACATCTCCAGGTTGACTGGATGTAAACTGTCAGAGAGAAGCTGTGAAGCTCTGTCCTCAGTCCTCAGCTCCCAGTCCTCCAGTCTGAGAGAGCTGGACCTGAGTAACAATGACCTGCAGGATTCAGGAGTGAAGCTGCTGTCTGCTGGACTGAAGAGTCCTCACTGGAAACTGGAAACTCTCAGGTCAGGTTTTCTGCTGACAGAGTTTTGTAGTTGTTTGAATGAAATTGTCTAAAGTTGGTACTTTTCCTTGTTTCACATATTTTTTCTGACTTCAGGTTATCAGGCTGTCTGATCACAGAAGAAGGTTGTGCTTCTCTGGCCTCAGCTCTGAGCTCCAACCCCTCACACCTGAGAGAGCTGGACCTGAGCTTCAATCATCCAGGAGACTCAGGAGTAAAACTGCTTTCTGCTGGACTGGAAGATCCTCTATGGAGACTGGATACACTGAGGTATAACCAGACAGTTACTGAGTCACAGACAACTACAGATATATTTGGTTTCTTCTTCCTGAGGTCTTCACTTAGCAGGTCATCATTGTGGACCATCTTTCTGAAGGACTCTTGGATGTGAACACTTTTATCCTGGATAGTAGCTCTGATGCTCACAAGTTCTCAGCCTCCCTCCTTCCTCTTAGTGTAGACCCTCAGGGTTCTGGATTTAGGGTGAAAACCTCCATTTGAGTATGTTGAGGAGCTTTCTTGTCTTGATGTCAGTGGTCTTTATTTATAAAAAAAAACATTTTTAAATGCTCTTTATGGAGGACCGCAAGGCTCGCTGAAATTAAAATAAAGTATTTTTAATTGAAAAAGTTATTGTACTATTAAAACAGGAATTCATAAAGTGGTTTCCAAATTCACGAATTCATCCATGAACAAATCGAGGAATTATAAAAAGAGTCTACAAATGAATCTTTTAAACTGTACAAAAGTTTATTCTTTAAAATGATGTGCGGCTCAGTCTGTTGTCTCACTGTGGGAAAGCCAAATTTAGAGCCCTGCTGATCGACTGACTGCAAAAAAAAGGTTGTAATATGTTGTTATGGAGCCGTAAACACACGCTAAAAAAAACAGTTTTTAATGGAAGTCTATTGGCCGATTTCTGGACAAAGGAGGGTGGGTGGAGCTAAAATGACAGAGAACTACAGGTGACACCGAGTTTTTTTTAATATGAAGAAAAATAAGAACTGTCACCAAATTTGATGCTCCAATCTTTAAAAATGTGACTGTCAGCTCAAAATAAAGATTAAAAAAAGACAAATGTCCTCAAAACGGACAGAGGAGGAACCAAGGGTTAAAAAAACATGAATGTATTCCCTAATCAATAGTTCAATAATCAACTCTCCTGGCTGACATGGGAAGGTCTTCTCTTCTTGATTTTCTGCTCTCTTTGTTTGGTGAACCATCAAACAAACCCTCAGAGCTACAGAGAAACACCTCCTTCATACATCCACCCTCAGTCAGAAACATGGACTCAAAGTACTGGCTGCAGAAGTGGGTTCAAAGGAGATCAGATAGTCTTCATTGAGCTTCATCAGCTGAGCTCTACTGCTTTACTGGCACAGCTGCATTCAGTGAGAGCAGCAGCAGACCTGTCAGTCATGATCAGGTAAGCTGAGGGGCTGTTTGAGGACATGCACTGACTTTGCTCCACTTCCTGTCCATCCCAAACTGCAGGAAATCCACCTGCTGTTCCAGGTGTGATGCTCCTACTCCCTCTGCTCTAGCTGACTCTGAATGATCCAAGAAGAGCCTCACACACTCACATGAGTTCATCTGAGAGCTTTCATTTCATCTTCATTCATATTTAGAAGAAGAGAGCCCACTACTTCATCTCTCTATCTGCAGACAAGCTTTCAAGTCTATTTAGAAAGAGCTTTTAGACCAAAGTGTGGACAGCTGTCCTAAAAGAAGAAATGAAGGTCTTTTTCCAAAGGGTCCAAATCAAGTCTCCATGTTGTAGGACAGACCAACAGCCAGCCTTTGCTCTTTGAATCTTGTTGTTTTTCTGTGAGTTTCTGTCAGAAAGACTCAGAAAAAGTGACAGAGTGATGGAGACTGTTGGCTCAGATGAGTTTCAGCCTGTTTCTCTGTCACAGGGACAAACTGAGGAACTCTGCTTCATGTTGGACAGCAGGTAGGACTCATGTTGGACACTCAATCATTCTGACTGTGTTTCTTCCTCCAGGGTGGACCATGGTGGAGAGCAGAGGTTAAAACCTGGTCTGAAGAAGTGTAAGTGTTGAATCAGTTTGACTCCTGATGACCAAACAGCAGACTGTCAGCTAACAAAGAAGAAAGCCTTCAGGTGTGTCTGATGATAACCTGCTGCTGTGTTGTGTCTTTTTCTCTCTGTCAGATTTCTGTGAACTCACACTGGACTCAAACACAGTAAACAGACACCTCAGACTGTCTGAAAACAACAGGAAGGTGACACGTGTGGAAGAGGATCAGTCATATCCTGATCATCCAGACAGATTTGACTTCTGGGCTCAGCTTCTGTGTAGAGATGGTCTGACTGGTCGCTGTTACTGGGAGGTCGAGAGGAGAGGAGAGGTTCATATATCAGTGAGTTACAGAGGAATCAGAAGGAAAGGAAGGAGTGATGACTGTCTGTTTGGATTTAATGATCAGTCCTGGAGTCTGTTCTGCTCTGATAAAGGTTACTCTGTCTTTCACAATAACAGAAGAACAGACCTCCGTCCCTCCTCGTCCTCTGTCTCTCACAGAGTAGCAGTGTATGTGGACTGTCCTGCTGGCGCTCTGTCCTTCTACAGTGTCTCCTCTGACACACTGATCCACCTCCACACCTTCAACACCACCTTCACTCAACCTCTCTATCCTGGGTTTAGGTTCTGGTCTTCTGGTTCCTCAGTGAGTTTGTGTTCTGTGTCGGAGGGAGAGTCTCCTCCTCTCTACACAAACAGCAGCTGAAGAACAGTCGACCCTCTGCACTAACACAAACTTCAGCTGATTATCTGACTGTTTGTATCCTGTCACATTAGACAGTCTGAATGTCTGTTATCAAAGAGCAGGACTCCATGTCAAACTGGCTCACTGAACTGGACTGATTTCTGTCTCTATGGGGGAAAAATCCGCCTCATTCAGCACATTTTTCTTCACTGTATTGATCAGAAAGTTTGTCTGAACAGTCAGAGTCAGACTCCTGAAACTCTTCTTCACCTGCACAGGTGTTCATACCTGTGTTTGAACTGATGAAGGTCATGTCCTCATGAGACTGCAGGCTGGTTAACACACACACAGAAAAATCAGAGCCAAGCTGAGAGGAGGATTAGAAAGAAGTGAAGACAGAAAACATGAAAATCTGGAGCCGGAGCAGCAGACTGTAAACAGAAGAGAAAGTGAACGTCACCTCTTAACCAACAAACCTGCTTTAGAAATCATTACAACTCAAATCAAAGAGAAAAATCACAATGAATGAAAAAAGAAGGGTGAAAAATTCAAGAGGAGTAATACAGGTGTAAGAATTGATGTAAGGACGTTTATGAAACATGAACTCAATAAAGAAATCTATATTCTAACAGCTGTCTCAGTTTAGTTCTTACTAATAATCAAATGGATATTGTTATGACCTGGGGTCATATGTTTCCTGTTTCTTTTTTTCAGCAGCACATTTTGTTTGTGGGTAACCCTCCCTACCTGTGGTAGGTGCTGTTACTGTGTGTGTTTTATTTTTCAGGAAAGGACTCTGGCCTGATTGGACAGCAGTTGAGGAGGGAAGCTGTTAAAAGGGTGACTGCTGGAGGAGCTCTCTCTCTCATTTCCTTTGTCTCAACTCCCAGCCAGACCTGTGTTTCGTGGAGGCTCTTTTGTGTTAAAATCGTGGAAAACTTTGTGAATTTTGATTTGTCTTCATGACAAATAGTCTCAGTTGTGTGAAGAGAAGTCTGGTAGGTAGGGGTGGGCAGCTATTTGCTTTCACAGACTTTTTCTCGTGTTTTGGGTTAGGGAGGCAGGTAAGACCCCCTGTATTTTATTTACTATAATTTTGTTTGTTAGGTAAGATAGTTTTAAATAAAAGAGGTTTTGTCTGTTGTTTTGGCCTGTGCCCACCCTGAAGTTGACTACCATTTACGTTAACAATAAATTAATTTAAGACTGCTAACTGTTGTTGATTGTTGGTTTTCTTGGGGGAGTTGGGGCAAAGGAAGGAGCACTTTATGTTGCGTCCGGCATACCCCTAGCAACAATATTAATGATGTTATTGGATGGATCTGAATATTAAAAATCAATTCTAAAACTTACCAGGAGCCGATGAAGTGAAGCTGAAATAGGAGTTCTATGATCTCTGGTTCTGGTTCTAGTTCGGAGGTGAGCTGCTGCATTCAGGACCAGCTGTAACTTGTGTAAACTCTGTTGGTTCAGACGTGTGAACAAAGAGTTGCAGTCGTCCAGAACTGCACATGTCAAAGTTGTAACAAGAGTCAATGGGGAATGATGTGTTCGCCTCTGGCCGTCATATATGTCAACGATGAGTAACTGTTGGAAACATAGGACATTTCTAAACTGACCTTTAGTGCAAATTATACCTTTCAATTCCCTCTCTTCAGACTATATTATTCAATTAGCCTTTTTAAAACATGGGTTATGCATGTGAAAGTCATAAAAAAGACGTTTTAATTCTTTTTCTGTATATTAAATAAAACACCATCAAGCTGTGATATGGAAGCCAAGCAACAGCATTTGGTTGCAGAGAGAAAACAAATAAAGAAAGAAATAAAGAAAGTCTGCGTCTATTTTCGAGCACAATTTTCAAGTGATGTAGTAATAATGATAATCTTTTGATCAAGTTTCTGTTTCTGACCTCTTTTGTTGGTTTCAGATTATTTATAAATGTGTTAAAATTAAAATGATGCCATGAAGACTTTTGGATTTCTCTCAGGACATCTGTCATAATTAAAATAAAGAAAATGAAAATGAAACCACATCAGTTTTACATTAAAAAAAAAAAACCCTGACAGTCACAGGCTTGGTCTCAATGACAGGTGTATTATTGGTTATTTGTGTGGGAATTAAATAAGGCACATTCACATCATCTTTACACTTTCAACCTGAAAGAAAACAGTGGTACAAAAATGATTAAGACTTCTGATTGGGTTTGACATCTTTTCAGTTGAAATTAGACACTGAAACACCAGGACGCTGCCTTCCTGAAGCTGTGAGTGTTCCTGCGTGTCGACATGAATCAGAGGAGATCGGAAACACACAGCTGACTATCAGAAAGGAAAAAAGAAATCAGAAAACATGACAGACCGAGAGTTTAAGAGTTTAAACCGGAGCCTCATCAATTTTAAGGTTTGTGTTAGTCGGTTGTACCCAAAGAGAGAAAGTGTAACACAGTGTTGTGCCGTTATTTGGTCCATGAAACTCCATTACTGAGCAGATTCAATAAACTGTAGCAGAAAACCGACCCGGCTCCTCTGTGTATCTGTGAAAGTCGATGAAGAAGAGCGTCCTCTATCTGCTGGATCTTTTATCTCTCCTCAGATTTCGCTTCACGCATGTCGTCACGCTCAACCAGCCCGGGAGACACTTCTGGAAAATTCAGCTGACGCCGCTAATATCCGTGTTATCTTAAAGGCAGCAGATCTGAGAGATACGCCGGAAACAATCAGCGTCAAACACGCCCTGATTATGTTAGCATTAATGTTCTGTCTTCATCTAAAACCAGGAAGAGTTGATGACGTTGGCGCCTCCTCAGTCTGTCACCTGATTGGACAGTAAAGGGTAAACAAACCCACCTGGACGTCACCTCAAAGATGTCACATCATGCTAAGTTATAGAAGTTTAAGACTGTTTTTCTCAGACTTTGCCTGTCGCCCCCTGATGGCCGGAATAAAAATTAGCTACTTCCGTTTTCAGACTCACAGTTTGAGCATTTTGACAAGATTAATCGAACAAATTCATGCAATCAACGTCTTTATTTAAACATGTAAATTTAGGAAAAAGATGACAAACATCCACAAATTAAAGTTGTAATTTTAAAAACACTAAAATCATAAATTCACAGTTGTAGATTTTTTAGGATTACAGTCTTAAATGTAAAAAAAATTGAGTTATTTTTCATCTTAAATGTGTTGAAAATAAATCAACAAGAATCAAAATGTCGAATAAAGAGGTTTGAGTTTATTTTCACCAGAATAAAGTTTTCATCGAAGAGGTGATTTCCAGATTGAAGTCAGTATTTTAACAGATTGAAGTCGTAATTTGATGAGAATATGTTGACAAACATATTCAGTAAGCGGCTTTAAGAGCCACTTATGCAAGAAACTACAGAGAAACACACTGTGGCATGTGGTTTCACAAAATGGACACTTGGTGGCAGCACCGACCACTAGCGTCACTGGGACTTACAAGTACGCAACAGGAGCTGAGCTCGTTATCCGGTTGAATGGAGAATGAAGAACAGTTTTCCTGTTTTCTTGATTCCTGTGTAATATTTCATGTATTTCCAGGTCAGTTATTCATCTTTTATTTGATCACAGATGTTTATAAGCTAAAATGAATCCCCAGTGATGTTTTATCGGTGAGCTAAAAGTGTGTTAAGAGTGTAAACTTCGAAGTTTGACGGTACGTGACTTTTGTAGCAGAGAAAATGGCGCCGACGCCGCAGCTCGTTGATTTGTTTTTCGTATGTTTCTTTCGGCTCCCGGGCATTTGTGAGTTATTTCTGTGTGTGTTAAAAGCGGTTATGTGTATGGACATTGTTTAACACAGAGTAAGCTAATGAAAATATGTAGTTTGAGATCAGATAGGGCTGCAGTCCTGTTTAAGTGGCGCGTAAGTTAAGAAGAGACAATGACACGGTTCGAGTTCAGCGGTTTTAGCAGCAAGATACGAGGTAACCATGTTTAACAATTCACTTTGTGTTTATATATAGTGTAAAGACGATACTATTTAACTGCAACTGTGATTTATTCTGTTATTAAAAGTGAACACTTATAAAATGTACAGCTAAAATAGTATTTAATGAGAGAAAGATATTTATTTAAGATGTATAAAGGGTTTAAATGTGGGTTGTAAAACATCTAGATTAAAATGTGTGGTAGTAGTACTTGGTAAATGTTTAATATTTGTTTTTTTAACCATCTATAAGCATTACTTAGATGGTTATTGTAAAGTTAGGGTTAGGTTTTTAAAATTGTAAAATTAACAATTTATCAATGGTCTATATGCTATTTATAAATGATGATTAAACAATTATAAACTATCAGCTCACCATTTATAAATGGTCTATTTACCATCTATAAGGTATGGTTTTTGTGAAGTGTTACCCTCTTTTTTTCATCAGCTGTCCCAGGGCAAATAAATTCTCTCCTGGGACACAGTTTGTCCCGTTTTTTAGTGAAAATGGGCTGGAACGGTTCCTTTGCTTCTCGGCTTTTTAAAATTGTCTCTGATTCCTTCCCATTGTATATTTAGGTCACATAGGAGAGACGACAGACAAGGAAGGAGATGGAGGAAATACACGTAAGCAGCCACCAGCATGAAAATAATGATATACTAATTACAGTCCTGACTGGGCGAAACTTTAAGACTCTGAATGAGTACGGCCGACCCAGGGAGACCATTTTTTCACCACATTCGTTTTGTGTCTGGTGAAAATCTTTGTAAAATATGAAGGGAAAGACACATTGGAAATCCACGCAAAAAATCAGCCCAAGGAGTCCACCCAGAATCAGAGCAACAGGCTCAAGAACATCTGTGTCAGAGAGACAACAAAGAGGTAAGAGGAGCTGTGGGAAGTCCTAATTGTTCACCTAGTATATTTGCACATTCAATCATGTTTTAATCCTTATTTTCTCTGTGCATATTTAATGTAGATAAAGGTACTATACGAGGCAAAATTGAATCCTGCTCCTAATACTTAGGATGGGTTAAATGCAGAGAACAAATTTCACTGTTCTGTATGTGTGACTAAATAAAGCACCTGTAATCCTTTGTAACTTAATATAGCCTAGATAACTTAGTAGTCAACCCTAACTCCTGTGATGTCTCTCTCTTTGTTCTAGTGTGTTGACATGGCTGCTGGACTCAGATGATTCAAGGCTGAGGTGACTCATCAATATTATCAGCTGGTGTACACCCACCCTGCTTTGCTTAGCAGTCAGCATAGTGTGTGTGTGAGTTTTTGACCCCTGAATGTTTCAATAAATGACTTCACGCGACTTTGTTTGTGTCTCCTATGTCTGAATTTTTTGTTAATTGGTCCATCTGAACTGGTAATAATGGTCGAGACCTCCGCCCCGAGCATTTGATTGAGTGTGCCTTTCTATCCAAAGTCCAAGGTGGCAACCCTAGAGGTGTGCGAATTGTAAAATGTATTTAGGGGCACATGTGTGCTTAAAAAAAATATGAGCCGAGGCAACAAATGTTTTTTCATGTAAATACCATGGAGAAGTTAGTTTTAGGTTGGATATTTGATGAACATTCACTGTGGATCTACTGGTGCAATACCAACAGCAGCGCGGTTAAATCTGCTCGGCATCCTCGCTGTCAACATCAGTTGTTGTATAAGGGACCACCAATAAATTACCTGTTGATGCGCTCAGAAAAGGCTGTTTTCCTTCAATAACTTCCATGTCACGTGACCAAAAGACCTAAAATTGATTTCAAATTATTGTACTGAGGTTGGACAATGAGACACACCTCTTTATTTCCCTAATTTGTCTTCTAAAAATTTTTGTGTTAAATTGAAAGGCAAATTTTGAACATTTTCTTCAATAGCATCCATGTCATGTGACCAAAAGACTTAAAATTTATTTCAAATAATAGTGCTTGATGTGAATGAGGATATAACCTGTGCTTTAATGTAAAGCAGACAAAATAGCAGAGGATAAGTCATGTTTGCAGTTCAATTGTTTGAATAATATTGTTAATAAATATATTATCTAATTGAATGGAGAATGATTCCTGTGTAGTATTTCATATATTGTACATATATACATATACACACATACATTTATACCCTTTATATGGACATAGCTACCTTTGTTTCTGAGCTCCAGATAACAGGACAGCGACACCTAAGGCGTACAAAGTGAACTGCAACTTATATTGTGCTATTACATTATAAAGCAAGGAGTTTGTGGTGACAACACAATCACACTGTGTGCAAAAAAAAAAACCTGTTCAACAAAATATTCACATTTAGTTGGGGTAGGAGAAGAGGAGTGCTCATCTGGTAGTTTGTTGATGTGACCAGCAGGTGGAGCTGCTGCATTAACATAAACAGAGAGGAAGATGGTTGTCAAGAATACTGAACTTAAAAGATGATCAAAAACTGTCAGTAAATAAGGAGAAGAATCTGTGATCTGGTGGTTCAGGTTTCAGTGAAAACAGTGAAAGTGAAAGTATGTGAGCTGAAAAACAGACTCCATTTTGAGAAAAGAAGAGAGGACGAGGAGACAGGGTGAGTGTTTACTCTGTTTTTGTTTTAGTGTCAAACTCTTTATCTGTATCATCCGTTAATGAAATATAATTTACTGACTAAAACACTTAAAAACTGTAAAACAAAGAAACCTGAGCAGACAAAGAGCTGGATCAGTTCTTCATACAGAAACTGTGTACGTGCAGTTCTTCCTCCTCTCTGTTTAGACTTGTCTTTTTGGTATAAATAAGAATCTTTTTAGCATCTAATTTAATTGATAAGAGTTCAGGGACCTCACAGCTGATTTTGTTTTGACCCTGAATCAGATAAGGATCAGAGAGAGGCCCTGCAGGGTGGGGAGACATCAGAAGTTCTTGGATATTAAACCTGTATAACTCTTAAAGAGGGGGATTAAACTGTTTTCAGACTCTGTACTTCCTTTCTGATTCCTCTTTTATTTCTGAACTCTCTCTTCCTGTTTGTATCTCACCTGTTTGTCTACTTTGTCCTCAGGTTGTATAACTTGGTTTCATCTTCCATAAATTTGCACAACAGAAGATGGAGAATATGAGTGATTGTTTCGAGGAAGAGGAGGACAGAACAAAGTCTGAAAGAGTTCATCATGAAACCTGTAATGAAGTCTGAGCTCATGTTCTTCCTTCAGTCCAGACCTCTGTCACCTTTTAGTCCTCGCTCTGATGGGGGTTAAACCTCAGATTTGCTCTCATAGACTCACTTCATCCTCTCTTTTCTTTCCCCTGACACCTCCCCTCAGAAAACTTTACATTTACAAGCAGCTCTTTTCCTTTTCTTATTCCCTGATATAAAAGCAGCTGAAGAACGGAGATAATCCATCACAGAGTGACACTTTCATTTGATTCGGTCAAAGTTTGGATGTTTTTTATTGTGTCTGAGTGATTTTATGTCTCTGCTGCGTTACATGACCGTCTGCTGTCAACATCAGACTGACCCCAGAGGAAAGAGGCGTCCGCTCCAGGAAATAAACATGTCACCTTTTTAAGTTTCCTGATGTGTTTCTGTGTATTCTGTGTTTTTCAGAGCAGCAGAGCGAGCGTCAGTTTAAAGTTTGTGGACAACAGAAGCTGAAAATAATCCGTTTCAGTGTTGAAGCTCTGACAGCGTTTGTCTCCTCTGATGATGGAGCTCACCGCCTGATCTGAATATTACTGTAACTCCTCAGCTGCTGTGCTGCTCTTCATTAATCATGTCTGACAGGCCGATCTGATATTTCCTCCATGATCTTTCCGGGACGTCCAATCAGCAGCGAGCATCTGCAGGAATATACGCCTGTGCCAGATGCAGAGATTACTCTCCTCCTCTATCGGGCTTCCTCTCCTCCATCAGCCGCTCAGCTGAAAGTTCACTGAGAGAGATAAACACACAGCCGGCTGATAGGAGGAGAAAAATGTGATTCAAATACTTCTGTTTGGTCTAATTAGCAGATTAATCTGCTGTTTGGACAGTCGGGCCGAGTAATGATTCAATTACTCATCCTGCTGAATGTTTGCAGACACGTTACTGAAAAATACAGGATTTTATGATTCTAACAGACGTGCTAGCAGCAGTGTGGGTTCATGCATTATGATGATAAAAATACCAGCTTGTTTTTAAAGAGGATTTGTACAGAAGAGGATGAGGGCAACTGGGAAAAAAAAGGTCTGATATAATTCTTTTATTATTCTAAGAAAAAGGCAGAAACCTGAGAAAAATCCCAGATTTCTGAGATTAACTCAACATTCTGAGATTAAAGTCAGAATTCCAGTTTTTAATCTCAGAATTTAATTTTTCACAGATTTATTTTCTCAGAATTCCAGTTTTTATTCTTAGAATTTTATGTTTCACTAAGTTATTTTCTCAGACTTCTGAGAAAATAGTCAGAATTCGGAATATTTTCTCAAATTTTGACTTTAATCTTAGAATTTTATTTTATTGGGAATTATTTTCTAAGGATTCTGATTTAAATCTCAGAATTTTAACATATTTCTCAGAATTCTGTGTTCAATCTCAGAATTTTGATTTTTTTCTCAAAATTCTGACATTTTTCTTAGAATTTACATTTTTCTTAGAATTCTTAAATTAATCTCAGAATTCTGACTTTTTTTCTCAGAATTTTTTTAATGAAATCTCAGAATTCTAACATTATTCGTAGAATTCTGACTTTATTCTCACAATTTTAACATTTTTCTCAGAATTCTAAATTCTCAGAATTCTCAGAATTCTGACTTTTTTCTCAGAATTAAAGTCTGTCTTTAATCTGGGAATAATAATTTAAAAAATAACATCGGACCTTTTTTTGTTTTGTTTTTTGGGATTTTTTCGGTGGCCCTAATCCTCTTCTGTAAATTATATTCATGTTTCTGCAGCAGGGCAGGAAACTGGGAGACCGTGGAGGAACCAGCACCTTCAGCAGACCTGGTTGTCCAAGGGTGCAAAAGCAAGCATTGCACCCTTATTTATTTATTTTTTTGCAACACGTATCAGAGTGTTTCAATGTGAGTCGAGCAGGACCAGGGGACAACCAGGACCTGGATTAAAGAGAGACAGGTATCAACATTTTGAAGACAAGATGCAGAAGTAGAAAAATACTTAATTAAGAAAGATATAGATGAAGAACAGATAGAGTAGGTATTAAATGTGATGAGCTGAGCCGTTAAAGAGGTCAGTTTTGAGTGTAATGTGCCCTTGATTCCAGCCTCCTGTGGTGAGGAGGGGGTGTGTGGCTCAGGTCCCACCTGTTCTGGCAGCTTCTCCAAAGTCTATGAGCCATATAATCCAAGGCTGGAGGTCGTCTGTTACTCTGCCATCAGGCTGCTGTGGAGTTACTGCGAGATTTTAAATACAACAACCTCTGAGCTGGACTTACTTGAGATGTTTTACCTAAGGCAAAACATCTCAAGTAAGTCCAGTTGTCCTTTAAATGAAGAATTGGAAATCATAGATGCTTCATCCTCAGTTTTAAAGAGTAGAGGGTCCACCTAGCTTGTTCTCAGCTTCCAGTCCGAATCCAGCATCCCTGACGGTATGGGGGTCATCAGAGTCCATGTCATCTGTGAAGACTCCATTAATGCTGAACAATATCTCCAGGTTTAGGAGAAACGTCTACGATCATCCAGGCAATGATAAACCAGATTCTGTTAAGGAGGCCCTGAACTGTTGAGCAGCTGAAATCCTCTATCAGGCCAGAACGGGAACACATTTTACTGTCAGACTCCAAAACCTGGTCTCCTGGGTCCACGTTGAGACCTGAGTGTTTTCAGAATATTCTGTGAGTAAATGAAAACCTTAAATTTTGCATTTTTAAAACTGAAGCAGGTGTTCAAAGATATAACCTTGTTTTTACCACTAATGTCCAGCAGATGGCGGTCTGACTCCACCTTGAGTCTCGGGTTTCTCCCTGACTTAAATGAAGCTCCTGGTAATGGATGCATGTGTGTGTCAGAGCTCCAGATTGTGGTCTATTTGTTTAGCTCATTACCAGCCTGAATCCCAGTCCAATTACCTGAGGATAAACAGGAGCAGAGGTGGTGATACGCTGTAATGCTGTAATTTCACTGATTATCCACAACACGGCCAATAAATGATGCAGAGAGCTCCTTTTTTTTCTCTGATATCTCTGCACGAATACTCCGATTTAACGGCTTTGTGAAAAATTACAACACATTCATCTGTTGGATTTGGACAAACAATAATAACAGGGGAAGCATGTCCTGATCAAAAGTGACTGAGAGGATGTCAGTGGAAAATGTCAGGAGGATAAACACTGTCACCCAGTTTTCATACGGTTTAATTTTCAAAAGAAAGTTGATTCTGTGAAGTCCTTTTCATGTAAGTTTACCTTTAAAATTCTCCGAGAAACAGTAAAAACTTAAAAGTGCATCTGCTCCAGAAATCAAACAATCATTGTCTCTTAAATGAAAAAGCTAAAAAGTGACCGTGGAAAAGGAGTGATGTTTCTGCAGAGCATGCATCCAGAGACTTTAAAGACAATAAAGATGGAGATTATTTTTCACTCTTTGCATGCAAATTTCAGAAATCTGCTGTTAAAAACACAAGGAGACATATTTGAATGCACAAACATATTTAAAAAAAAACGACATGATTAAAGGGAACGAGTTTATCTTAGTCATAATGCGAAGTGCTGTGAGCAGATATTTGATGGTAACTGGAGTAAATGATCGTTTTATAAATAGGTTTTTTTATTTTGCACGTTTGTCTTTAAGGCAGAAAATGGAAACGTTTTAATGGACGGCTGTGATCAGATTTTTTATTCTGTGTCTGATTCAAAGGAATTAGATCAGTTTATGTTTTTTACAAATGGATGGCTAGAGTGATTCAGTCAGGACTGGAGAGATTGAAGGGTTAGCATTTGGATTTTTGAATCCACTTTTGCATCTGTTTGAGGATGAATTAATGCGCTGTACAGGGTTAATCTAAGGGAACTCTGAGTTGGATTAACTTCACTCTTAACTTTTGGGTTATTTCAGACTTGTGCAGGTTTGGATCAGAGTTTATGCTCTGAGCTGAAATTGCAGTGTCTAAAAAACATGGAGTAGAGTGAAAGGAAGCCGGAATTGGAGCTGCTCCAGTGAGAATGAATCATACTGACTGACATCCATCTGACCTGTCGTCCACTTTACCTGTACTCACCTGCATGTTTCTGCTTGGACTGCTGTGCAGGACTAGAAAAGAGAAATAGTTGTAGTCGGGTCTCTGACTTGGTGGATTTTAACTTTTAGGTTTCTTGTTTTTTTTCTATAAAAATGTTTCCAAAGAGGTTTTTGAAGATAAAAGAGTTTAATTTAAGTATTTGGCTGTAAAGATGGATAATTATTGTATAAACGGTTTAAAGTATATGTACCTCTTAAATTTATATTCTCTGCATCTTGGATAAAATTTTTAAAAAATATTTTGCTGAAAAATCAAAAAGCATTTTCATTATTTTTGATCCCCATGTAAAAGGCCTCTAAAGGTTGTATTATTGTGCACCTGTGTGTGTGTGTGTGTGTGTGTGTGTGTGTGTGTGTGTGTGTGTGTGTGTGTGTGTGTGTGTGTGTGTGTGTGTGTGTTTCCTGCAATTGTTAAACAGATATTCCGGCGTAAAATTAATTTAGGGTCAAACACAGCACCGTGACACCGAGTTAGACCCCCCCTCCAGAGATGAATGTTGTCGACCGCTTGCTTCTCTAGTTATACCAACTTTAGTAACGACAGAGAGCCACGCCCTCAACCAAAACGCCACTCTATAGCCACAAATAATGCTCAGAACAGCACCTAACTTCATCAACAGGACATATAGGGTCACAGACATAGTACTAGACACCAAACATCTTTTTAACTTTGACTCATTTCTTTAGCAAAGAGACTAAACACAACTCACCTACTCTCTTCCAGCAGACGCTTGTTTGGAGACCTGGGGCCAGTCCATTACAGACTACAGCGGGGTGACGCAGCTCAAGGAAGAACCAGCCATCCATCCCATCCGAGCGCCAGTTCATCGAAGGGCTGACATATAGAGACGAACAACCATCCACGCTCACATTCACACCTACGGACAATTTGAAAGTGGCCAATTAACCTAACCCCACTTCTGCGTGTTTTTGGGACGTGGGAGGAAACCAGAGTAAACCCTCGCAGACACAGGGAGAACATGCAAACTCCCGGATTCAAACCCAGGACCTTGTTGCTGTGAGGCGACAGTGCTAACCACTTCACCACTGTACCGCCCCTCAGGGAAGAACATTTATGATCATTTCTTTATCGTTTCCTTGAGGTAATAATCACCATATTAATCATAAACCATCATATTGATCATTAATGTTCTTCCTTGAGCTGCGGCACCCCGCTGTAGTCGATGGACTACAAACAAGCGTCTGCTGGAAGAGAGTAGGTGAGTTGTGTTTAGTCTCTTTGCTAAAGAAATGAGTCAAAGTTAAAAAGATGTTTGGTGTTTAGTACTATGTCTGTGACCCTAGTTGGCTAAAGTTGGTATAACTAGAGAAGCAAGCGGTCGCCAACATTCATCTCTGGAGGGGGGGTCTAACTCGGTGTTACGGTGTGTTTGACCCTAAATTAATTTTACACCGGAATATCCCTTTAACCTGCCGTGTTTCGAAAGAGCTCTTCTTCCTCCCTCTATTCTGTACCGATCACCGGGAACCACGGTGGGCAGGTCTGAACGGAGAGAGAGAGAGAGAGAGAGAGAGAGCGCGAGCAGATCTCTCCTCCACTCGACGCTGCGCTCGTGCACCACGGGGTGCGCATTCAAACTGACCAGCGCGTGTCTCCGGGAGAGAGCGCAGACTCCTTCCTCTCCGCACATCCTCACTAACCGCAGCAGCAGCAGCAGCAGCAGCAGCTGAGCACCGGAGCCGGTAGGTGGTTTCCTTCTTTCCTTGTCTCCTCTTCGTTTCCTCCTCGTTCACGCGGACGTGTCTCGGTATTCGTGTTAAACCGGATTGAACCCCGAGCATCGCTGCGTATTTTCGGGGGGAATCTGCGCCGTTTTTCTCCCACGTGAGGGGGTTTCTGCTGTCGCCCGAGCGCTCCGGGTTCTGAGGAGTCTCGTGCCTCAGATAAACCGGTCTACCTCAGGAACGATTTAGGGTGAGATCCGGTTACATCCGAGGGACAAAGTCTGCGTAGAGGAGGAGGATGAGGACGGGGGGCTTTAAGAGCTGCATGAGACTAAATGAGGAGCTGAAAGTTGGAAAAAAAAATCAGATAGAAGAGTGACGGGATGAAAATTTACTGTGACTTTATTAAAATTATTGAATTAAACATTTATAAGTTTAAAGGTTTGTTAACCTCTGCCTGCACACCTGTTCACTTTAGTTCATTTGACTTAAACCTGAATTAAAACAGATAAAAGGTTCTTTTAAAAAGTTCTCATCAAAGATTTTTAATGTTTTATTTCTTCTAAATCTCACAAATGTCTCATCTAATCCGTTCTCAATTCGACTCTGAACTCTTTTGCGTCAAATATTTACGCAGAGAGGAGAAATGAGACAAAAATATAATCATCAAATTCAGTTTTAATTCTCCAGATTTCTCCTCATTGATCCTCCGTACAGTTTTAGAGCTGCACATGCCTCCAAATCTGTGTGAGAGTGTAAGTCAGCTCCACACTCAGATGCGCTTTAATTTTATCAGTGTGTGTTAGAGAGAGCATCAATCAGAGACACACACTCTGATTCTGCAGCCTCACACACACACACACACACACTCTCTCTCTCTACACTGTACTGAACTCTGTCTAATGCTGCTGCAGCCAGAGGGTTTCTCCTTCTCTTCGTCTCTTCATCTCTCTGTCCTCTCTTGGTGGATCACTCTTAAGGTCTGAGGGTCTACAGGTTCAGGGCCCCCCCCTCAGAGCAGGATCTCGGTGAACCCTGGTTGTCCTCAGCGACTCTTACTTCAACTCCAGGTTCTGTAAAGTCTCTCAAAAACTCTCGTAGATTTGTTTCAGATCTGTTTTAAAGTTTTCAGTGTTTTTGCTTCTTCATCGTGAAAACTCGAACACTTCTTTAACTTTGTGCAAATAAAAAACACGCATTACCCTCTGTTGTCAGGTTTATATTTTTAATCTCAGAGAAATATTCGTTTATTAGAAATGACTCCAAAAGATCCACTCCGTCTTAAAGTCCTCGAATCTCTTCATTAAGTCATCTTCGTGGTTTTAAATCAGCCGTCAGTGAGGAAGCCGTCTTTTGCTTTTTGGAGAATTTTATTTACACTCTGCAGAAATCAGTCGATCTATTCCAAAAGCTTGTTTTATTGTTTTATTTCATCTGTGTTTTGCATTTTCGCTCTGATCTGTGGTTTTTGCCTCCATCTCACCACCCGTTTTAAAATCACGTCATGTCTCTCTAAAGCGTTTTAAACCGAGGTTAGGTGCAGAGGTGACGCTCTGTCCGGGTAAAAATCCAAGTTCAGGTGAAAGGAAAAGAGAAGAAGCTGCTGATAAATTCTGCGTCCTTCACTGTGGACGGGTCAGGGATACGCTGGAGCTGGATAAACTGGTTTTACTGGGTTATCCTAAAGTGGTTCGCTCTGCTCCGTGTTCACACGAGTTTGTTTTGACATTTTGTGTGAAAATCCTGCTTGTATGTAAAAGTTAAAATAACATGAACTTATTTAGTCCTTATTGATGCAGGTAGACGAAGCTTTGGTGAGGGAGAAGCTGCCGTCTGGATGTTCAGGAGGTTATGTTCGAAACATAAACGGAGATTATTCGGCTGATCTTTTCTTTAATATTTGATTTTATTTTTTTACTTTTCGTGTCCTAAAGGTCTGGAGTTTGATTTGTGGATAAAAGATTGAACAAAGTGAGAAAAACAGAGAGATAATTTTTACTTTTGTAGAAATTAAACAAACTTAAATTAATGACGAGAATCATAAAGATGAATATTTCAGTTTTAGTTTTACTTTGAATTCAGGTGAAGTTTAGTCGACTGACCGTCTCACCTCCTCTTTTATTTTGTGTCACTCCTCTATCCTGTTTGTGACCTGTGTGATTGTAAGCCCCGCCCACATTTGTCTCACCTGTGTGTGATTAACCTCAGTCCCTCTCGGTGTCTCTTTGTTGAGCTTCTCTCTCCTCGTGTTTGGACTTTAACTCTCTGGCTGTTATTGTTGGATCTTGATTTTTGACCCTCACCTGTCCGCCCTCACCTGACTGTAAGTCTCACCTCTTAATTGTTGCTCCAAGATCAGTCTGTGTTTTAGTCCTGCCCCGTGTTTCCCAGTTTTCAGTCCTCTTGATCAGGGTAACGTGACGACAGATCAGGGTTATTATAGATAAACCGAAACACCGATTAGATAAGAGTCGTATATTTCTCGCTCTGTGTGTGTGTGTGTGTGTGTGTGTGTGTGTGTGTGTGTTTCTGCCGTTAGAATAAAACTCTAGTTGTCGTTTTAAACTAACCAAACTTACCGATGGGATCCCAAGAAAAGAGAGAGAGAGCTTTGATTTACGTCTAAAAGCTTTTTAATTTAAATCTCATAATTTTCAAAGAATTTCAGCAACATTTTCAAAGATTTTTAGGCTCATTGTTTTCTGATTTAATCTATGTTTATATACGTTTTATCTTTATGCATTTAGACTCTATGAGAAAGTTTAGTTTTGTCTTGGAATATCATCCCCTCACTTTAATTTTAGTTCACCTGCAGGCGCCTTAAACCCTCACCAGTCAGACCCCAAAAGAAAAGAAAGAGTTTGTGATACATGAAAAGGAAATATTTACTTTTTTTTTTTTTTTTTTTTAAAAGCTGGATGTGGATTTTAGTAAAATATGAAAAACTTTAGATGTAACTGCTTAAAAAAAAGTCAGAAAATGTCTGATTTTTACATTTTTTTAAAGCCGAAATGAGTGAAAAAGAAAAACAGATCTGACATAATGGAGAAAATTTGAAGGAATTTCCTGTTTTCTGATTTTACGTCTAAGAACTTTTAATTAAAATCTCATCAGAAATGGAACATTTTCGAAGATTTTCAGGCTCATATTTTTATTCATATACTTTTTTATCTTTATGCATTTAGACTTTATGAGAACGTTCAGTTTTTCCCCAGAATACCATCCCCTCACTTTAATTTGTGATATTTTCTCTTTTTAAAGCTGGATGTGTCGTTTTAAAACTCGAGTCTGAGTGAGTGATTTTAGTAAAATATGAAGAATTTGAGATGTTCTGCTTAAAAAAATGTCTAATTTTTATATATTTAAAGCCAAAATTAGTGAAAAAGAAAAATAAATCTGTCAGAATGAAGAAAATTTGAAGGAATTTTCTGTTTTCTTATTCCTTGTGCTGATATTTTTACTTATTACGAGCAGTTAAGGTCTTTAAATTCGGAGCTTAATGCACATTTCAATCAAATTCCACTGAAATTAAACCAAATGAGACGTTTCTTAGACTTCAGATAAAATCACTTCCTCAGATTTGAGTTGAACAAACTTTTCCGTCATTGACGAGAAGAAATCTTTAAATTCAGATCAAATTTAAATCTGCGTCTGTGTCCGGGTGATTTTTTACTGAGATTTCCTAAAACGCCGTCAAACCTCAGAGGACGCCAAAATCCACGCGGGTAGAGAATCTCAGAGTGGAGGTTTCTCACAGATCCGAGGATGAGGGAGTTTTTTTTTGTGTGTGTCTGACTCGGTGAATAAATCAGGCGCTGAGGTTGAATTTGGAGGCTCTGCGGCGAGGATTCAGAGTGTGATGTGGAAAAGTGCGTTCTGGCCTGATGTGTTATAATCTCACAGCATCTGTTAATGCATCTCTGTCTCTCACTGTCACCGTCTCACTCTGACAGCAGCAGCAACACGTCTCACACACGTAATCTGCACCCCTGAAACACATCCACCGAGCATGCTGGGATTTACCGTGACAAACTGTGAGTGTGTGAAGTGTGTGTGTGTGTGTGTGTGTGTGTGTGTCGGTGTGTGAGGTCGCAGTGAATGAGGAATGGAGATGGCGCGCTGACATCACACCGCGGTCCAGGTGGACTTTGCCAAAACCCGGTCCCCAAATTATCACCTCCGTCTCCTCGGCTCGTCTCTGAAAAATGAGGCGCCACACTTCACACACACGCACACACACACACACACACGCGCACACACACGCTGAAAGGATCCTATCAATCGAGTTCATTATTTTATTCCTCCAGAGCCAAATAGGTAATGAAAAGGAGACGGCGTGCACGGCTCTCCACGCAGGAAACAAGATTTAAAACGGCGGAAACCAAAGAACATTTGTAGATGATAAATCCTTTTGAGCTTCAATTTTTCAGCCTGATCCTGCAGAAACATCCATTTTTCATTTGGTTCCTGATTGAATGTTCCTATTCAGACTCCTGTAAGATTTAAAGAAGTGACTGAACACCAGCGAGCAGATGCTCTTGTACCTCAGGAGCTGCAGGCGATCACACACACACACACACACACGGTTTACATTTAACACAACGCAGCACCAACAAATGTTCATGCATGCGCCTGATTTTCTCTGCAGCAGCCTTTCAAAATAAGAGCTTCACATGTTTGATCTTATTGTAACAGTAACAAAACATCAAAGTGACCGTGAAGACGTGAAATCTTGAAGTCCTCTGATTTAAACTCCGTTTTTTTCTCCTCTCTCTCATTTCGACTGTGTATTAAATTTGTAAATATTGTCATTAGGAGACGTGTTTGTCGCTGATTTTCCTCCATCATAAATCTGGAGACCGTCCCTGATGTTTGTTCATGAAGAGGACAGATTATTAGGAACACCTTTCAGTAGAAAACACTCCTGATGTCTTTTGCTGTCTGTAGAAAAGAAACCACATTGGAAAACATTTGCAGGAGGACAAAGACAGACAAACTAAGGCTACGTTCACTCTGCAGGTTCTGATGCACAATTCTGATTTTTTTGTTAAATCCGATCTTTTTGTGCGGTCGTTCACATTACAACATCGAATGCGGTATCTAATGTGAACAGAATGTGTTCGTGAAGTGACCTGCGTGCGCACAAAGCAGGACAAAATAACAGAATACATGATGGTTTCAGTTGACGTTCCAGCCTGTCATCAGTCACAGGACTAAACCAGGACTCAGTTTTCTGTTTAAATGCAACATTTTGAAGACACGTTACCACTCGAGAGACATATTTTGTAAATTGCTTTGACAGCAGAGCTAACCTTCAATCATAAACTTATGAATTACTCACCCGTGTCGCCGGCAGAGCTTCTCGCTGGGCTGGCTGCTGCTGTGGTGCCTGGAGAGTCAGCGGGGTCCTCTAAAGACAGACAGCTGGGTTTGCCACCCAGAATTTTATGGACAGGTTACACGACCGCGTCCGCTTCTTTGGTTCACGTCCTTCGTCTCTTTTATATTTAGCGTGAAGGCTTTTGATTTCCCGCTGGCACTGCAGCCAGGAACGCTTGACGCCTCGCTCGGCCAATTCCTTGGCGATTTCCTCGAACACCGCCCGGTTACGGTATGAGCCCTCTATTTTGGCTTCAACTGACCGGTCTCCCCATATATTTATCAACTCTAATGTTTCTTCTTTTCACCACCGGCTGTTCTCCGTTCCCTCGTCCACCATCAGGTCGTCGAACAATGGTGACGTTTGTCGCATATTGATGACGTATAGGTCGGATGAACGCGACCTGAGCGTCCACACTGCAGTCACATCGGATACATATCAGATTTATATCCACATACAGAAGAGGCCTGGGTCGGATCAGAACAAATCAGAATTGCACGGTTCACCCTTAGATGAAAAAATTAGATATGAGTCACAGACGGTTAAAAAATCAGAATTGATGTTAAAGATACGAATAGTATTTAAAAACTTCTGTTTGATGCTCAGACACAACATGAAACCTTTAAAAGTTCATTAAAATCCGACAGTTAGAGGAGAAATCTTTCATTTGACGAAGGAAGAAAAGTCGCTGCATGGATTTCTTCACGATGATACTGATGTTAAAGTGCCAGATTAGATTGTTTGTAAAGAAATTTGAGACTTCTCACCATCTTAACCTTCTTGTTGTTAATCCAACCAGAGCAACCAGAGCAAGCTCTAGAGGTGACTGTTTTGTGCCGCTCAGGAAAAGAGCTTTTGGCCGAGCTGTATTCTCCTTTCCTGCATCACGATCCTGGAACCAAATAGCCGAGCACCACACGTGAACTCCCAACCCTCACTTCTTTTACTGAACATCTCAAGTCAAACCAGACCTGCCGTCATAATCATCTCTAAAACTGTTTATGTCTAATCGGCTAATTGATTTGGGGTACCACTCTTAATTTGATCTGGCGTACATGGAAATTAGCCGTTTGGCTGTAATCCCACATATTTACATGTAAATGTTCGTCAATATGAACTGTTCCAATTCTTAAAAATAAATACATAGAAAATAGAAATAATAATTAGAGGGAGACGGGGTCGTTTTCTCCTACGATAGTTGATTATGATCTTCGTTTTGGAGACTTTTAAAATAATAATAATAATAAATTCAATAATGAAACTCGTCGTTGTCCTGGGAGACGAAGAAGCTGAAACTGAAACAGAGTTCTTCGCTGTGGCGTCCCGCTGAGAGCTGATTCAGCACTTTTAAGAACTGAGCCCGTGTGTCTTCAGGTCACTAAACTCGAAACTGTTTTCATTCGATACCTGAACTTGGTGCACGTCAAAATAAAAGCATATTTGAGATAAAGATATTAAACATCAAAATAAGAGCGTGGAAAGGTTATTATTTCTGATGGTCATGAGTCTGATCTCAGGACGGCCCCGCTGGATCTGTGGTTCTGGGTCACATTAGGTCCCCCTGTTGTCCTCCATGTTGAACCTCAGACCACAGTTTTGTTCTTCCTGCACGTCTCTGCAGAAGTCTGTTCGGTCACGCCCACATTCAGACGTCTTTCATCAAAATTTACTTCCTGTGTTTTTTTGTTTTGTTTTATCGACACTTTTCCACCGTGTTCAACAACATTTGGTTCTTTCGACCCTTTAAGTGCATCTGATGCATGAAAGGAGGGCTGTGATTGGCTCCCAGGTGGACATGATCCCTGCATGATTGGTTCCTGTCCGTCAGATCTGATCTAGGGTCGGTTAAGTGTCGTCAGATGAAAGTTCGGAGCGGTACAAACTTTGTAAATCAGTTTTTTTTTGGATCTTGTTCTTCGTTGTGTCCCTGAGTTTCTCCTCATGTCTGCTCTGCTCTGTTTCTCTCAGGTACAGATAAAAAGAAGAAGGAGAAGAAGAAGAGGAGGAGGAGGAGGAGGTGATGTTGTCCTCCCAGCTCAGCTCACTGTGAGGGTTCGAGTCTGATAGCAGCGCCGTTTCCTCCACTTCCTGTTTTCAAACTCAAAAGTCAGTCCGCTCCTCGCGCTCCACCTCGCGCTCCACCTCGCGCTCTCCTCAGCGGTCCTCAGTGCCATGGCCTTCACCCTGTCAGAGATCATGGCAGCACGGCGGCAGCAGCAGTCTCAGTCCCACACTCAGAGAGGCAGAGCGGCGGTGGAGGTGGACGAGTACAGCACCAACCCCACCCAGGCCTTCACCTTCTACAACATCAACCAGGGACGCTTCCAGCCGCCGCACGTCCACATGTGAGTACCTCAACACCGTCTACATGACTTAAACATTTCTTATGATTTTTAACTTTTTTAAAACTCAAATGTTTTTATTTTGCGTCCAGAAAGTCCGACTCCATTTCTGATTCAGTTTGAGAATCACAAATATTTGATCCAAACAGTTGATGGTGAGAAAACACGAACCTTCTAATCTTCACAAACTCCGACTTATTAGCGCGCTCTCCAAAATGAAGACCCCGCCCCTTTAGCTCTACATGCAAGCGAGGCTACAGATTTCTGCAGAGGAGGCGACTCGGTCACGTTTGGTTTTTGGACTATTTTGCACGGACGTGTTCCTCCGCCTGCAGCAGGATCAGCTTCTTAGTTCGGTTTGTCTCTTTGACGTCTCCAGAAAAAAAAGCAGCTGATCGATGCGCTGCAGGTCGAGGACACGCACTCGTGTCGTGTCGTCTTTATTTTCTGATGGTAAAGAGCTAAAAAAGTTTTCACTTAAACTGAAACTTCGAGTCTCTTTTTCAACATTGTTGTTTTTTCTGTCAGACAAATATTGTTTTGAGTTTGAGGTGAAAAGACCTTCGAGTGAAACGACTTCTTTACAACACGATCCACAAACATTTTAACTGTTTTGAGTTTTTTTTAATTTCAGGAAAATAAACGAGAGAAACTTTGATTTTGGATGAATACGCGGCCTTCAGTTTGTTTTTGTTTCAAAACCAATTCAGGGAAAGTCGAGTCCCGACAAAAGATCTGAAATTGGTTTCTCTGCTGATGGTATATTGTCTTTAAATCTGATTGTTGCACAAAAGCAAAATCAATTACAAGCAGCGACCTTCATCGTTCTCTCCTCATCAGTTTTTAAAAAATCATCTCCAGTGTGAAGTTTGAGAAAAGAAGGAAGAATAAACGAGAGTGAATTTCTTCTTCTTCTTTTTATACTTTAAAAAAACACATTTTTAGTTCAGTGAAGGTAGAGCAACAAAATCAGCTTCTCCACAGTAAACATAAGAGACTTCACGCTAGGAGAACATGTGTAAACAGAGGTCGACTTTCCCATCAGGCAGAGGGACAGGAATGTTAAAGACCCCCAAACTGAAGGAACGCGACTCTAAAAACTGCAGACTACTAAATTCAACCCTAACCTAAACTCAAAGAGAGGTAATCAGCTGACTCTCACTGGTACAAATCCAGAACCACGCCGTCTCTTTAAAGGGATATTCCGGCGTAAAATTAATTTAGAGAATTAATTGAGAGTATTGCTATCCTGCGGTTGTTACTAAAGTTGGTATAACTAGAGAAGCAAGCGGTCGGCAACATTCATCTCTGGAGGGGGGGTCTAACTCGGTGTTACGGTGGGTTTGACCCTAAATTAAATTTACGCCAGAATATCCCTTTAATTTGTTCTCAGCCAAAAAAGAGGGAAAAAAAGGTATATATGTGAAAAAACAAAAAAACATTTCTTTATCATTTCCTTGAAGTAATAATCACCATATTAAGTAACTTGGTGTTAAGGTGTGATTCAGTTTGAACTTTCCTAAAGTTGAGTTAAAATCAGATGAAACTCTTAAAAGCTTTTATATCGAGGTTCTAAATCCTTTTAATAAATCGTCTTTTTGTACATTTCCTGACATGATGAAGGAAATCAAACTCCTTCTCCTTCTTCTTCTTCTTCTTCCTTCTTCTTCTTCTTCTGAACTCTCGGTGTACTTTATTACTTTCTGACTCAGTTCTTCTCGTCTGTCCTACATGCATCTTCTCTCCTCCTTCCTTCCTTCTCTCTTGTTGTGGGTGCAGAGGAGGAGGAGGAGGAGGAGGCAGGGCTGGATGTTATCGTACCTGGAGGAGAGCTCACTAAAGTGGGCCATGGTTATTCACCAGCTCCCCTCTTCCCCCTGGAGACCCCATGGATCCGCACGCTCGCAGGAAGTCCCACAGGACGCCGTTCTTCTTCCATATCTGCGCTTTTTTCTCTCTCTATCTCTGCACATTTCTCTTTCTGTCTCTGCTCTTTTATTGTGGCCTCTCGCTTCTCGCTGCGTCTCCTGTTTCCTCCTCCTCTGCCTCGGTCTGTGGGGAGGATTTTCTGCTGGATACTTATTCAGACTTCTTTCATTGTCAGCGTCTCACCACAGAGACTTTGCATACGGCAGAGTCGTTTCTTTAATAACAGCCGCAGTGACCCCTTTTCTCACGTCCTCTCTTAACTTTCTCCTCCTCTTTTCTTCCTCCTCTCTTCAGGGTGGACCCCATGCCCCACGACACGCCCAAGCCGCCGGGCTACACCCGTTTCGTTTGCATCTCAGACACTCACTCCCGCACAGACTCCATCCAGATGCCGTACGGCGACGTCTTCATCCACGCCGGAGACTTCACCGAGCTGGGGCTGCCCTCCGAGGTCAAGAAGTTCAACGACTGGTTAGGTCAGCATCTTTAAAGTTTTATACGAGAATCTGAAGTAGATCAGGAGGTCGGCGTCTAATCCTGCAGATTCAGGACTGCAACTCGGGGCCTGCTTCTCTAGGACCATCAGTTGTTGGGATAATAAACACCAAAAATACTGAATGGTGCAAGAAAGAAAAAAAACAATACAGAGAAACTAAAAACGTAGAAAAATGAAATCAGACACTAAAAATGTTTAAGAACGATTTTGTTTGACACTTAAAATGGTTCCACTCAGAAAACTGTTTTTTACACAGAGAATAATCTTGTTTGACCGCGTGAATGGTTTCATTTAACATAAAAAAAAGGTAAATCAGATGATTGTAATGCAGTTAGACACTAGACAAGTTTAAGTTACACACAAAAATGACTTTGATTCACGTGAAACAATTCTGTTCAACTCCAAAGCTGTAATAAAACACTTTAAAAATACTTAAAATGGTTATGTTACAAACCAAATGACAAAGATACTTAAATCAAACAGACTATTTATATACAGACTTAAAGGCAGTCAGACATTTAAAACGGTTATAAAAACACTTAAAATACAGAAAAGAATCTAAAACTGGAAACACACTTCTCATTACAAGTTAAAAGTGTTAAAACAAGATGCTTGAAAACACACTTAAAATGTAATCCTCGGTGTTGCACCAGAACTGAAATACAACGCAAAAATGTTTATCTTGGACATTAAATATGGTTTCTTTCAAACACTTAAAACACACTTAAGACACTTGAAATGGTAACCAACTTAAAACAGATAAGACGACACACAATAGTTACGTTACACACTAAATTTGCCGTTAGACACACAAAAATGCTCATCAAGCACAAAAAAACTCCATCAGACACTAAAATAGTTTGTGTTCTTAAAATAACTTAAAATGAATGGCTGAGTTGAAATACAGAAAACGCTAAAAAAAAGAACTTAAAATGGTTATGTTACTAACAAACCAAATAGCAAAGGTACTTAAATCAAACAAAGACTGTTTCTGAATATTTTACAGACTTAAAGGCAGTAAGACAATTAAAACGATAAAGAAACACTAAAAATACAGAAAGACTCTTAAATTGGAAACACACTTCTCGTTAAACATTCAAGTTAAAAGTGCCGATTGGCTTTCATGTTAAAAATGAGATGTTTGAAAACGCACTTAAAATGTGGCCCTCGGTGTTGCACCAAAACTGAAATACAGCCACAAAAATGTTTATCTTGGACATCAAACATGGTTTCATTCAAACACTTAAAACACACTTAAGACACTTGAAATGGTAACCAACTTAAAACAGATAAGACGACACACTATAGTTACGTTACACACTAAATTTGCTGTTAGACGCTCAAAAATGCTCATCAAAGAAAACTTTAAAGTAGTTTATGGTCTTAAAAGAACTTAAAATGATTGGCCAAGTTAAAATGCAGAAAACACTTTAAAAAATTTAAATGATTATGTCAGACACTATCATGCTCTTAAAGTGCACTTAGACCCTAAAACTGGAGACATTAAATGAAATAATATCATGCAATTAAAAAATGTCGTTGATGGAAACCCTAAACACTTAAAATACAGAAAGACCTTAAGAGATTTTAATGATTCAACCCTTTTAAGAACAGGCTTCAACTTTTCAACTTTAGAGTCTTAAGTCAGACAATAAAAGTGCGTTAATATCGCTGTTCGACATTCAAATCGCAGTAAAATGATCTAAAACCTGGTCCATTAGATGGTGTCGCTGCGAACATCGAGGGTCCTATAATTGCAGTCGTGATCCTGCAGCCTCAGGGTCTGCAGACTCGTGCTGCTCGACCCGTTTTCATAACTGGGTCTCTCTGATGATGTGATAATGAGGCTGCCGGGGTCACTGCGGGGCCGTCAGTCGACTGTGGGTGAAAACTTTGAAGGAAACTGAAGCTCCACAGCGATTCTTTGAGGTTTCTCTTTTTCACTGTAAACTAAAAAAAACAAACGCGGATTAAAACCCTCGTCCTTTTTATAGCCTCCATACCTTCTTCTAATAGATTTCCTCGCCTACTTGGTTGATTTGAGTCTTTTCTACGCTGTTGTTGTTGTTGTCGGGTTCAGGGACGCTATGAGAGCGTGAGAGATTTGTGTTGGCCTTTGAACAGCAGCGTCTTTAAAAACGTGAGATTTTTCTGTCTGTCTGCTTTTTGTTTGTCGTCTGTGTTCAATTTCTCCGAAAACAGGGTTTATGAATGCAGCGCTTTGTGGCCGCTGATTCTCAAATCCTTGAGGAGCCCCTTAAACACGCCACAAAAGAGAGCGCTTGAAAATTGCTTTCTGCTCCTAACTGCACTTCTACACAATGACAAGTTAGAAAAGTAACTTCCTGTCCATTGCCGTGAACGTTCAGTCGACTTTTTTTCTTCCTTCTTTGTCTGAGCGTGCAGACGTGGACTGAAACAAAAGTGCCGGGGAAGAAAAAACTCAAAGCAGAGATTGTTTTTCTTCTTCTTCTGGGAAGCAGCAGCAGACCGCAGTGATGTACAGATGATGTGTGTGAGGTTTGTGTTCACCCGCAGTGTGAGTCTGTTTTAGGTTAAAGTCTCTCACAGTTCATGCATGTGCAGTTTAACCTCCAAACTCAAAGTTTCTGCAGAAAGAAACAAAAACGGCGAACGGCGAGTTCACAACAAGAGTTACTGATGATGGGGAGATCAGTTCTTTTGACTGAATCTTTAGAATCCGTTCATTAAAATGATTCATTCAAAAGATTCATTATCGCTTCTTCACCCCAGCTGCAGTACACGAGTTGAACGAGCCCCTCCCCTTCTGCTGAGGTCACAGCGTCGTTCACTGACACATATCGCTAAACAAGAGCGAGTCGTCGTTCTTTTATATCGCAGAAAAGAGGAGAAATTAAAAATTAATAAACATCGCAGCTGTAGAGGAGATTCTGACCCCCGATCTCCACCTTCATCCTGATCGTCTCCTAAAAGGTCGTATCCTCCGATCGTAGCTGATCGTAACCATTCAAGTTAACGTGTCGATTTACACCGACTTCTTTCCGTTCCTCTGCGGATCGCCGGACTCCTCAGCTGATCACATCCGGCTTCTTTTCAAAATAAAACACTCCGTGTTTCAGGAGGATCGTATTTCACACCATGCAAACGGGCGGAGACGAACAAGTGAAAGGTTTTTAGACGTCATTTCACCCCGATGACACCATGGATGAGGAGATGCTGATTCTAGAAGTCTAGAAGTAGATTTCCTCCTCTGGAAGGACACAATCTACTGCTTATATGTCTATGTGTCTGTCTTTAGAGAGACAACTCGTTATCGTGCGATTGAACATGAATCCGCGGGTTCTCGTGAGTTCTTGCGATTACCACTGTCCGTAATCCGTTACGAAATTCACCTCACAAACTGATTTGGTAGAATTGGCGCACAGCGAAAATCGCTGCCATTCCAGATCGGAGCTGTCCCGGATGCGGTGGAAATCCCAGGTGATACTTTTAAAGATATCAAATATCATATTTCTTTAAATCGGCTGAAATTAAATCTTCTTACAGGAAAGTTTATACACGTGCCTCTTAGAAGTCGTTCCTTTCGTTCACAGACTGACCGACACATGTCGTTCATTCGCTGTGAGCAAATCACGAGACTCCACCCACTCGCTGGCTCTCTGTGTGTCGTTCGCCAAAGAGTCAAAGGCGGCAGTTCCACTCCTGACCGGCACGCCAGACTCGCGGCTGAGCTCAACCGAACTGAGAAATCAGGTCTTGGAGTGAATCTATTCATGTCGTTCACTCAGCAGTTCCGTACTTTTAAACGAATCAACATGAGGGATGACAACAGTATGGCTCTGTAGTAGAAGAGTCCTGCTGAGAAACGGGTCTGATGCAGACTCTGATAAATCAACGACAGAGTTTCAATGATTTTCAAACCATGAAAATCAGTTTTCATGAATGTTTCCTGCAGCATGGTGACTCCTCTGGAGTTTCTCGACGAACGGTTCAGTTTCTTTAAAAATATCAGACCTGTAATCGGGGGGGTAGAGCGGATGGGTTTGTGCCGTTTCTTTCGTTGGAAGTCGTGCAGGAACTCTGCAGAGCTCGGCCTCGTCTTCTTTGACTTTCTGCCTCACCAGCTTCCTCCTCCGCGGGCGTCTTATCTCTGCGCCGAGTCGGGAGCAAGTGTAAGTCTTATCAGCACTAACCGATATCAGCTGGAAACCAGGAAGGAGTGACCTCGCAGGAAGTCGTGTGCGACAGAAAAACTGTTGAATCTGTGAATCTACAAGCGTCGCCGCTATCGTCTCCATCACCATCATCCTCGTCCTCTGCGTCACCAACACCAGCAGGAGTCTGTCAGCGTGTGCGTGCACGGGCCTTTCTGCGAGTGTGTGAGCCAGTTTGTCTCTTTCTTCGGGGGGGGAGAACTTGTTGTCCTTCCTCACACACACACATGCGAGCTGCAGGGAGCGCAAGCTGCAAATCCGCTCGCCTGCACTCCAGCGGCGAGAGAGGCAACGGGAGAGACGGGGAAGAAAAGATAAACCGAGCCAAACGCGCCTGCTGCCTCTGAAGTCGCTCTCTCCCTCCATCCCTCTCTCCTCCCCCCATCTCGTCCTCCTCTCCCCCCGTATAAATATTTATAATCTCGTCTATTCCTATTCTTTCTCTCTCGTTCATCGCCTCCTGCTCCTCATCTCTGTCTCTCACACACACACACACACACCAGCTGATTCTGTAGATGAATGTAACTCCTGCTGTTCCCTGTGTGCAGAGCAGATTTGCACAGAGATCAGATATTCATTTCCAAGGAATTGCCTCCAACCAAGCCTCGTTCAGGTAGCAATAAATCGACTCCAAACTTTATTATCCTCATCGTCCTTCACTTGGTTCGCCGTCGAGTTTTCACCTTTTTCACGCGGCGGCTGATTTTTCTCTGAGGTCAAACTTCAGATCTGCGGTGTGATGATGTTCGACTGTCTCTGAACCTTTTTTTTAGAGAGCTTCCGACTAACCTGAAGGGTCTCCACCTGACTGAAACCTCTGACTCTGGTTTTGTGCTCGTCTGTAAACGTGGATACAGACCATGTCACCTGATCTCGAGGTGGACCCTTAAATCTGACGTCTTCCCTTCCTTCCCTCGCTGTCACCGTCTTCAGAGTGTCTCTCCTGTCATTTCTGCAGAACTCTCTGTGCTTTTTATTCGATGAAATCTGCAGAAGTTTGATTTTTTATTTTTCGGTGATCACAAAAGTTTCTCAATATCATAAACTGTTGACCGTCATGACTTTCAGAGTCCAGCTGAGTCGCTCATTTGTCCAGAAATGATAATAAATGTAGTTAGCTTACGACCATAGACTGAATAAAACACCCACTGCTTTCTTCTAGGGCTGAACAATTAATCGATTTTAAAACCGTAATCAGATTATTTGATTATGACAATGGCTCCTGAACCGTAGGCTCCTCCTCCTTCCCAGTTCCCACACACACCTGTGTAAACAAACATGGCGTTTGCACATGAAGACGATAATTTCGTGGTTAAATAGGACAAGAGCGAGTCAGTCGTGTTGAATTGGTACGACTTCACAGTTTCAGATGAAGAGTAAACCACTCCCCGCTGTAAAGTCTGTCTGAAGGCGGTATCAACCCGTCACCATGGAAACGAATTCAGGTGGAAACGCTAAAGGTTTTGTCGTATCGGCGTTTCAGGTGACTGTAAAAGGTACTTTTTGAAAACGGGTCAGAGAATGAATAAATCTGTAAACGACGACCATTTCATCGCCGTGTGGATGTCTATCTGCATCTCTGGAAACGATCATGTGACACGCAGAGTAACTCTTTTATGGCGCCAAAACAACCTTTATACACATGCTCTGAACTCTTCTCCAGCATTACAGCGCCACTTACTGGCTTGGCATATGCACTACATCGTTTTCAGTGTTTTTTTGTTTTGAGAGACGATAGAAAAACTTTTTTTATTCTTACAGTGAAGTTTAGTGAAGTCGTCACTGAATAAAAATCGAAAATTGAGTTTTCGGAGACAAAAATCTGGATTTTATTTTCGGCCAAAATCGTGCAGCCCTACTTTCTGCTGTAGTACAATAACCTGTCAGTCAAGTAAGCCACGCCCCTCATCATGCAAACTTCTTAAATTGTACGTCTCAAGTACAAAGTTTGTTTCGTAGCAGACGTGTGAAAGTCTGCCATCTTAAAACTGAACCAAATGGAGGATCTTGGTGTTTTGAGACAGCCCCTAGTGGTCGCTGGAGGAACTGCAGTTTCAGCTGCTTTCTTCTAACTTTGAGTTCTGAGCTTCAGCGTCATGACAGCTTATAGAAATTTCAGCAGAGGAAAATGTCTTCTGTGTGAATTTCTCTCCTCCTCTTCTTAGCGCCGACTCTCCCCCTCTCCGAACCCCTCTCCCCCGTTCAGCCCTCGATGGCAGCTCTCTCAGATTGTTCTCTCAGCTCTTATTTTTAGCAGGAAGTCAGTCGGCTCTCGGGGGCCGCTGGCAGCCGCTCAAGACTTTGTCAGGGATGGCGAGCGCTGCAGGAGAGGAAGGGAGAGAAGAAAAGAAAAGAGGGGAGGACTGAGGAGGTAGGAGGAAGCTGTAAATGAGGAGATGGCAGGAGAAGAGTTACCTGGATAAACTCGCAGATTTACAGGAGAGACAGCCAAACTTTTCCTCTCCGCCACAGCGATCTGTGCGAGTCCAGCTGTCAGTCACTGCATGAGGACTTGTGGTGTCCTCGTGTGCACGAGTCTGCACTACTCTGCATTTTTTTTCCTCCACACTTGGAGGCGAAGGATTCTGGATCCAGATTCAGATTTCCTTTTTTACTCGCAGACGATCACAGTCTAATAACCAAACTCGACTGAAGCTGAAAAAAAATAGGTGAATTATGAAGAAGAAGAAGACACTTTACAGATCACCTGTTCATGATATTTGATAAGACGACGTATTTGGACCACATTAAGAAAAAAAAGAAGACTTTGAGATTTGAGTCGTAGCTAATATTCTGACCTGTTGTTTTAGAGGAGAGTTGTTGCGCTGTGGAGCATTTAGATGATTTGTACTTCAGTAGCCATAGATTTCACAAACAAGGAGATCCTAAATCCTCTGTCGTTTCAGCATCACATCGTCATAAGTATCAGGACTTTAAAACGAATATACGAGAAAGTCGCTTTACTGCAGGACTTAGAGGGAATCGCTGCTTTCCTGGAGGCAGAAATGGCTGGAATTTTATTGCGACTTTATTCTCCAAGTCTTCATTTTTTATTTTATTTTTTTTATGTGGCCCTAATATTCTGTCGTAATTTGACGAATATGTAGGGATGGGAATCGAGAACCGGTTCCAAATGGTTCAATCCATCAGCATCATTTACATTTTATCTTAATGATTCCTTTCTTCTTGGTGCCTAGAAAAACAGTCTCGCAAGTGCCAGTCTACGTGAACGGAAACAGAGACAGAGAAAAAAACATGGCAGAAACGATCTAAAGTGTGGCTTCATTTTACAAAGAAAGACGAAAACAGTGTGACGTTTGTCGAGCAGTGATGACATGCGAATATGGAAACACCAGCAAACATTTGTCAACGAGGCACGAAATCAAGTCTAAGGAGTCACATGTATTCGATGTTCTCCGCCGGTTCGTCAGCCGCGGCATTGAAGGAACTTATGTTAGGGTGACCATACGTCCTCTTTTACCCGGACATGTCCTCTTTTGGGGAGCTGTTCGGAGGGAGTTTATAAAATCCTTCAAATGTTCGGAACGTGTATCCATTGATTATAAAACAGTGCAGAGGATCAGTCCTCTCCGCAGCTCCGCCCCTTCGCTCACTTCTAAGCAAAGCCACGGACACGACGCACACATGCGCTGTCTTTGGGAATTCAGAATAATTTACGTTTAACTGAGTTAGAAGAACATAAAAAACACTCGACCCAACCGAGAAAAAAAACTCAAAATTTCGTGATTTCGCAAATCAATAAGCAGAATCAATAATAGCATCAATATTCGATAAAATCCTATCGATTTTCCATCCCTACGAAAACATGACTCCAATATTATTTTCCTGACGTTAATAAAGCGACGACACACGTGACCTGTGATACTTTAGCTAACGGGTTTTAATTACAATCTCACAACGTTGTTTTATTAGACGTCTTTGTGCGAAGCTACATGAATCTGAGTTGAACGCAGTCAGACGGAAACAACACGACTAAGTGTCGTTTGATTGGTGTTTTCGTAAACTGAAGCATCCGTTGGCGGTTTCATCCACACAATCGTCGCTGATAAACTCCTGACTTCCCCTGCCTAAACGCCGTTTTTTCTGATGAGCACATTGTTCCTCCTGCAGAGCTGCGATCGTTTAAAAACGCGCCTCAGAGTGGCGTCGAGGATGTGGAGCCGGGCGCTGGATTGTGAGGATAGAGGCTGATTACGCAGGACAGGTGAGGAGAGAGAAAAAGAAGCGATGAGAGGGCGAGAGAGAGGCAGACCTCGAGCTCGTGTTCGGCGCCGCTTCCCTGCAATTGTCTCCAATAATGGCCTCTTTGATCAGGCTTTCAGCGCGCGAACACACACACACACACACACACACACACACACACACACACACACACCAACAAGCATCCACGTGGTTTCGGTAAGCCGAGCCTCTCTGAGTGTTTGCGTGTTTGTTTGTGTTCGCCGGCCTCGCAGCAGACTTGAGTGGCGTCTTTCTTCATGGCGTGTGATAGCGTGAGCTGGCGGAGCGGAGCGGGAACCTTTAGTGTTTAAAAATGGATCTTATTGTGCCTCTGAGTAGATTTGAGGTCAGGAGAGGAGCAGCTTTAATTCTTAAAGGCTTCGTTCTCACGCTCCTTCTGTCTGACTTCAGGATCCTCTGCAGGAACGTTCAGATTAATAAAAACTCACATCTTGATTTTTAGTGTTTTAACTCTTTTTTTTTAACCTCCTGGATCCACAGAGTGTCTGGAATATTAAAGGAAGAACCAATCAGGACATTTCCTCTCTCTAATGCATGATAACACACCGCCCTGTTTGCAGAGATGCTCCGTTAAATCTCCTCCACCTGTGGGTTTGGATGCTCACCTAGGAATGAGTCGTATGTTGGTGTTTGTGATGAGGACGGCTGTGAGGGTGCTCATCTTGATTAATTTAGTCGATGATGATGATGATGAAAGGTGGGAGGAGAGGACGCTAGCGTTGTTTGTACGCCGCTTCTCCATGGAGGATTCAGACAATTTTCCGAACTTTCTGGTTGGTTTCTACTGTCCGATATTGTAGCACGCTAACTTTGTTTGGGCTCCTGAACGACACGGGGGAGCAGCGTCTGCCTCACAACCAATCAGGTTAGAGGAGGTGGAGAACGGCTTTGTTTACAGTCAGAAAGAGCGGACTGCTCAAAAATGTTGAAATGTTGACGACACAGACATAAGAGAACACAGAGATATCGTTATATTACCAAATGTCATCAATAACTAATAACTATTGACTGATATTAGAAGATTTTTTGTTTATACACCACAAAAAAAGATTCTTCTTAAACAGATTCCTGCTCCTCCTTTAACTTATTTTTATTATGATATATTTTTTAAGAAAGTAAAATACAGGCTGACTTCCTGTGTGGACAGAAGAGATTGATTCAATTAGATTTAACCCAAGTCTCTAAAGTAAATAGAAATAAAACCCACATGCCTCTCTCTCTCTCTCTCTCTCTCTCTCTCCCTCTCTCTCTCTCTCTCTCTCTCTCTCTCTCTCTCTCTCTCTCTCTCTCTCTCTCTCTCTCTCTCTCTCTCTCTCTCTCTCTCTCTCTCCCTCTCTACCCCGTTGACTCAGGGTAGTGAGGTCCGCAGCCTTTAGCGTCTCTCTCCTACATCTCTTTATTTAGCGCCGGCTCGACTCTGTTCCCCTCTGCTGCTGAATAATAGATAAGTGACGACCATGATGCGATTGCCGTGTAGGCACTTTGAAAGTGTGTGTCTGCTGCTGTACCTGCTCGCCTCCTCTCCTCCTCTCCTCCTCTCTCTCTCTGTTGGATGTTTGAACCCCTCCGCCTCCTTCCTCGCCTCTGGACCTCCTCTTCACCTCTCCGGCTCCCTCCCTCTCTCTCTCTCGCTCCTCGCAGTGTGCCGCCCTTAGCTTGGTAACAGCGAGGGCATTAAACTTTCATGACTGCTGTCTTTTTCTGGCACGCTCCTCTTCTCTCCTTTCTTTCTCCCTCTCTTTTCTTCTCCTTTTCCTCACCCCCTCTTTCCCCTCGTGTTTACCCAGCAGTGAGGGCTGCTGGAGGAGAGAATAACGAGGAAGTTTGACTCTTTTCTTTTTGGTTTTTTAACATCGGGAAACTCGACAGAATTTCAAGTGACTGTAAATTTAGGCAAACCGTTTCCCATCTGTCCCTCACTGTCGTCTTTGTGCAAACTTGAAAGGCTGTTTTTAGCTCCGCGAAGAAGATGTGAGAACGGCTGTAAACGACGTCTCTGCTTCCTCCTCTCCTGTCTGAGGACGGCCCTTATTAAACTGCGTTGGTCTTTCTCATGATTCCTCCGTGTCAGATTGGTTGGATTCTGAGGTTTGATGTCGTCTAAGTGTTGCTGAATGAAGCAGCAGAGGAAAAGCCCACAGAGCGAGAGAGAGAGAGAGAGCGAGCGCGTTAAATAAAGAGCAGAGGGGAGTCAGATGTGAACCAGCGAGCTTGTTTTGGTGCTGGTGGCTAAATGAACCATCAGGATGGCAAAGCGTTTTATGTCTCCATCTGTGCACGCTCCGACTGCAGAAACGTAGGAGAACACATGACCAAACTTCAATCTGCTGCTCATAAAAACATGGATATCCTGAGGTGAAGCAACAGGGCAGCAGCCGCCGCGCTGTAGCTGCGTTTACTGCGAGGACGTTTTAAACCTCATGAAAGATAAACGTCTGAACGGATTTTCTGCTGATTTTAGAACTGATACTTAAAACTGAGGAAACTGTAAACTCTCAATGAAACACTTTAACCTGCAGAAACGAGACCTTCTGTTAATGATTTTCTGAATCCGTCAGCAGTCGTCTGACCGAGCTCTGACTCATCTGCAGACAGATCCAGACAATCATCCGTCTTTAGGTCGTCTTCTGACTCCAGCTCTGCTCTCACCTCTGTAAACAACAACGCAGCCCACCAGGATGAGGGTCCTTTAACCCTCCAGTGCTTTAAAAGTTAATCATAGCCGCTCCTGTTAGACCAGTGAGGACTGGTTTTACTGGGGCCGCGATTCTTAAGGTGAGCTTGTAGTTGAAGCTGCTGTAGGTTTGGAGGAGACTATCGGCTCCTGGGCTGAAGGACGCCCCCTTTTGGCTCCAAGACAAGAAGTGGGATATAAAACGGGGACAGAGATCAAACCGAGACTGACATAAAAAGAAAGAAATTATAGTTTTTAGATATTTACAAGATAGACCGAAATCTGTATGGTGTCTTTTTATGATATGAAGAGTTGAGTTTGCCAAAATAAAATCCCGATTTTTTTGTCTCTGGAAATTCAATTTTCGATTTTTTATTCAGTGTCAACGTCACCAAACTTCACTTCAAGTATAAAAGTTCTTCTATCGTCTCTCAAAACAAACAACTGAAAATGATGTAGTACATATGCTAAGCCAGAAAGTGGCGCTGTACAGGAAATGCACAAGAGACAGAAAAAGAGTTACTCTGTGTGTCACATGATCGTTTCCAGAGATGCAGATAGACATCCACACGGAGATGAAATGGTCGTCGTTTACAGATTTATTCACTCTCTGACCCGTTTTCAAAAAGTATCGTTTACAGTCACCTGAAACGCCGATACGACAAAAAACTTTAGTGTTTCCTCCTGAATTTGTTTCCGTGGTGATGGGTTGATCCCGCCTTCAGACAGACTTTACAGCGGGGAGTGGTTTACTCTTCATCTGAAACTGTGAAGTCGTACCAATTCAACACGACTGACTCGCTCTTGTCCGATTTAGCCCACGGTGGCCTGGAGGGGCGAGACATGATAGAGAGGAAAATCGATTAGAGGATTTTAATTTTTTTAACATCGTCATAATCAAATAATCCGATTATGATTAATATCGATCAATCATGCAGCCCTAAAGCAGAGCGAACAAAGACCATCAGCAACAAGAAAGATGATTATTGTGTAAAAATGTTCAAGTTTAACGGGTTGGTGTTAGAAACAGCCCTGAGTTTACAACTTCAACATGAAATAGTCAAAATAAATGAAATATTTAACCAGCAAGATGAGATGTTTTGATTCTAGACACTTTAGCATGAAGAGAAAAAGATAAGCAGAGACTGCTTTGTCCACAGGGGGCGCCAAAACAGACACAAATCAAAAGTTCCTCACTGAAGCTTCGAGTTTTCTTATTCATACACGGGTTTCTTTCTCATGAGTAACTCGGGCCTCATTTTGTCCTGTAACATCTTAAACTCAGACATGTTTCTGCTCTTGTTGGGTGAATGTTTCTTACATTTGGCCTTTTAGACACTTTTCCCCTGAAATAAGAGAAAAACGATGTGAGTCTGATTACGAAGCTGCTGTGTGATGTTCAGGGACACTTTGAGAGTTCCTGGTAAATCTCTGAAGCTTCTGTTTATCCGAGCTGACACGTCATTGTCTCACAGCCTCCATGCTGGAGTCAGGAATAAAAACAGAGCGGAGGAAAACAAAGAAAACACGAAAACACTTAAATCTTGCATGAGGAGCGGTCTTTGAAAACGCGCTGAGGTTGAACCCGGGCTAAATGTGTCGTCATAGAGATCCAGTTTTAAAAACGGACACGGGACAGATGGCGAGCGGCCAGTCTCAGATTCATCAGCATTCATGAGGAAGCCCACGTCGGTCGCTGTGAAAGTTGCAGCTTAATCTTCCGGCTCTTCATCCTGGAGGCGACGTCTTCACGCCGCCGAACGTGGAAGTGGAGCAGACAGGATGAAAGAGACAGAGACGGAGAGTGGGAGGGAGGAAGAGAGAGGGAGAGAGACCACCTACGAGGCCGCTTGATGATGCTCTGTATCTGTCTTTGTCACTGCTGCTCTGTGTGTGTGTGTGTGTGTGTGTGTGTGTGTGTGTGTGTGTGTGTGTGTGTAAAATGCATTATGTTCAGGGAGGATGTTGCAGAGTGTAAGGCGGTGCTGCTGCACTCAGATAAAATGTGTGTTTTGGATGCGTCGCTCAGTAGGTGGTGTTTGTGTACACCGGCTCATAATTGCTGCCTGTCTTTGTTTAGTGTCTGCGAGTGTGTGTGTGTGTGTGTGTGTGTGTGTGTGTGTGTGTGTGTGTGTGTGTGTGTGGGCGGCGAGTTAAATGAATGGAGTATTAAGTTTAAGCTGAGGTGAGAAGGCGGAAGCTTCTCTTCTTCTGTCATCCATCTCTACCCTCTTCTTCACTCACCTCTCTCTCTCTTTTTTATGAGACATTGTACTTTCTTCACTCACACACACTCACACACACACACACTCACACACACACACACACACACTTACACTGTAAAGGAACCACAGCTGATCTGGGCTCAGTCTTTAGCTTGTCTGTCTTTGAACATCAGCGCCGTTACGTTTGAAGCTTCTCTTTGAATTACGGCGTTTCTGTTTTTTAAGCTCTCTCAGATAAAGACTCGGCTAAAGTGGCGCCGTTTGGCTTCAGCCTTTCTCTCGACATAAAGAATACAAAACATAAGCTGTGGTGTACGTACACACAAACAAACGGGTGTTTATGCTCACAATAAACTCAAAGAATAATTAAGATTTACCGCAAAGTTTTCAGCCGGAGCAAAAATAAAAAACTACATCTTTACATCCTTTTTTAAATCGGCGATATTTTAAAAACAAATTTGGGTTTTTGTGTCTTTATCATAATTGGAAATAGAACGGTGGATTAGAGCAGGAAACCAGAGGAGACTTTGGCTAAATCTGCGCCCCAAACCTGAAACATTTACGTTCATATTTCATAATTTTTGAGGTTTTATTGAGTCGAACTTTCCAACTAGTACAAAAAATTAAGTTTGTGTAAATGTGGGCTAGGAGCAGGAATCTGTTTAAGAAGAATCTTTTTTGTGGTGTATTTACAAAAAATCTTCTAATATCAGTCAATAGTTATTAGTTATTGATGACATTTGGTAATATATCGATATCTCTGTGTTCTCTTATGTCTGTGTCGTCAACATTTGAACATTTTTGAGCACAGTAGAAACCAACCAGAAAGTTCGGAAAATTGTCTGAATCCTCCTTTGGCCACGACTGCCGACACAAGCAAGAAAACAAAGTAAATACCGGAGACTCTGGAGGAATAACGGGCGCTTAAAACGGAGGTAGACCGGACAAGAGCTAAAAAGCCGGGTCAACATAAACGATGGGGGACGCTTGGGGATCTTGGTGACCCTGTAACCTTTCTGCTGGACAGGTAAACCGCTTTAACAAAGTAAGACAAGTGTCTGTAACAGAAGTGTTTCTTGTCAAACGGACCTGCTGTAGCGTGTTGTAGCTCCATCGCTAAACTGTCCTCCCTCGGGTCCTGGACTATGTCACTTTATCCTCGTTGTAGAAGTCCTGCAAACATTGTGTTTGCTGGTAGTCTGTTGGCATCTACAGTAGCACCAATGCTTTTGACTTTCACCTTGACTGGGCCCCATTTGTAATGATCTGAAGTATTTATCTGCATTATATCTGAATTTAATTGGAACGATACGAGCGAGCAGGAGCGTCTGTTTGTGGGCGGGGCTTGAAGGGAGGGGAGGAGCTGAGGGGAAAACTGGTTGTGAGGGGTAGAGTTTACATTCAAGATTTCTCCTAAAAACTGGAACCAACTCAGATCCTGACTACACCACACTTAATTTAAAGTTTCTGAGTGTTGAAATAAAGGCCTGCCTCTTTTGTCAAACCACTAAAAAGTCACACTTTTTAGACACCAACTCTTAAACCTGAATTAGTGGATAAAATGTTTGTAGATCAGGGAGAAAATTTGGCCACTTGGTAAAATGTGGCGAGGTGGCTGTCTGACATGAACCTGGTCCTTCCCAAGGTTTTTCCTCGCCACTGTCACTCATGTCAGGTGAGATGGGTCAAATCTGTCCTATCTTAAAATTGGGTCTTGGTCAAACAGTGAGCGTGGTCTAGACCTGCTCTTTTTTTCCGACAGCGTCCTGGAATAACGACTGTTGTCATTTGGCGCTTTATAAATAAAATTTGATTGATTTAAAAGTACAAATTAAAAAGCAGCTGAAAAAGTTCTTAATCTTAATTTAGACGAAAAAGTCTAACCATCCTGCTGTCCTAAACTACAGAGAGGGTCAGGGACACCGAAAAAAAAGGGTCCAATATAATTTTTTAAGATAATTATTCTGAGATTCAAGTCGGAATTCTAAAATAAAACTTTTTAATCTCAGAATTCTGACTTTTTTTCTCTGAATGATACAAATAAAAATTTTATCTGACCTTTTTTTCCCCCTAGTGTCCCTAATCCTCTTCCGTACTGATCTGATACCATCATTTTCAGAGAATTCTACTCTTTCTGATGCATTTTACAACACACATAAAACAGGATTTTACGGCGCAGGAAAATCAGCTCCAAGTGGCGATAAAGCGGACTTTTCCTTTAAATTATTTTTGATATTAGTCCGAAGTTTTGGCCGCAGATTTCTCTGCACATGCATTCAATCAATCTGACACACACTGGTATTAATTTAAGCATTTTGGGTTGGCAGGAAATATTTGGCCCCTGTTTTATGCAACTGCACACACACTTATATGCATTCCACACACACACACACACACACACACACACACTGGTACTAAGTTACTTGGCTGCATGTTTTGGCTACTAGTTTTTGGTATCTACGCAGACACACACGCACACTTAGGATTTAACTTTGTTTTGGCAGACTGGAAATTTCTGCTTTTTTGTTTCTGCATGTGCACAAACGCACTCATAAGAGCACGCACACACACACACACACACACACACACACAATGGGCAGTAATCCTCCTGTATATGCCAGAGCTTTGGGCAGAGCAGGGATTTTCCTCTTCACAGAGCAGACCACCCAAAACAGCGCCGGAACAATGGTGGCCGAACTCCGGAAGGTTTCCTGTGGCGAAGTGGGAGTCCTGACACACACACACACACACACACACACACACACACACTTATATACATTTACACGTCAACACACAGAAACATGTTTGTGCTCAGAAAAAGCTGCAGGATCATGTCGGTACCTGCAGACTGTGACTCTTCACACACATGCAGGCCGCCTCCCGGAGCTCATGTGAGGCTGCAGGTTTTTAGGGGGGGGCAATCCTTTGACAAAAGAGCAAAGACACGGGCCGGGGCGGGATAAAGGGATGAAGGAGCAGAGGGAAAAGACTGAAGTCCAGCTGTTTCCGCTCCTGAACGTAACCTCGCAGTTTCTCCTCCTCACATCTTCGCGTCCCTCCCTCCCTCCCTCCTCGCTCGCACACTTGCTGACTCTTTCTCTCCTCCTTTTGTTCTTGCTTCTGTTAATCTTTTGTTGCTGGGGGAGGAGGGTGTGTGTGGGGGGGGTCCCTCTCTGTGCCGCTGCTGATTCACTCGCAGAAAATTAAAACTATTTGTTGCTCTGAAGCTGAATTCAAAGACAAAAGATTGCAGGGCGACAAAGAGCGACCAGCCTGTTGTCAGGGAATGTCGCCCCAAATGTTTGGATGCCCCCTCCTCACGCACACTCACACACACACACACACACACCCTCGTGCACACACTTCCACCCACATCCTCCTCTTTTCTTCCATCTTTTGTCACCGTAGCAACACATTCATTCTCATTTCATCAGAAATTGTTTTCTCTTTGATTGATTTGTTCTTTGTTGACATGCACAATGAGCGGCTGTGTGGTTGGATTCCTTTTATTTTTGTGTGTTTTTTTTTTTATTGACAGCAGAAAGCTGCGAGAAGAGAGATCGCTGTCTCTAAAGAGACGCACAGACCGGCCGCTTCAATCGCTGCAGCGAGATTACATTCACCGTCTGACTTTGAGCTCGCAAAGTGGAGATGAAGATACGTGAAGATGTGAGCGTGACCTTGTAATGTCAGCTCGGCGTCGACATGTTAGACTTTCAAAATAAAAGTGTGAGGTCAAGCTTGTTAAGATGCTGAAATGAAAAAGACTCTTTTGCGGAATAAAACGTCTTAAATTTACAAAAGTAATCAGGAAACATCGTTGAGCGATCCGACAGAGTTCTGATTCGGTCTCGTATTTTAAGTTTTGTTTCAGTAAAAGATGACGTGTGTTTTCTGAGGTCGACCTTTTTTACTGTGAAACTGGGACTCAGTTCATGCAGAGAGACTGCAAAAACACACCTTCAGAATAAAAGCACTGAGTGAAAACATGACAGATCAGATCAGGCTTTTGTTTTGAAATTCCTTCAGGAAGTGCCTCCATCGTTGAATCATGAATATAGCTCATACAGCGCCGTCGCTTCCTGATCCGTCCCAGAAACCTGATTTGTACTGCACATGTGCGAAACGTAGGTCACTTCCTCTACTCGCCATCTTTGCGACAGCTCAGCAATTCGTCACCCCTCGCGGTTTGTGACAGGTTCGACATTTGTTCAACAGCTTCAGTATCAGCGAGCTCGCTTCAGTCAGTTTATCACAAGCTACACACTTTTCTCCTGAACGGAGGTCTTCCCCCGACTGACGCAGAGCGAAAAGTCAAGAAAATGGCGCCCAGTTTCACGATTAAAGGTTCCTACTCCAGCTAAACTGTAAAAATGTAACGTAGTTCTAAAAGGCTTTTATGAGCGAATATTTCACAAAATTTAAACGCTGACACTGAAATTCGTTGTCCATAATGTGTCGGCTTCTTGTTAATAAATTTAATCTGAAAAGGTGGTGGCGCTCTCTGTGGCACAAAAGGTCTCACTGTGCTGGGCAGGAGCTCCTGTCGGGGATGTTTGGGACTCACCCGACTTTATCCGACTGCAGGTCAAAGATGAATCTTCTGTGAACGACGAGCTGATCGTTGGATTCAATCATGAGAAGTGCGGCTTGTTGGTATTCTCGTCTCGTCTCCGTCTGACTCTTTTTTTCTGGGGGAACTTTTCATAAATTTCATCCATGAAATTGGAATTTAATTTTGCTAAGTAAGAGCGTGTGTCAGTGTGTGTGTCAGTGTGTGTTTGTGTGTTTTGTTGTCCAGCTGCTGGACTTTTATACTTTTCTCCTCATGATTTATCCCTCTCGGTTTACAGTTGGCCGTCAAACTTCATGAGTGAAAAAGTGCTCGCTTTGCAGAATTTCTGAGGAGACACAGATCGTGTTTATTTGTTCAAAATTTATGAGCTCCTTGTTATGCTCCGGCTGTCTGTCCTCCCCTCAGGCTCACGCACATACAGTACCTTCACTTTGTCCGTTTTGACTCACTTGTTTTTCACGCTCTCACTTGATGATCTTCTTCAGAGCGGGAGTCGATTCTTACACGTCTTTGTTTACCTGCAGACTGAAGTAGATGCATGTCAGATGGGTGCACCAACGTTTACGGCTCAGAGGCCGACGGTTGACCCCACTTTATTCATTTTTCATTTGCATTTTTGCATTTTTGCTCCACATGAACTCTCCAGTTTCTTCACAATCAGCTTCTTCAAGTCTTCAGAGACCGAGAGTTAAATAAATCTGCAGGTAGACGCCGAGTTTCCACGCAGCGTCTTATTAGGGCTGCAGAGATAGACGAGGCATCTTCGAGATGACGTGTAAAGAGATGCAAGACTTCGAGGTACAGCGAGCTGCCTGAAAACTGTATTTCCAGGGATTTTTCTGTTGTTATTCGTCATCATTCATCAAAATTTGAAGGCCTGAACCTGCTTAAAACGTCCAGACTTAGTGACGGGTCACAGAAGAGGAACGGAGGGTTAGTTTCCCAGCTTTTGCACCAAGAAAGAGGATTTTTGTCCCACATGTCAGCCGTCCCGAAACTTTAAAAAAGTCTCCAAAGGTCATGGTGAAAAGTCAACACAGACCTTGACCTTTTCCCGCACGGCGTTCATCGACTCTGACGTTTCCAGGTAAACTCATTGGGGCCCTCTGGTGGCAGTAGGAAATGTCATGCTGTCACTTTACGATCTGAATCTCCGAAAATCATCGCACATATCTGCGTCATTTTTATGTTTTAAATTTTTGAGATGTTGATCTTGATGTGCGCCAAAAAACGTGAGATTTCGTCGGAGGGCGCGGTCGGCACAGAGCGGCGAAGTTCAATGTTGACATGAAATCAGCTAGCTAACCGAGGTGACGTAGGATGGTATCGTGAGGTGTTCAGGGTCGGGTCGGAAAAATGAGAATCAAGACACCAAATGTTGCATCTAGAAAAAGGAAAAAACAGGATTTGGTAAAAAAACAAACAAACATGTTCTCGTCTTTCCTGAATCAAAAATCCTCTCCGCTGTCGGCCTCAGGTCTAGACTCTGATGATCCTCTTAGATATGAAGTGGTTAAAGCTCTTTAAATCCTCCATATTTAGTCAAACGGTACATTTTTTGTTGTTCGGGAATAAACCGGCGTTAATCGAGGAACAATGAAGGCGATTAAAAAAAAAAAACGTCAGAGGAAACGGCATGAAAGGCGTCTTTTGATTGCCCGGTGGCGTGTGCGTACATCTGCCTTTGTGGAGGTGCAGCCCCTCATTTATGGAGCTTTTTGGTGTCTGCTTGACAACTAAACACAAGCTCCTTCTGCCAAACAAATGGGCGCCGTGTCGGGGAGAGAGGGGGCGGACCCGGCCCGAACCGCAGAGACGGGCACTCTGTGACAGCTGCTTTCATCTCCTTATTATTCCTCCTTCACACTCAAGGATTTTTGGGCTTCCTAAAGTATTTCTGTCGCTCTCTCCTTCCTCTCCCCCCTGCTCTTCCTCTCGTTCTGTCACCGCGCTGTGATTGGCTGTTATGACAGAGCCGTCGCCAGGCTGTCAGCCTCTTCTAAAGCGCGGTTTAATTACTCCTTTTCACTAACATGACACGTTCATGCACAGATGCATGCAAACTCGCACACAGGAGGGAAAGTCGCTCGTATATAAAAAAAGAAAAAACACAAACGGATGCTTTCAGCTGCACGCCGCTCTGTAATAAAAATGGTGATTGAACTCTCCGTCAGCTGCTCCACCTGACAAAGCAGACCCCAGATGTTTGTCAGCGCCGGTTTCCCTGTTTTCTCTGCTGAGCTTTGAAAGCTCGCTGTAGATTTGTGAAGGGCCGAGCGCCGCCGTGAGAGATGGGCGCCGATCGATGGCGCGGCCCGCTGTGCCAGGCGCTGAATAGCCAATTAAAGCCATTGAGACGGAGGAGAAAATAGGAGCGAGTGAAGGAGTGATTAGAGGAGGATGATGAAAGAAAAGGAGGGAAAGATGCAGGAGCGGTTGCAGATCCTCGTAAATGTTTAATATTCTGCATGCTAGACTTCATCCTGCGTCTCTTCCTCCTCCTCATCCTCATCATTCCTGCAGATAAAGATTCCCTGACGGATCGTTGGGCTCCTCCTGCTTCCATAAACAGGAGACAGCAGAGCACTGGGTTGAGACCCTGACTGATGGAGGGAAGCTGAGACAGATGTACAGATTTGCAGAAAAATGAGGAGAAACAATGAGAAAGCTCGGTGGCGTGTGGACGCCAGGCTGTCTGGGATGGTTTCATCCAAGTCTCTCGTTCCACTCGCTTTCTTTTCTTCCTCTTGTTTTCTTCTTCTCTGCTCTTTCCCCACATTTCCTGCCCCTCCATCCCCTCTGGTCATATCCGGATGTCTTTCTCCACCTTCTTTTCCTCTGAAGACCTTCTTCACGATCATCCGAACAGATCAGCCCCCCCTGTTTTCTCTCTACTGGGGCGTTCACATTGCATTGACTTAACATGTAATTTATTTACGTGAGTAAAATCATTCGCGCGAATGAATTGACTTAACATGTAATTCATTCGCGCGAATGAATTGACTTAACATGTAATTCATTCGCGCGAATGAATTGACTTAACATGTAATTCATTCGCGCGAATGAATTGACTTAACGTAATTCATTCGCGCGAATGAATTGACTAAACATGTAATTCATTCGCGCGAATGAATTGACTTAACATGTAATTCATTCGCACGAATGAATTGACTTAACATGTAATTCATTCGCGCGAATGAATTGACTTAACATGTAATTCATTCGCGCGAATGAATTGACTTAACATGTAATTCATTCGCGCGAAGTCAATACAAACTCACATTGACTTAATGCAAAACCTGTTGCAGACATTAGACGCTCATTCTACTCTCGCGGCATGAATTGAACGAGTTGAAAATATCTTTAGCAGAAATTTACGTCAGGATAACCAATCAGCATGAAGATTCCCAGATGACGTTTAAAAACGGACTGTTCAAATATAAACACACAAATCCTTTGACTCACTGCAGACGGACGGACAGGCGCTCTGCAGCTGGGATAGAGCGCCTGTTATCGGTATCCTGGAGGGTTATCCTGGCACCGACCCTCACCAACAGGTCGTCAAATTCAGGTTCGGGTAACCCAAAAATACGTCTGGAAACGGCCGTCATCCACGCGCAGCTGTTAGAGGAGTCCCAGACACGGCGACGCCTCCATCTCCGACGGTTGTAGGCCTTCCACGACAAAAACAACAATCTCCTAAATGCGGTTCACTCCTACCATGCTTGAAGGAGACTCCGCCTCTCTCTCATATCCACGAGTTTTTTAATAAAAACAGGAATAAAAAGGATCTCTCCTGGAGGACAGCGAATCATGTCAAGACATGGATGAATCTTAACTTCTTAAAATTAAATGAAAACAAAACAGAGGTCATCCTGTTTGGTCGCCCTGACCCGGTTCACGTCCTCTCCAGCTCCCTTGGTTCCGTGACACCTTACATAGGATCCCATTTCAGGAATCTTGGTTTCATTATTGATGGTGATTATAAACTTGACAAACAGGTCGGCGCAGTGGTCAAAATGAGCTTATTATCACATCACGTTTAGTTATTGTAGCTCCCTGTACATCGGCTTTGGCAAGTCAGAACTCAACCGCTCGTCTCCTAACTGGGACTAAAAAAACGGGAGCACATAACTCCGGGGATTTCCTCTCTTCACTGGCTCCCTGTTAGGTACAGGATTGATTTTAAGATCCTTTTATTTGTTTTTAAGTCTCTGAATGGGCTCAGAATATCTGTCTGAACTCAGCCCTCCAGTGGCTCCCACTATGTGGAACGCCTTACCTCTGACAGTGCGTTAAAACCTTCCTGAAGACGCACCTGTTCACTTTAGCTTTTGGGAAGTATAGCTGCTTTTATTGGGTCTTTATTTATTTGCTGCGTTTATCTTTGTTGTTTTATGTTTTTATTGTTTCTGTCTTTTTCACTGTAAAGCACTGGTTGTTTTTAAACATGTTTTATAAATAAAGCTGACATCGACATTTAAAGTGAGTTCATGCACAAATCATTCGCGCGAATTAAGCGAGTAGAAGATTTTACTCGCGCTTGGTGTGAACGCCTCATAAAGCATCTGCTGCCACTGCTTTGTGTTTGGAGATGTGATAGAAAGATGGATGGAGGTCAGATTTATCCTCGTAACTGAAGCAGGTGGATCCAAACGTCTGCAACGGCGATCCAGAGGAACCCACGCCATGATGGCGCTCGGGGACTCCCAGAAAAGACTGTTTTAGTGACTCTAACGGGACATGATGGTTCAGAGTTTGACGTTATCTTCTCCCCCCTGTCCTCTCCTCTCAGGTACCCTGCCCTACGACATCAAGATAGTCATCGCCGGGAACCACGAGCTGACCTTTGACCAGGAGTTTATGGCGGATTTGATCAAGCAGGACTTCTACTACTTCCCCTCGGCCTCCAAACTGAAGCCGGAGAACTACGAGAACGTCCAGTCGCTGCTCACGAACTGCATCTACCTGCAGGACTCTGAGGTCACCGTGAGGGGCTTCAGGATCTACGGCTCCCCCTGGTGAGTGACCTCCAGTACTGCACACACTTTGGGTGTTTTGAGTGTTTGGAGCGACGTCACAGGCTGTCATTGTGTCACGGCGTTGTTGTCGTTGTTGTTCGACATCCATAATTCAGGTTAGATTTTTATTTTTAGGATTCTCCAGATCGTTTAAAACCATATCGTGACCAAGCGTTCCCTCTGTCCTCTTCTGAACCTCATCCGTGCAACTTTGCGTCATCAGCATAAATCATTTATCGACCTCTTTATTCGGCGTTCACTCGAGCTACTCGCTGTTTTTCCACCTCAAACCCTCATGGACAGACGGCTCCTTCTCCTGAGCGTGTGTGTGCGCGGCATCGGTGAGGTGGTGGTCCGCGATCTCCTGTGTGTGTGTGTGTGTGTGTGCGTGTGTGTGTGTGTGTGTGTGTGTGTGTGTGTGTGTGTGTGTGTGCCCCCGGTGCTGCTGGGTAATTGGTTTGCTGTGATAGCAGCGTCCCCCGAGTTTATTGCTCGGGTCTCTGCAGAGAGCTGCCCGAGGTGGACGGAGAGGAAGATGAAGACGAGGGAGAGGGAGGGATGAACGGAGAGCAAAGAAAGGAGTAAAGGGGGGAGAGGAGGAGGAGGAGGAGGAAGAGGAGGAGGAGGTGAAGGATGGAGAGACAGACAGAGACGACAAAGGGAGGGAGGTAGGGAGGGAGATTTAGGAGGAGATGATTTTATTCATGTTCACCGGCTGGCCCTGGCTGGTGTAATGGGCACATGAGGTGACGACCGTGTGTGTGTGTGTGTGTGTGTGTGTGTGTGTGTGTGTGTGTGTGTGTGTGTGTGTGTGTGTGTGTGTGTGTGTGTGTGAGCCTCGGGGTGTGTTCCTGCAGCACAGAGGGGCTCCAGCTGGAAGATCTGTGTCCCCCCGTCTGCACTGTCTGCTCCCCTCTTCCTCTTTTCTGCTCTCCTCTGTCGTCTTCTTCTTTTCTTGCATTTCCACTCGTTCTTGTCCATCTCTCACTTCTTCTCGCTTTCTCTCCTTCCTTCTGTCCGGTAGAGGCCTCTTCCCATCCTCTTTGCACCCACTTCCTCCTTCCTTCCAAGGTTAATCACTTTCTTTTGCATTTCCATGTTTGACGAACCGAGCCCACCTGTGCTGCAGGCCTCTCTTTCTAACCGAAGACATGTGGTGACGCCAGACTGCTGCTGCTGAACGGCCTTTTGGTTCTGAACAACTTTACCCTGATAACTGATCCGCAGTAGAAATGTGCCGCATTTTCGCCGTACGCCAATTCCTACCTGAGTCGTTTGTGAGGCGAATTTCATGGTGGATTACAGACATCAGGAATCGAGAGAAACTCACAAGAACCCGCAGATTCACGTTCAATCGCACGATAACGAGTTGTCTCTCCAAAGACAGACACATAGACATATAAGCAGTAGATTGTGTCCTTCCAGAGGAGGAAATCTACTTCTAGACTTCTAGAATCAGCATCTCCTCATCCATGGTGTCATCGGGGTGAAATGACGTCTAAAAACCTTTCACTTGTTCGTTGTTTTATTTTGAAAAGAAGCCGGATGTTTTATTTTGTGTCTGTGCCCGACTTCCTTTCCAGCACGGGTTAATCTGTGCTGAATTTATCCGCCATGCTCCGGCGTCCAGAAAAAATAGAACTCTTGTGATCAGCTGAGGAGTCCGGCGATCCGCAGAGGAACGGAAAGAAGTCGGTGTAAATTGACACGTTAATTTGAATGGTTGCGATCAGCTACGATCGGAGGATACGACCTTTTAGGAGACGATCAGGATGAAGGTGGAAATAAGGGGAACACTCTTTTGGAGAGGACAACTGGACTTACTTGAGACGTTTCGCCGTTTCGCCCAATGAAGAACCGGCTGGTGTAAATCGACACGTTAACTTGAATCGTTACAATCGGAGGATACGGGGCTTTTAGTAGCTTTTCAGATGCGGTGGAAATCTGGGGTAAGTCTCACAATCACCTGCTCATTCGTTTACTCAGCGTCTTTTAAACATTGATTTATCCGTGGAGGCCGACGCTCAGAGGTCAGGATGGTCGCTGTCGTTCCCCATGACCCTGTTTCCGTCATCCACCTGCTGCTCCCTCTCTCTCCTGAGACTTTGCAGAGGTTATATCCACTTGATATAAATTTTTTCACTGTTTCTGTTTCATCTTTCCTTTTTTTTTTCTTAATTTCCGTCTCTTGCCGCCGCTGAAGCTCCTCTTTCACGCCTCTTCCCCCCCCCTCCTCACCTGTACCGGTTCGGCTCTACGGGTCATTACCTCGCTCCATCTGCAGTCCGTCACCGCGTCTCTTTTCCTCTCTGTTTCTGACACAGAGGGTTTCTCAGCGGGCTCCACTCTCCCACACAGATACTTCGCATGTCTCCGTCCTTAAATTAGACCCCGCTCCCTCTCTGAATTCCTCCTCGTGTGATTTGGGCAGAGCGGGGAGATGGCGTGGAAAGCGTGGCCTCGCTCCCTCCTCTTGATGCTGATGTGAGTCTACATGTGGTTTGTCTCAGTCGTATGGCGGAGCCGCCCTCTGTCTGAGGGGAGAGGAGAACTTTGAGTCTGCGAGGGAGGAGCGGAGGGTTAGAGGAGGAGGGTAAATGTGTGCGTGTGCGTGAGGAGTATGGCTGCAGTCAGAGGGAATGTGGCTCAACGGGCACAAAGAGAGTCGACGGAGTTTGACTTTATTCTCCATATTTTATAACGAAGATGAAACCCAGCCTGACTGCTCCTCCTCTTCATCCTCCGACTGGTTGAAGAAGCAGTTTGGATTTGGACACAAGAGAGTAAATCGACCAAAGTTTAACTTCAGTCACCGATGATTATTTCACTGGGCTTTGGTCTGTTTTTAATGATTGATTAGTAGTTTTTAATTGATTTATTGTCGCTATTAGAAACAACAATAATGAGATTCGAGCGTTATGAGAAAACTGTTTCATCACTCTTTCAAAAGTAGAAAAAAATCTCCAAAAACACATAAACAGAAACAACATGCGACTACACACATGACAACAGAAAGGACACCGGCCACAAGGGGGCGCTCAGTGTAACAGTTTTATTCCTCACTTAAAAAAACAGACTGGCTTTATGTAACTGCAAGAAACGAAGGGTCATAATTTTTTCATCCAGCCAATAAACAGATGCCAAAATCTGCAGTTCTCAAAGTGTCCACTAGAGACTGTTTCCCAAAGTGAGTCAGCCGCCATAGACGATGCTGGTAAGACTGGTCATTCTCTGAGTGGGAGCAAATTCACCAGTCTGAGTGGGGTGACCATAATCTGAGTCCCTAAAGAGGACACTAAAGTGGACACACGCAAAATTCTAAAAGTCTAAAAATGGAGGTCTGATAGATGACGAGAACATTCACACTCAACAGAAACTACATCTTAAAAATGTTTTTTCAGTTCATGTGTAAAATGATACGGAAGCATATCACATTCACAAGAAAAAAAAAACTCTGTTTTTCAGAGTATTTTTTTCTGTTCTGTTCTCCAGACAAAATTTTTTTTAGTTTTTCAGACATATTTTTTTGTTTTTCTGATTTTTTTTTTTTCTTTTCTGTTTTTCGTAATAAACTGTTGTTTAAAACTAAAGACGCAGCATCTATGATTTCCAGTTCTTCATTGAAAGGACAACTGAGACGTTTCTCATAAAATTTTGAGGGTTTTTTCACGAGCAGAAGCGGAAGTTGTTTGCGATTACAAAGTAAAATATCCGGTTATTTTCAAAATAAAATAAAGTCAATATGTTGAACTGTTCTTAGCTTGATAATAGGAGAGGTCAGGGTTGTGGGATGTGGGTGTTAATTTACTCCGATCGGCGGATCTTATTCTATGACCCCCGGGGAAACACGCGAGAGCTCGGAATATCGGAAATCTCGAAAGCGCTTCTCCTGCGATGGCGGCGGCACTGTTAATGAAGTCTGTAGACATGTCGGTAAAAGAGGACGTATGGTCACCCAAAGTCTGAGGTTTGCAAGAATAATTTTCTCCTGATGGACAAAATCCGTTCAAGTCGTTGATTTTACAAAGTTTTTCGAATTAACATCAAACTTCAATTTAGTAAAACACTTTAAAAACACGGTAAGTGAATGATTGAGAGATTGACATGGAAACACCAAGCTCTGTCGATACTGAAGTCACGCCCATAAACTCATTTTAACCGTTTTCATAGACGTGGAGTTCAAATATAAATGCGACCTTTCGTTCAGTTGTCTATGTTAGATCTAGATTCCCCCTCTGTCAGGCGTCGTCAGGGTTCAGACTCACCTGTTGTGTCTGATGTAAAAAGCTTGTAGGAGAAAATAAACGTACTGTCCGCGCTCTTACCTCCACTCGACTTGGAAAGCATTAATTAAGCGCGGGGCGTGAAGAATCTTTGATTTATTTGCCAAAAAAAACACAATCCTGCAAGTTTGACTCGTTTCCAAAAATAACAATAAACAACAGAAGCTATAAGCAACACATGAGAAATGCTCTCCTGCTATATTTAGGAGACCATTTTTATAGGATGTCAACCTCCTCCACCGAAGAAGACGATGTCGTCTGTGCGCTCGCTCGCTCGCTCGCTGAGGTTTAAATCGTCTTTCCTCTCAGGATAATAGATAATGATGCCAGCTCTTTGTTCTCAGCGTGTTCCTCTTTGTTTCTCTTTGCTAAAACACGCTCCTCTGCAGATTTACTGCACTCGTTTCATAGAAGGAGTTTGATGGACGTTTGTGTCGCACCAAAATAAAACCAGATGATCTGATTCCAGCATTAATGAACCCGTTTTTAAGCACAGATTTAAACGGTATTATTTGTCCTCCGTTTGTTAATTAAAACTGATCTCCTGCACCATTACTGGACCAAATGTTGCTTTAAAAAATGAACTTTTGAAATGGGAGATTCAGACAGAAAGTACATAATAGTTCCACCAGCTGGTATCACAGATCTTGGACGCTCCGTATCTCAGAACGACTCTCTACTCATAATTTAGCGACGAAGATGCTCGGCAGCAGAAACCAATCTGGCAACCCCGGCAGATTACATCTGAGTCATTATTAATAATGAGCTGCACGGCCCGGACGCACAGCTTTGCACATTTACGGATCGACTCATCTACGGGTACAAACACGGCCATGAGTATGCGCTTCTCGCTCTGTGCAATTTTTTATCAGCAGCCAATTAAGAGGAAAGTCATGTCTGATGGACGAGGAGTGAACGACTACCTCGGTAACAAAAGCTCCTGTCAGTGTCGCTCTTCGTCCAATAAAACTCTGAATGAAAGAAAGACGGCGAATAAAGACGACGTCTCAAGGTCCAGTCCTGTAAGGAGGTCTTAGAGACGACGAGAACATTCACAGTAGATCCTCAAGATGGTTTTCAAAACAAACATCTTTTCAGAGTTTTTTTTTTTCCTTCTGTTTTTCAGACTTATTATTTTTTTATTTTCTCCGGGATCATGATCATTTAAAAAAAAAGACGTTTTCATCCTCCTCCACTCGATCTATTGGAAGCAAACATGGTCCGCTTGTTTAGTTTGATCAAGTTTGACTTTCTTTTGGGTTTGAGACACTCAGAGATCCTCCTTTCTTTAAGTCAGACAGATGGACTCGTCAGAAGTTTGTCTACTTTGCGCAGACACCTCAGGATTTTCATACCCTCTTTTTAACTGATAACATGTTTTACTCTCATTGACCCCCGTAGTCAAAGTTCTGTAGGAGCTGGAGAATCCGCTGATTTGGAGCAGCCGCGGTGGTTAATTTTATCTGATAGTATGAGATTCTCGCAGGATTTTTAAGTTTCTCATTTAGTCAGGAAAAAAAACTAGTACGAAAAACAGAAAGAAGCAAAAACTAGTACAAAAAAACAGAAAGGAGAAAAAAGTTATAGAAAAAAAGAAAGAAAAAAAAATTGGAAGAAAAAGAGAAGGACGCAAAAAAAGTACAAAAAAAGGGAAGAAAAAAATAATATGGAAAAACAGAAGGACGCAAAAAATAGTATGAAAAAAAATAATACAAAAAACAGAAAGACAAAAAATATAGTACAAAAAACAGAAAAAGAAAAAAATAGTATGGAAGACAAAAAATATAATAAACAGAAAGAAGAAAAAAATAGTACAAAAAACAGAAAAAAATTGTATGAAAAACAGAGAGAAAAAAATACGAAGAACTGAAAGACGAAAAAAGGAAAAAGAATTACGAAAAAAGAATGAAGAAAAAAATATGAAAAACTGAAAGACAAAAAAAGGAAAAAAAATTACGAAAAAAGAATGAAGAAAAAAATATGAAAAACAGAATGACGAAAAAAAGGAAGAAAAAATAGTACGAAAAACAGAATTAAAATTTACAGCATCTATGATTTCTAAATCTTTGTTGAAACGAAGGCGAAACGTCTCAAGTAAGTCCAGTTGTTCTTTCCATGCGGTGATTCCGACTCCAGAGTCCTGTTTCTTCTTAATACCCTGAAGATCCACTCATCACTTTATTCTGAAACCTTTGAACTGTCAGCTCACACAGTCTCTCACAGAGTGTTGAACCTCTTCCCATTTTAGTCCTTCAAAATAAAAGCTTTACTTCTCTTATAAAAATATTTCGTAAACAGTTCGGATCGTCTTTACGACAAAGTTTTGGCAGGACTTCGTAAGAAACAAAGACTGAATCTGCGGCGAGTTTCCGTCACGTGGATTGTTGAGGTTTTCTGAAAGTTTCTAAAATCTGTCGAGTCTCGGATCCTCGCTCTGTTTTCCACCGTCGGTCTTATTTTGGGAAAAGTCGTAACAGCCTAATTTTAGTCGGTTTTCCAGACGAGTTAAAAACCTTGACAGAGAGGATTTGGCTGCAGGGTTTTTAACAGATGCTTGGAATAATTGAATTTTAGGGGGCAGACCTAATAACTTAGAAACTAATAGGGTTCGAGACTTCATTATGAATCTCAGGAGGATGTTTTTAGGGTCATGATTTCGGTAAAAACTCAACGGTTTATCGCGGCGAAGCGAGGGAGCAGATGAGGAGAGCGTGTCGGTGTTGACGGGTTGAATCTCTCTAAATGTTGATAATGACGGCCTCTGAATGTTCGACAGGCAGACGGCGTGTTCGCACGCGCACGCACAGAACGGAGGATGAGACAAAGTCGTCTGTTTGTTGACGGGGGATTTGTGGGGAGCGACGGAGGAGGAAAAATCGAGCGACCCTTTTTTCTTCTTTAAATGAAAACGGCAGAAATGTATCGCTCCCCGCTGCTCCGCGCGGAATAATTAAGGACGGAGATGCAAAAGACTCCTTAATTAGATTTTTTAATTATTGAGGATTCACTTCTCCTTCTATAGTGGCCCAATTAAGAAAGCTCATCAAAAACTAAAGAGATGAAGAGAGGCCTCCTCCTCCTCCTCCCCTCCTCCATCTCCTCTTCCTCCATCTCCTCTTCCTCTCATTTGACAGAAATGGACTACCTGCTCTCCGTTTGATGGCTTGTCCTCGCTGATGAGCGGGAAATGGAAAGGACTCTCGCCGACTTTAATTAACTTGCTTGTTTTCACGGCCGCGCTGAAAGTAAAGCGGAGAAGAAGAGGAGACGGTAAAATGCGGCGGTGGCGTTAAAGCTTTGCTTTAACGATAATGAGTCTAATGATGGCGGAGATGGCACCGAGGTAATTTGACCTTCTTCTCTTCTGGCGGCGGTTTGAGTTCGCTTTGTTCTCCTCCTGATGAGGAAACATTTCAGAGAAGTTTGAGCGGCGGAGGAGGACGAAGAATGAAAGAGAGACAAATCCAACTTAGTCCAGCGCTCCTCCACCTGAAAGGCCGACCGTTAGGAAGAGTGATCAGACCGATCTCCAGAAGATCAGCTGATCCATCAGAGCGAACGTCTGCGGCCTTCAGAGAGAACGTGTCTGCAGACGAAGACGATGGTGGAGGAACCCGAGAGGATCTCTGAGGACAAAGTCAAGAACCGGAGAGAGAGAGGAGGGCAAGAGGAGAGGTGAGAGGAAAGAAGAGAAGAGGAAAGAGGGGGAGGAGAGGAGGAGGAGAGGATCTCTGAGGAAAAAGTCAAGAACGTAAAAAAACTGAAAAAAAGAGGAGGAGAGAGGAGAGGGGAGAGGAGGAGAGAAAAGGAGAGCAGAGGAACCTGAGATGATCTCTGAGGACAAGTCAAGAACATAAAAAAAACAGAAAAATGGAGGATGAGAGGAGGAGAGAAAAGGAGAGGAGAGAAGAGGAGGTGAGAAGAGGAGGAGTGAGAGGATCTCTAGAGGACAAAGTCAAGAACCGGAGAGACGGAGAGACAAAAAAGACATGGAGGAGGAAAAAAAGAGAGGAGAGGAGGGCAAGAGGAGGTGAGAGGAGAGGGGGAGGAAGAGGAGGAGAGAAGAGGAGGAGGAGGAGAAAAGAGAGAAGGAGAGAGGGGAGTGGAGGAGGAGAAGGAGGAGGGGGAGAGAAGAGGAGGATGAGAGGATCTCTGAGGACAAGTCAAGAACGTGAAAAAACAAAAAGACAGGGAGGTGGAAATAAAGAGAGGAGGGCAAGAGGAGGTGAGAGGAGAGGAGGAGAAAAAAAGAGAGGTGAGGAGACAAAAGAGGAGGAGGAGAGGGGAGGAGGAGGAGGTGAGAGGAGAGGAAAGAGGAGGAGAGGAAAGCGGAGAAGGAGAGGTGAGAGGAGAGGAAAGAGGACAAGAGGAGGGGGGAGGAGGAAAAAAGAGAGGAGAGCAAGAGGAGGTGAGAGGAGGGGGAGAGGACAGTGGAGGAGGAGGAGAGGGGAGAGGAGGAAGGGAGGAGAGAAGAGAGGAGGAGGATAGAGGAGAGGAAAGAAGAGAGTAGTGGGAAGAAGGGAGAAGAGAGGAGGAGAGAAGGAGAGAGGAGCAGGGAGAGGAGGAAGTGTGTGTGTTCTTGTGTGTCTGAAAAGCAAAGGGACGGAATAAACACACCGTTCTCCCTCTCTCCCTCTCTCTCTCTGTCTCTCTCTCTCTCTCTCTCTTATAGGCCAAACTATTTTTTGTTTTTTTTCAGTCGTGTCACTGATTTAAAATCATCAATAAGTATTTTAAACAATCATCAATATCAGTTACAATAATCTTGATTGTGATTTTTCCAATAATCCAGCCGCTCTGTGTTTGAGTTGACGGACATTCATGATGATTTAACACTCTGAACGTCGAACTTATACAACCTCATATAAAAATATCCCTTTAAATTCAGACTTTAACGTCCCTTTAAAACGATCATTTAAAACAGTGGGATCAATGCTGTGGTAACAGGAGACGAACGTGAATGATCTGATGGCGTTTGTACGAGTCGGAGGAATTAATTGGTGAATGAGATAAATATGGAGCAGGAGGAGGAGGAGGAGGAAGAGGAGGAAGAGGAGCGGCGGTGACGGAGACCTCTTCAAAAGTTGTTTATTTCTCAAGTCTGTCTAAATGAAGTGAAACCGATGTCTGCCTGGAAGGGAGAAAATCAATCTAAAAACATGGACTAATGTAATGTATGCACGGTTTGTAGTCAATGGGCTATATCGTGCAGCTCCACCGCTGTGCCGCTTTAAAGACGACGTATAAAAAAGACCAAGAGGAGGAGGAGGAGGAGGAGGAGGAGGAGACGCACAGCTGGGAGTTGGTGCTTTTCTGGGCCTCCTCACCAGAGCCCTCACTAAATTAACATCCCAGTCACTCTGAGACTCTCCAACCTCCCCCCCTGGGCCCTGTCCTCCCCTCTCCTCGCTCCTCCGTCTCCCACCTCCATCCTCGTAGCCCCTACAGTCCCACAGGAGCCAAATAAAGTAGCCTACGAACACTGAGCATTAATAAACGGGTACCGAAGGGGGGCTGGGAGAGGAAATAAGGAGGGAAAAAAATGTCCTACTTTAACACTTGTCACTTTCCCACCCTCTCACACTCCCACCCCTCCTCTTCCTCCTCTTTTTTTTTTTTTTCCCTCTTCCTTCTTCTCTCCAATTTCAGTAAGTGCTGCCAGTCTGCAGGCCTGTCGCTGAATAAACAGTTATGGAGGGAGGAAGAGCAGACGAGAGGACATTTACTGTGTCGTTTCCCTGGGGGGATTTCTCTTTAAATTACCTGTTAAATGGCCTCCAGGGGCAGGACTCCAACACGCGTCGGTGTGTGTGTGTGTGTGTGTCAGCGTGTGTGCCTGCTTGTGTGTTACGGCACGCTACGGGGCATTTTCCTCCATTTCACACATGCCTTCCCTCCCCAAGGCATGTGGCATTGTGAGGAAAAAAAAAACGAATTAAAGCGATTCTGTCCTTATGCTCCTCCTCGGTCTTCCTCTGCCGCTCCCCACTTTCTTCCTCTTCCTCCCTCTTTCCGTCTCGCCAGTTCATCAGCAAGCGGTTATGTTCGGTGTTTGACCGCGGAGTCGAGGGAGTCAGGACGCCGTGGCCCGCTGTAAAAAGTGTCCACATGGGAAGCGGTATCGCCCCCTGTTTTTTTTTTTTTCCAGCAGATGAGATGATTCCTCCTCCGAACGCAGATTCATTTACCGCAGCAATTTATCCCGAACAAGAGAGAGAAAGCAGATTAACTGGGATTGATCCACTTGCATTAAAATGAGGAGAATAAACAGAAATAAACGACTGTTTTTACCTCATTTCGCAGTCTGATGTGAGAAACGTCTCATTCTTATTCCAGGCGTAATTCACTCTGTTTTTTTTATCCTCATCATTTTACATTTAATTTGGATTTAAGCCGCACATTTAGTCCAAGAGAATACCTTTGAGCCACATTATGTTAACTCGTATTTTCTATAAACACAAGATGAAAAATAGAAACTGTGCAACTAAAAAACAGGGACGTCAGACTGTGAAGTGTCTCATCCAGCCCAGTCCGATCACTTTAAGATGGTATTCAGGATTCCTGCAGAGCCCAGATTAAAGAGTTTAAAGAGTTTAAAGAGTTGATCCTAAAATTTTAAGATTAAATTAAAATCATCTGATTCTGTTTGTTCACATGTTACTAAAACTGGACTTTTAAAATGCACCTAAACACGAGTCTGACTGAAATCACGCTAAAGTCGGACTAACCTGCACAGATCTTTACTCAGTCAGACCCAAACTGGACCAAGTGTTCTGCACACGCTCTGTAGTTTGCACACTGACCTTTGACCCGAAGGTTAACTGGCGTAAATGTGTCGTACCTACGACCGCACGATAAATCGTTTTTTAATCATAATCAGATTATTTGATCATGATGATGTTAAAAAACTTTAAATCATCAAATCGATTTTCCTCTTTTTCATGTCTCACACCTCCAGGCCACCGTAGGCTCCTCCTTCCCAGTTGTTTACCAGTGTAAACAAACATGGCGTTTGCAAAAGAAGGCGATAATTTCGTGGTTAAATAGGACAAGAGCGAGTCAGTCGTGTTGAATTGGTACGACTTCACAGTTTCAGATGAAGAGTAAACCACTCCCCGCTGTAAAGTCTGTCTGAAGGCGGGATCAACCCGTCACCACGGAAACTAATTCAGAAGTAAACACTAAAGTTTTTTGTCGTATCGGCGTTTCAGGTGACTGTAAACGGTACTTTTTGAAAACGGGTCAGAGAGTGAATAAATCTGTAAACGACGACCATTTCATCTCCGTGTGGATGTCTATCAGCGTTACAGCGCCACTTACTGGCTCGGCATATGTACTACATCGTTTTCAGTGGTTTTGTTTTGAGAGATGATAGAAAAACTTTTTATTAAAGTGAAGTTTGGTGAAGTTGTAACTGAATAAAAAATCAAAAACCAAAATCGAGGATTTAGAGAAAAAAAATCTGGATTTTGTTTTTGGCCAAAATCGCGCCGCCTTAGTCGTTCCTCCGCAGAAGAAGAGAAACATATTTGTCAAATTGTCCGAAGACCTTTACGGTTGATCTCTCCGATGTTTGCCTCTCGCTGGTGCGTTTCTCGATTGTTTCGGTTTATAATGTAATGACCAATCAGGAGATGGCAGCACATGTCGTCTCCTCGTCCGTTTTAGTAAATCATCGGCTGTGTCCGAAACGAATCACTCCGTTCCTAACCTCCATATGGGGTTTCACTTTATAGCTGACGATGTAGTGAACTCAATCACCCAAAGTTTTGGAAACTACATGGCAAGACAGGGATGCCCGCCACCGGCAAGTGACCATCAGATGGTCACTACATTTTGCAATGCTCTATGGGAAATTTTGAGTCGGCTACATGGGGCACTGGAACTGATCTTTCTGGTTTCGTACACCCCTCAAAATGGCGCTAACCCCCATGTAGTCGCCTATATAGAGGTTCAGGATCCATTTTGGACACAGACAGTGTAAGAGAGAGCCGTGGACTCCACTCACACCTGGTTCAGCGGACGGCCCTCAGTCCATCAGGTACTAACTTTGGCCTTTAAAACTCTTGTTTGGAGCTCGGCGCTGGTTCCTCCTGGGATAACTACGAACCGGATCATTGAATCTGTTGACTATGAAACAGGATAGAAGAGATTTACTCGAGTATCCTGATCAAACCCGCTCCTTCTACTTCCATTAAATCAAATTCACTCTCTCACAGTCCTTAAATGCGATCTCCTTCTCTGATCCTACCTTATCTCGGCCTCGAGGCAGATCCAGCCCCCCTCAAGGCTCCTGTTTCTGGTCTTCGGAGGCTCCTGATTCTGGTAGGACGTGTGTGTTCGTCACTCTCGATGGATTCCTCCCCGTTGGTCGGTGAACATCAGTGCTTTAGTATTTCTGCTGGAAACGTCTCAGAAGAACGCTGGGTTTCTCCCAGTGAATCACACGTCCCGGCCAAAGTGGTTTTTGGTTGGATGTTTTTAAATCTCTGGTTGAAATCTGTGCTTTTTCTCAAGAACTGATTTGCATTTGAAACCCGCGCCCAAATGGCATGAAATGGAGTCGTTTCATTCTGGCGTAATAAGACTTGTAATAACTCGTTAAGGTGCGTTTCTTCCTCCTCCTGAAAAGGATGTTTCAGGATGGTTTTTTTTTGCAGCGTGCCGAGACCGCAGGGTTCATCTTTTCCTCGAGGGCTCATCAACCACAGCGTGTCCCCTTCTGCTGCGCTGGCACCGGGATCATGTTCCTACCGTTTGCCCCCCCCACCCCGCGCCGGATGCAGGAGAGAGAGAGAGAGAGAGAGAGAGAGAGGGAGCTCCCCCTAAACCCTCTCACACCTCCTGAACACGCCAGCCGCTCTGGATGATCTGGCTAATCTCCACGATTTACACGCCGAAACACAGAAGACCAGAGGAGACACGAGAGGAGGAGTCCCTCTTTTCTTTTTTTCCTCTTATTGTCTTTCTTCTCCTCTCCCTCTCCTCCGCCCCTCGCTTCCTCCTCTCCACCGAGAAGAACTTTGAAATAATTTGCGTCTCGTGGGTTTTTTTTTTTACACATTCTAATTTCCAACTAAATGGGACATCTGTTTGAGAAAGGGAAGATTTGCCACGGTTGCCAAGGCAACTATCGCTCTGAAAGAAAAAGAGGGAAGGGGGGGCAGGATGCGGAGAAAAGAGGGAAAAAAAGAAGTCCAACAGCTTTTATGGACAGAATTAGACTTTGGTGGAATATTATCCCTGCAAGACAAACAGCAGCAGCAGGCCCGTGCGCTCTTCCTCCTCCTCTTCCTCCTCCTCCTCCTCCTCATGTTTTCCTTCCTCTCATCCTCTTCATCATCCCACTTTACCCCCATCCCTCCATCTTCTGTCTCTATTCCCCCTCCTCTCACACTTCCTCCTCTCCTTCCCCCTCGTCCTTCTTGCTGCAGCATCATCAGAAATATCAGTGTGAAATCTGCCTCCAATTAGAGGCCTAAACCCCCGTGTCCCACCCCCACTCACGACAGCTCCTCCGCCGTCTGAAAACGTCTCATCCGCCTGAGCTGAAGCCCACCTCACACTTCCTGGTAATTGGTCATTATCTAGAACAGGAAGGGACAAATGTGCTTCCCCCAGCGCTTCTAAATGCGAGTTAAACGGCTCGTCATTACGCCCGCACTAACGGGAAGGAGAGGCGGCGGTTGTGGGTGTCGGGGGGTCTTGGCTGTCGTGTAAAAGAGCCACATGCAGCTGTCCAGACATGACGGGACGAGGTGTGGGAGGATTTCTCCTCGTCTCCCTTCAGGTGACGGATCGTGAAGGTTTGTTTGAAGGCACGGAGTCGCAGAGTTGGGAAACAGGTGAAGCAGCGAGATCTGGAGGAGGAGGAGGAGGAACAACGCTCTCTGTTAGCAGCGCCAATAATGTCTGACTTTAGAGGAATATCAGCAGCTCAAGAATACACTCTTATTTGTGAGCGTCTCTTCCGATCTCTTCGCCGATGTTTGACGGATAGTAAAACTGTGGAAGCTTTGAAAAGTGGAGAAGCAGCTTCTGTAAAACATGCACAACAGAAAATACACATAGTAGTCTGCATGGTTTAAAAACTTCACCAAACAATCACTGCAAATAAATCAGGAAGTTTCCTGCTAGCAGACATAACCCCGTCCTAAGAAAAGACTGTACGTCTGTGTGTCCTGCAAGCCGTGAACAGACAAAAACAAGACAAAAAATGGTCATTGTCGTTGTTTTGGCTCTTATGAGACTTTAAAGAAAAAGACATTTTTGTAACGGGTGGTTTGTGTCGGACTGCTACAATCGCTCACTTTTGTCGTGTTTTTTTTTCAATCTGGCGCTTTAAAGACGTGATTTGCGGTTGGAGATATTGGTAATTATTATGAACCTCGTTTCTATAGCAATCATGGTCCTAATAGTGCGATCTCCACAAAGTGAAGAGAAAAAAGATCGGAAAAAATCTGTTCATCCTATCAGGTGTAGGGCTGCAAAAACATCGACCAATGGGAGCCATCCATCCGGGATGCGATATTTTTTTTTTTGTAGGATGGTAGAAGAAAGTCCCGCCTCCTTCGCCTCTGATTGGCTAGAAAAAAATGGAAACGTCATCACACGCTCAAGCCAAACGTTGGCTGTCGGCTCTGAACATCGGACAGAACATTATTGCAATTCTGAATCTCCGAACCCGACAGACGACGACGTTTCATTAGGAATAAGCAATTGGAGCCCAGCGCTTCTAGCCAATCAGAGGCGAAGGAGGGCGGGACCTTCCCCAACGATTCTACAAAAAAAAATTTGCATCCTGGACAGCTCCTATTGGTCAGTCTCCTGCTCCGCCTCTCCATCCAATCACCTCGCTGTATTCGACACACCCCTCTCCCGTAGTTCCAACTCGTCCCCTCCCACTCTCCCGGCCCTCCTCGGAGCTCTGAGCGGCTAAAAGTAGCGTAGCAGCTTAGCTTCAGGAGCTGACGACTTCTGCTCGCCACACCGCCAAAAGTGGGAAAAAACGCAAGAAGACAGACGAAAGGGCGGAGTCAAAGAGGAAATGTGACCAAGCGAGGAATCTAACGTGAACAAACATCAGGTCATCCTTGGAGCGGTGGAGAAAACAGACGCAGAGACAGCAGAGTTTTAGTTGAACGGGTCATTTTTGTACTTTTTGTCGTGTTTCTTTAATCTTGTGCTTTAAGTTTTCGTCTCGACATAAACCTCAGAGGATTTTCAGAACAGGAGAGCTGACTTTGGTCAATCCAGCAAACCAGTTTGTGGTGGTTTTGGCGCTGTGGGCAGGTTCCAGGTCCTGCTGGAGAAGGAAATCTACTCAATAATACTCAAAAGACCGACAGCAGCAGATGACGTGGCGCCTCAATCAGCACCGTGGATTCTGGACCTTCTTGATCTTGATTTCTAAATTCGATGCTCGGCTAACTTTGATCTGAAAACTGGACTTTAAACCTCTGAGTCCAAATGTCTCTGATTCAGGAGGGTCTAGAGGAACACTTGTAGTCCACTTCCTGGACTCTTGATGCTCCGGCTCCAGACTCAGTCCAGTTCTCGGTCACCTTTTCCTCCCTCACTCTGACCCAAAGATGTTTTATGTTTGTTGAAATTCAGCGTGACTCTAATGAACACGAGTACGCCTGAAACCTTGAAGCGGATTAAACTTTGTTTGTTTTGGAGGTTCAGACAAACGGCGGTGAGCTCAGAGATCCGCAGACGAACAAACGGTTTCGTTGTTTCATTAAAGTGCTGTTTGGTTTCTTCAGGAGGTCGTCTGAAGCGGGACAGCGTCTGTATTTGTCAAAGGTGTTCCCGCAGTAGCAGCTCTAACCCGTTCTTCGGCGTGGGTTCAGTCCAAATTAAAGAAACGCCCCGCCTCGGTTTTGGCGCCCCTGAGCCCGGCACGCCGCTCCAGTCAGACCTCCTGTGTCGCCTGTGCGGCTCTAAGCTTCTGTAAATGACGCCACACCTGCATGTTTGCACACACTCCCACAAACACGCTGCAGCCTCCACCTGCTGTACCCGGGGAGGCTAACGCGGCGCCGAAACCATGTGCTCTGAAGCAGCCCGTCCTCCTCCTCTGCACATCCAGCTCTCGCGGCGAGCGTCCGCAGAGACCCCGCGCTGATCCCCTCTTCCTGCTTCTGTTTGTCTGCCCATCTGCCCGTCTTCACATCACTCCTCCTCCTCCTCCTCCTCCTCCTCCTCACGTTTTCACTTTTAAAAATTTTTACACGCTTCACTTTGGCCGATTAGCGCATCGTTAGCGTGTTTCCACGTCGGCGTTCGCTCCCTGTGAGAGCCTCCTCCGGCGGGAGCTCATTATCGCCGGGCATGAAGTTGACTGCCAGGGTCCCGGCTGATTTGTCACATCCCAGTTCCCCTCCTGCCGCCAAAGCCAGCAGATTGGGGGTGTTGTTGAGCTATTTGTGTGTGTGCGTGTGCGGGGTGGAGAGGATTGTCTGGAACGGCGTGCTCCTGGGAGCCACACAAAGCGTTTTTCTACGGCCCGTGCTTGTTACTGTCTTGTTTCCTGACAGTAACTCTTGTCGGCGGAGAGGGACGGCGGAGAGTCACACGGCTGCGTGTTGAGAGCGTTTTCATGTGGCGTTTGTCATGTTGCTGGTATTGTTTACAGTAATTTATGCGGTTGTGTTTATGGCTCCATGTTGTACTGGGAAATGGAAATGGCGCCGCGGCAGAGCGTCATCCACTCAAAAGATGCATGAGATGAGCTGGAGGAAGGAAATCGGCAATGAAGGCGAAGATTTATGACTCAGAGAGACATTTTCAGCGCGTCGGCTTCATCAGAGTGGAGACAGATTCATCCGGAAGAAGCCTGACAACTCTTTAACTAAAGTAGTCGCTGTCAGCGTCTCTGAAATCGCAGCTTTCTGTCTGCCGAGACGAGGAAAAGGAGAGTCTGGGTTTCATTTCATCTGTTAACATGTTAAAGCGAAGGAGGGAGGGAGGGAGGGAGGGAGGCGTGGAACCAAATCAGCCGGAGAAACAGAAAAAAGTGAAAAACCAAGAAAAGTTTTCAGAGTTCGATTAGTCAAGACTCGGACCCGAGTCCTCGGAAACCCCCTTCAATATTTCACCACGTTAAAACCCCTAAAACAGATCCAACTTTTACACCAACGACCAGATGATCCCAATTAGACGATTGTCAGAATCACTTTTATAATTACACATTTATCTGCTGCCTTTTATCTCCTTCTGCTGACTGCGGGAAAGTAAATGAGAGATTCGTCCCTCAGTCAGCGATAGATAGTCAGCGTTGATAAGTCAGACCGCCTGAGAGGGTCTTCAAAACTCCAGGGTCCCTGAAAGCTCTGGTTGGAGGTCTTTGGTGATAATTTGGTGGAAACGATGTTGGAGAATGAAAAATAAAAGTCATCCCGGTGATTCAGAGTCAACGTGAGTCAAACATCAGGAAACGTCTAATTCAGTATCTGCAGGGTCGTACTTCTTCAACATGTTACGCACAGTTTGGGTTCTTTCTACGAGTCTTAGACCACCGAGAGAGAGAGAACTGATCATGGTCGAGGGAAAGGTCAAAGCCGTCCAATCAGAGAGGACGAGACGTCGGGTAAGAGAGGCGGTAGAGATGAGGAGATCAGACATGGACTAAAAACATGTCAGGAAGAGCTTCAAATCAGAGGACACACCTGTCCTCCAGGGCGGCACGATTTTGGTCAAAAATAAAATCCAGATTTTTTTCTCTGAAAACTCGATTTTTGATTTTTTTTTCAGTAATAACTTCACCAAACTTCACTTTAAAAATATTTTTTTTTTCTATCGTCTCTCAAAATGAAACCTGAAACGATGTAGTACATATGCCAAGCCAGTAAGTGGCGCTGTAACGCTGCACAGGAAATCATACAGATCATCATAAAGGTCGTTTTGGCGCCATAAAAGAGTTCCTCTGTGTGTCACATGATCGTTTCCAGAGATGCAGATAGACATCCACACGGAGATGAAATGGTCGTCGTTTACAGATTTATTCACTCTCTGACCCGTTTTCAAAAAGTACCGTTTACAGTCACCTGAAACGCCGTTTCCGTGGTGACGGGTTGATACCACCTTCAGACAGACTTTGCAGCGGGGAGTGGTTTACTCTTCATCTGAAACTGTGAAGTCGTACCAATTCAACACGACTGACTTACCATGTTTGTTTACACTGGTGTGTGTGGGAACTGTGGGAAGGAGGAGGAGCCTACGGTGGCCTGGAGGTGTAAGACATGATAGAGAGGAAAATCGATCTGAGGATTTTAATTTTCATAATCAAATAATCCGATTACGTTCTAAAACCGATTGATCGCTCAGCCCTTCTGTCGTCTTCCTCTGATTCTAACTTCACTTTTCAAACTCCAGCAGAAGTTCTCACCTGTCCTGTTTTCACTTTTTGCTCGTTACCGTCACTCTCCTGCTCCTCCTGTTTTTTTTAACAGTTCTTAACAGTCCTGACAAGACTGGAGCCAAACCGCTGAAATTCGCCTCTGGGTTTTGTTGTCGGTTTAATCACAAGGTGGAGAATCATCCTGATAAAATCTGTATGAACTAAAGTCGGCTCTGTTTTCGTTTGTTTTCTCCTGACAGCTTCTCCTCGGCCTGCAGAACTTCGGACAGATTCATGATTGCAAAATCAAATCTGCAGAACTCCGAATTTAACCAAAAGAAAATAAAGTTTGCAGACAAATGAAAAAGTTGGAGTTCTTTTTAGTGTTTGTGCGATACAAAAAGTCTGAAAATCAGAGTCGTGTTTCTGAATATTTGATCCGGTTGAAGAGTGACGTTCTGCATCTGTCAGCGTCTACAGATCAATACTCAGCAGCTGAAGTTTGATCACTCTCCTCGTAGGATTTACATCGAGGTTGTGCAGCATGACACGGTCCCTCTCTGGAGGTCTGGGATCAGTTTTGTCTCTGTGACATCGGACCTGATTAGAGAGGCTGAGAGAGGAAGAGGATGAAGAGACGAGGAGAGAGGGAACCGGGGACTCGACTATTCATCTGTCACTAATCCTGCGCATGATTCCCTCCCTCTGTTTGTCTCCCTCTCTCCCCTCTGTGCGAGCGTCCTCATGTCTTTGTTTGGCAGTCATCTCTCTCTTCCTCTTCTTCACCGCCTGCTCTCCGTCTTTCTTTGTCTACGTTTCCATCGCTCCTCATCCCAGAAGTCTCCTCATTTTCCTCCTTTTCTTACTCATCACTACCCCTCCTTCCTTCTCTGTGTGTCCTATTAAAACGGGGAACATGGAGACAGAGACCTGCCAGGTGTGTGTGTGTGTGTGTGTGTGCGTGTGTGTGTGTAATTGACGAAGGCCTCGAGGTGTGATGCTTCAGCATTTCCGCAAACAAGCAGATTTTACCGCCTCAGGGATGAATGGATGGATGTACGGATGGATGGATGTATAGTTTAGAGGGATGGACAGAGTGAGTGAACGTGTGAAAGCTGGTGTGAAAGCATGAGTCTGAGGGGGCGCAGCTGCAGCTGACAGACATCACCTTGGGAATGGACGGGGAATGAAATCCGCGCCGTTCGAGGAGAGGACGGCAAATTTTTGCAGATAATTTTCATGTGACAGTCGACGTTTTTCAGACGAGTCTTTCTGCAGGAAAAATGATTAACGCTCGGAGTCGCTAATTAAGGCGCTCGTTTCTTTTAAATGCTTTTTATTGCTCTTTCCTGCTCTTGCTGTCGTGCGATAGAAAAGAACTCCTCCCTGTTAAAACCGTCCGGCGCTGAGTCCAGTTTTTCATTTTTTTTAACCTACTTAAAAGGATTTCGTCCTTTTCCTCGTTACGTGTTTCAAAGTTCTTACTCGTCCAAATATAAACGTCTACAAAACAGGACAGACTCGGGTCATGTGGTGAGACAGTTGAGTGTCATCGGCGTAAAATGATCATTTATGGGACAGTGTGTGATAATGATTCCAAGTGGAGGATAACCCCCAATTTCCACCGCGTCCGGAACGGCTGCGAAAAGGTCGTGCCCGCCGATCGTAGCTGATCGTAACCATTCAATTCTGGACTTTCTTGAGACGTTTCGCCAAAAGATTGTTACCCCCCAAGTAACCCAATTCTTGACACAATCTACTGCTTATATGTCTATGTGTCTGTCGTTATAGAGACAACTCGTTATCGTGCGATTGAACGTGAATCTGCAGGTTCTTGTGAGTTCTCACGATTCCTGCTGTCCGTAAATCGAAATTCGCCTCACAAACAGATCTGGTAGGAATTGGCGTACGGCGAAAGTCGCAGTCATTTCGGATGTGTTGGAAATCCCGGGTTACATTGGAAATAAAACAGGCCCAAGAACGCTGCCCTGAGGGACACCATCTTTGAAATCACGTGCTCCTGAACACAGTTCGTGATTGACGAGTAAAATACTGATCTGAGGAAAGTTAAGTCGTACCTTTTTAGTCTTTCTTTGACTAAATTTCATATCATTAACTGAATTTAGTTTGAGTGTTTTATCATTTATCTGTTTCTAGTTTTAAAAACAGGATCGTCTTTTATTGAGCTATTTCAGCACTCTAATTTTAGTATCTTTTTACTTTATCTCTTTTTTTATTATTTTTTAAATTTGACCTTGTCTTAAGATTTTAACCCCATCTCCTGTGTTTCCTTATCTTGAATTTTAAGATTGCGTTTATTCCCATTTTTTCCAAATCCGGCTCTTTTTAAGTTAACGCATTTGATAGTGCAATAAGATAAAGATTGATTGATTGATTGATTTACAACTTTAAGTCAGGAGTACTATTTCTGTCTGTGCTGACTTTGGCGCCCCCTGTGGACAAAGCAGGAACCCTTCTATTGTTGCTAACTTTGTCTAAATCTCCCCCTCTTTTTACGTTGAAAAGTTTCTCTCGCCGTAAAGAAACGGTTCAGTCTGCCCAGACACGTGTATTCAAGAGGGAATCTGAGTAAATGTTCACCGACGGTTTTACGACCAGGAGGAACATCGTTCCTGAAAACTGTAATTACTCCGTCTGAGACAGTTTCCACTTCAACGAGAGGAAAATGAAATGAACGCCGAGTTCCTCCGACTGAATCTTGACTCAAACAAAGACGGAAATGAAAAGACTGTGAGACTGATACACACCTGTAAGATACACACCTGTAACTGTGATACACACCTGTAACTGTGTACTCCTTTAAAATAATGAAAAGACGTCGGGTTTTTAAAAGATTGAAGATTTTAAAGCTAAAAAAACACGAGTCTGTCTTTGCCGGAACAGAGAGAGAGGACGGTTTCCTGTTCGTTAAATTAGTTTAATCCTGACGATCAGAAACAGAAATCATTATTAAACCTGTACTAAAGGTGTGTGTGTGTGTGTGTGTGTGTGTGTGTGTGTGTGTGTGTTATAGTGATATACAGCATCTGTCTGATATACTCTACAACCATATAGTGTCATCACATATGTGAGTGTGTGAGAGGTTTATGCTGATGAGTGTGAAAACTGTGAATGAGGACAGCTGTGAGGCTGGTGACTAACACACACTCACTGTTGGTCAGCTACACACACACACACACACACACACACACACACACTTTAACACACACACACACACACACACACACCAGCAGCAGCAGCACTGTGAAACTCCTGTATGTGGAGCGTTTCTTGGTGTCCTCTCACTGTTTCTTTCATGATGCTCCGTCTATCTCTGTGTGTGTGTGTGTGTGTGTGTGTGTGTGTGTGTGTGTGTGTGTGTGTGTGTGTGTGTGTGTGTGTGTGTGTGTGTGTCAAATGGGCAGATGTCCCCCCTCTGTGTCCCACAGATGGGCTCTGGGATGCCACAGTGTCCTTGTCCAGGATTCACAGGATGCTTGGACACACGCGAGCAAACTGAACCCAACTGGGCCCTCTGCTGAGAGTGTGTGTGTGTGTGTGTGTCTGTGTGTGTGTGTGTGTGTGTGTGTGTGTGTGTGTGTGTGTGTGTGTCAGCAGAGGAAAGACTGTGTCGTTTTTCAGTGTGTGCAGATCAGAGCTCCGGCAATCTCTTAATCCTTCCTCGACTTTCTGTTGAGACCCCTGCTGCTCTCACTGCTTACCTGCAATTACACCATTACAGATCTGTCTGTCTTACACACACGCGCACTTAAACACACACTTTCACACACACTCGCTCAGCGCAGGAAACCGTTTGCTCTCACCATGTGCAAAAATGCTGTGGGTTTTTTTTCTGCCAAATTAAAATAACGGTTTAGGTTTCTCTGAAATGTGCAGCTGCATGTTTAAAAAATCAGATTTAACTGACAAAGATATAAATATAGAAATCAAACACTGGTCCAGATGTATTTATAAGAAGCGTAAAGATGATTTCCCCGTCAGGACTGTTCCGAGTGCAGACGGAGGAGGAGAGAGAGAGATCAGAAAACAGGTTGTACTGCTCCTTTAATCTGCCCTTCCTGTGACCGGGGCTCCACCTGTGTGCTGATGAGTGAGTCCTCGCACCTCCAACCTCTCTGCAGAGAGGCAGATTGGGGACATGTTGGCCCTCAGCATGACTTATGTAACTCACAGCAGGCCACAGGACACACACACACACACACACACACACACACAGATGCAAAGGTGTGCACACACTCATCCTGTAACATGATCCCGACATCAGTGATTAATCTTACAAATGATTTCATTTCATTGAAATTTCAGTTGAAACTCTTCTCTGGTCCGAGTTTGATCAGTCGGTCTTCCTGTCGGCATGAAGAGCAGTAACCTACAGTATATATACAGTATATAGTATAATGTTGTATATATGTATCTTTTATAACGTCATAGAAATTTTAAAAAATCGGCCGATTAATCGATAATCAAATTCTTTTCCTCCCTAATAATCGTCTTTGGCCCAAAAAAATCCATATCCATCGGGCCCTAATAAAATGACCTGTTCAAAAAAAGTGTTTTTTTGTTGTTTTTTTTTTGCGTCCTTCTCTGTCACAGCTCCTATCGGCGATTATTATTTTTTTTTGTTTGATGGTAGGGGAAAGCTCCGCCTCCTTCGCCTCTGATTGGCTAGAAGAGCTGAAAACGTCATCACACGCTCAAGTCAAAGACGAGCTGTCGGCTCTGTACGCCAAACAGAACATTATCGCACTTTTGAATCTCCGAACCCGACAGACGACGACGTTTCACTGTCATGAGGAATAACCAATCAGAGGCAAAGGAGGGCGGGACCTTCCCCTACCATCCTTAAAAAAAAAAATTTGCGTCCAGGATGGATGGCTCCCATTGGTCGATGTTTTTGCAGCCCTGGGCCTGATAGGGTGAACAGATTTTTTCAGATATTTTTTCTCTTCACTTCGTGGAGATCGAACTATAGGACCATGATCGCCATGGAAACGAGGTTCATAATAATTACCAATCTCTACAATCGTCGACCATGCCAGAGTCTGAGAAGATCTGATCTGCAAACTTCAGGTCTGAGAAATGAACTTGTGCCTGATTGTCCAAGATGGCTCCTCTCAGAAACGTCTCTCATCTCTCAGGGGTGTGTGAGCGTCTTCACGTTTCTTCTTCTTCCTCTCCGTCTAAACTTCTCTCCATCTTTTATTTCACCGTCTGAATTATTCACCGGCTTTTACAGCAAGGACTTCCAACACGCCGGAGCGCTGAAAACACAGCTGGAGCCGGAGTTAAAACGCTTCAAACATCGGCGAGTGACACCTGTTGGTGACGCGGAGAGACGTGACGTCGAGGGATTGAGTCACCTGGTTGTCATGGAAACGAAGACGGAGGGAGAGTGTGGGGGGTTTCTTTCTGCTCGTCGGCGCACGTTAAAAAGTGTCGAATTAAGAGAAATGAGAGGGGCGAGTTAGGGATGGAGGGAGAGAGAGAGGTGGTGTTAGGACATAACACACACACGCGCGCGCACACACACACACACACACTCACACTCACACGGACACACACTCAGTGACAGTGAGCAGGGGGCTGCAGGCGACTCTCTGTCACATCTCTAATCCTCCTTATTGTCAGAGTCAAGATAGACTCCAGCGCTCTACTCCTCCTTCATCACTCCATCCTCTCCTCCTCCTCCTCCTCCCTCCTTCATCACTCCATCCTCTCCTCCCTTCCTCAGCCTCTTCCTCCCTCCTTCATCCCTCCATCCTCTCCTCCTCCTCCTCCCTCCTTCATCACTCCATCCTCTCCTCCCTCTTCTCCTCCCTCCTTCCTCTCCTCCTTCCTCTCCTCCTCCCTTCTTCATTACTCCATCCTCCTCCTTTCCTCCCTCTCCACAACCCTCTTTCATCTCTTCCTTTTTTTCCTCCTTTCCTCCATCCTCTTCTCTCTTCTTCTCCTCCTCCTTCCTCCTCCCTCCTTCCTCCCTCTATCCTCTCCTCCTTTCCTCTCCCTCCTCCTCCCCCCTAACTCACTCGTTTTCTCTCCATCCTGTTCGTCTCTGCTGTTTTAAATTGGATCCCTTTCTCTCTCTCTCTCTCTCTCCTCATTCATCGTCTTGCTCTCTCGCCCTCTCTCTGTTCCAGATGTGTGGGTCGGCCCGTTTTGGCATGACTTGAACGTGCGCAGTGACTCAAACGGTGTGTGTGTGTGTGTGTGTGTGTGTGTGTGTGTGTGTGTGTGTGTGTGTGTGTGTGTAGTGGGGATAAATAATGGAAGTGAAGACGACGAAACGACTTGTTCTCTCTCTCTCTCTCTCTCTCTCTCTCTCTCTCTCTCTCTCTCTCTCTCTCTCTCTCTCTCTCTCTCTCTCTCTCTCTCTCTCTCTCTCTCTCTCTCTCTCTCTCTCTCTCTCTCTCTCTCTCTCTCTCTCTCTCTCTCTCTCTCTCTCTCTCTCTCTCTCTCTCTCTCTCTCTGACTCGGCCCCCCGCTGAGCTGAGTGGGCCGACCGAGGCTAACTCTCAAATGCTCGCCATGTACCACCACGGGCAGAGTGAGCGCCCATGATCGTGCACGTTTCCCTCCGTGCGTGTGCGTGTATTGAGTCCTAACAGTCAAACCTGCAGAGAGGAGCTGATCCTGTTCTGAGGAAGAGGAGCTCTGATTCAGTTTAACCGTCTCCTTGTTATTTTTTACTCCTGTGTCTGATTTTGTCCTTTGCGTCGCCGTCATGTCAGGAGGAAGTTTCTCTTAAAACCTGCAGATTTACCTCCGTTTAAAAGTAAAATCTTCTTTTCCTGCGTTAAAACAGCAGCTGTCTCCCTCTGTAATTACTCTGTGTCTGAATCCACGTGCGTCCTCGCCGCTGTAATTACTACGTTTTAGTTTCTGGATTTGACAGGATGGTTGACGACAATGAAATCGAGGAATTAGAAGTTTTAAATCAGATTATCTTCTATTTGTGTTTTCGCTTTGACATGTTTTCCTCTTGAGCTTAAAGCCTCAAAAATGTTTTATTTCTCTGAGTATCAGGATGAAAAACAAACGTTTTCCACCCTGAAGCCTGGACCCTGATCCCAACAAGTTTCATGGTATTTCTCCTTCAGTTTGTGAAGTCCAACTCAAAATTTCACATGGAGAACGGCGGCGAAAAGGCTGTCGGCGCCGATTGCCGCCAATCGTTTCCATTCAAGTTAACGTGTCAAACTCCATCGGCTTCTGTCCGGCTGCGGTTCAGCGGGTTTCGTAGCTGGCAGCTTTCAGGTCCTCCTGTTTTCTCCGTGTGACCCCCGACCTCCACCTTCATCCTGATCGTCTCCTAAAAGGTCGTATCCTCCGATCGTAGCTGATCGTAACCATTCAAGTTAACGTGTCAATTTACACCGACTTCTAGTCTCGCCGGACTCCTCAGCTGATCACAAGAGTTCTATTTTTTCTGGACGCCGGAGCATGGCGGATAAATTCAGCACAGATTAACCCGTGCTGGAAAGGAAGTCGGGCACAGACACAAAATAAAACATCCGGCTTCTTTTCAAAATAAAACACACCATGCAAACGTGTTTTGTTTCGTAGATAAAGAAAAATATTGCCCTTACTTTACACTGTCTGAAAATCGCCTCACAAACATATCTGTTAGAAATCGGCAACCATCTTTGAAATCACATGCTCCTGAACACAGTTTGTGGTCGATGGTGTAAAATACTGATCTGAGGAAACTTAAGACGTACCTTTTTAGTCTTTCTTTGACTAAATTTCATATCATTAACTTAATTTAGTTTGAGTGTTTTATCATTTATCTGTTTCTAGTTTTAAAAACAGGATCGTCTTTTATTGAGCTATTTCAGCACTCTAATTTTAGTATTTTTTTACTTTTTTATTTTATTTAATTTTTTTTTATTTCTTAAATTTGACCTTGTCTTAAGATTTTGACCCCATCTCTGGTGTTTCCTTATCTTGAATTTTAAGATGCAGTTTATTCCCATTTTTTCTAAATCCGGCTCATTTTAAGTTAACGCATTTGATAGTGCAATAAGATAAAGACTGATTGATTGATTTACAACTTTAAGTCAGGAGTACTATTTCTGTCTGTGCTGACTTTGGCGCCCCCTGTGGACAAAGCAGGAACCCTTCTATTGTTGCTAACTTTGTCTAAATCTCCCCCTCTTTTTACGTTGAAAAGTTTCACTCGCCGTAAAGTAACGGTTCAGTCTCAAAATAAAACACTCCGTGTTTCAGGAGGATCGTATTTCACACCATGCAAACGTGTTTTGTTTCGTAGATAAAGAAAAATACTGCCCTTACTTTACACTGTCTGAAAATCGCCTCACAAACATTTCTGTTAGAAATCGGCAGACGGCGAAAATCGCTGCTGTTCCGCATGTGGTGGAAATTTGGAGTAAGGGGTGGTATAAAAATGAAAAATGAGGATGAGGGCACAGAAACAGGACGTGAATTTATTTTCTATGTTTATTTTAAAGCAAATTTTCAACTTAAAGAAACAAAAAAAACTTCTTAAATGTGTCAAAATAATCATCAAAGTGAGTCTGTCGGCTTTTTAAAGTAGCTGACATCATATTTTCACACTGCATGAGTCGATTATGTCAAAAATACAATTAAACTAACTTTGTTTGATAATAAAGATCACAGTTACCGTATTTTTCACACTATAAGGAGCTCTTAAAATCCTTTAATTTTCTCAAAAATCCTCAGTGCGCCTTATGTACGAATTCTGTTTTCGCTGACCGACCTCGAACCGATTTTCTGCTCAAAAATCTGTCAAAATGTTTTATTACCTTTACGCCCATATTTCCTGGACTATAAGTCTCTCCAGAGTTTAAGTCGTAGACGCCGTCAAACTATGAAAAAACGTGTGACTTATAGTCCAGAAAATACGGTACTTACTCTATTTTCCATTTTGCTCGTTCTGTCCCTTTGCTTTTCAGGCAAACACAGAAACACCGCCCCCTCTCTCTCTTCCCCTCCAGTTCTTCAGAGTCCTCCTGAATGACAGCTTCAGACAGTGACACGGATCATTTGTTGATTTCGGAGTTAATCAAAGACTAAAGTCTCAGTTATCGTTCAAAAGAAAGGAGTCGGAGCGTCGTGGAAAGATCGGACGTGATTCGTTTCAGGACTAACTCCGATTTCTGCACCTGAGGCGGACCGGCAGGTGGTCTCACCTGTCGAGGCTCCTCCCCAGAGCTGCGGAGTCCTGAGGGAACGCCAGACTCCCCCCCTGTGAGTGGTTTTAATTGAAAAAGCTCCCTGATGAGGTTTACTAATTAGGAGGAGTGAGTGTGCAAACCTGTGGGTATGAGGCAGGAGATGTTTGGAGACGAAGCAGGAGGAGAAACGAGCGCCGGTTCATTCTTCAAATACGCAAGGATACCTGTTACTCTGTGTGTGTGTGTGTGTGTGTGTGTGTGTGTGTGTGGACACCAGCTCCTGCCTCCCAGGCTGTTATCAGGGTCGTTAAGTCGTGAGTAGTTAATTAAATCTCGCAGAGGTGATCACGGTCGGCTGTTTTTACTGCGCTGGTGCGTGTAATGATTAACAGGAGCTCTGTGTCACACATTAAGACGGACCTCGTTACTGTAATCCCGCTTTAATTCCTCTGTCTCGTTACGTGTGTGTCAAACTCTGGAGGCGGAGGAGGAGGAGGAGGAGTTTAGTCGACCAACCAGCAGAGAAAGATCTGATCACAGAGCAACTTTGAGTTCAACTTTGAGAACTTAGTTTTAGAAAAGTACCACAGCTGATATCGGCGCTTACTCCCTGAACTCTCTCCAAACTCTTCCTCTCTCCTCCTCCTCCCCCCCGGACCTCCCGGACCTCCCGGACCTCCGAACACCTTCACCGGTGATGTAGTTCTGAAAGATCCCCCCTCAAACACAGAAAGCTTTCCTCTCAGAGAGCAGACGGCGAGTGAGAGGGAGGTGAGAAAAGAGAGGGAGAGAGATGAAGCGGTGTGTCAAGGGGAGGGGGGGAGGGAGGGAGGAGGAGAAATGGACGGAGACATGAGATGATAGAGAGAGAGAGAGAGAGAGAGAGAGAGAGAGAGCGAGAGGGAGGGATGGGTGCTTCTCAGCCTTCGGCACAGACTCTCAATGATTCATGGACTTACTCCAGTGATATCAGGAGGCCTGCTTTAGACACACACACACACACACACACACACACACACACACACACACGCACACACACACACACACAAACTTAAACAGAGCTCAGCGCCGCCATGTTTGTGTTAAATCCTTAAACACGTTTCAGGAGAAGTTTGACTTTTTCTTCGACCACGAGGTGATTCAGGGTTTTACTGACCCGACTAAAAACACGCAGCTTTAAAACACACATCAGAAGATGATTTCAAGATTCTACCACCACTTAACACACACACCCCTGAACAAATGATTATGTACTGATAATTATTATTCTTGACTATTTTTCAAATCTTCCTTATTCTTTAATTTCCCAGATTTTCTTGGTTTATTAAGGACATTTTAAATAAAGGTGCTAAAGTTTACATTATAACCGTGGAGGAAATCTGCAGACTTTATACTGGTGGGCCAATAATAACACAAATATGAGATGATCATGTGGGCCAGGTTTGGCCCCCGGGCCTTGAGTTTGACACCTGTGCTGTACGGTCTGTTGAGTCCAAGTTTTGCTCTCTCTGTTCAGTTCTCTGTTACCGTGTCGTCAGATAATAAATAGTTGTTTTTTAAAACCTAACCTCATCCTAATGTCATTCTTTACAATACGCTTTGTGTTGTTTTGTCCGTCAAAATGGCCTCACTGGCACGTTACACACCACGCCCCCACGCTGTTCTGAGCATTATTTGTGGCTATAGAGTGGCGTTTTGGTTGGGGGCGTGGCTCTCTGTATTTCTATCCTGCGGTCGTTACGAAGCAAGCGGTCGACAACATTCATCTCTGGAGGCGGGGTCTAACTCGGTGTTACGGTGTGTTTGACCCTAAATTAATTTTACGCCTGAATATCCCTTTAAGTGTTTTCATTTCAGTTACAGGGATTTAAAAGAACTTTTTAGGACACATGATTACTTACCTGACTTTGTTGACGCCTTTATCAGCACCGGAGCTCCAGTTCGTTACCTGCCTGAACTAGCACTCTGATCAGTTTGAGGTTAAACTGACTGTCATCAGCGGGTTGATTTTACCCATAATTCATTTTGTTTATTAAAGTTTATTTCGCTCAGATTAGTTTGGACGCTTCATTAGCCTGAAAAACTTTGAAATCTGAGAACGCTTCGATTCTCTTTCATGCAGATTTCCAGCTCTTTAAAAGCGATAAAACGTCTTTGTGTTCAGTGTGTGTGTGTGTGTGTGTGTGTGGAGAAGGAAAGCACTCTTGTTTTCCTCCCTGAGCGCTGCCTGAAGGTGTACCTGGGGATTGAGCGCTCCAACACAAACATCTGTTTTCTCCTTTTTTAAACCCCAGAACAAATACCAGCGCGCCACATTAACACAATCTTTAATATGCTCCACGCTTCCCCCGATTCTCCTCCTCGACAATAACACAAATCACTTGCACCTTTGTAATCCCGTCCCTGATAGAAAACGGCGTACATCAGGAGCGGGGATATTATCCGTGGAATTACATTCGGTTAGCGTGGAGTTTGCTCGGCAAACACAGGAGTGGGTCTTTTTTACGGAGAGGATCTGGGGTCACTTTCTTCAGCAGAGATAATCTCGTTTTAGAAACTGTGATGCAGACGCCTCCAGTCGGCACGGAGACGTTTTTCTGGCACAGCGGACACAATGAGGAGGTTTTCCTGCAAAGTGAGATATAAGCGTCGTGAAAGGAGTGATTGATGTCACCAAATTAAAACAAGCTGCGGCGCTTTACGTTATAAAGGACGCTCTAATCCTCGCTTGACAAAATGATAGACCGGATCTTGTTTTACATGTGCGGCGTGACAAACTTGGAGTGATGATTTTCTTTTTAATGAGCCTCCAAAGGAATCTGGAAAGTTTTTAATTCGAGGAAGTGAAGTTTCTCGAGTTTTGGCAGAAGAAGTGTCGGTGATGGCTGACAGATTACCTGTGCTCACTTCACAGGAAACGCTGACGCTTTCTGACAGTTTCAGCAGACGGGCCTCCGACAAAATCGAGAAGACGCTTCGCTCCAACTTCTTCTACTTCACTCCAGTGTTTTTCAGTTTCCTGCACAAACTTTGTCCAGTTTGAGTTTTACAGGAAATCTGCAGCTCAAATATATAAAAACGCGTCTTTGGCAGCATGTTTACTGCGGTTTAAATGACGATATAGAAGATTTACTCTCAGCGCTGAAGTTCCTGTTTGCTTTAGCGGGTCGTGGAGAAACAGCAAAGATGCATCATCTTCAGCTCAAAGCTTTAAAATAAAAATAACACGTAATAGTGATTATTCTTCATCTTCCTTAGTCTCCGTAAAACTTTAAAACCGTGTCGTAAAGTCGTCTGAATGAACGGTTTGACGCTCGGATGGAAACACCAACATGGACGCCAAAAGGTCGATCATCGTTCTGCCTGATTTCGATGAAAAAATGCGAACATGAATTTATTTCTTTGTGCTGAAACGCCACCTAGAGGACAAAAGACAACGAAGCTATCAGTCGGGTTGTTTAAATTTGAACGATTCCGGTTCCTAACGATTCTCTATTTCGATTCTTTTAAAATGTACGGTTTTAATGAGCGCGCTAACCAGAGTCTGGAATTTTTAAATGACTTGAACTTTTTATTAAACTTTACTGTAAATTTCTCACAGAGTTATTTTAAACCAGTTTATAAATATCAATCTTTGTCGTCAGGTCGTTTGTCTATGAAGTCGAACACGGACTAAAGTTAGTTGGATATTTAAGTCGACTCATCATATACAGTAAAATCTGTTTACCGCTTCAGTGTTCGCAAAAGACCGACGTACTTGATTGTTTTACTTATCTGGTTCTGACTGGTTGTTAGAAGACTCAAAGACGTGGCACTCGGTTATTTCTACTCCATGAATCCAGAGGTGTTTGTTTGATCATGTCGGTCGTACATCGCACAGAGAACGCTGAGCGGAGTGATACACGCCACGAAAACAAGCTAGTGCGGGAACTCGGAACCAAAAAAAAAAAGAACCAAAATTCAAAAATCTGCCGAATGATTCCAGAACCGGACGTTAGTAACCGGTTCTCGGTACCCAACCCTATCGGACTAACCTCATAATTGGTCTGTTTCTCTGAATCAGACTTCTCTCCTCGTCCTCGTTTACATGCAGCTGAGAAAATCAAATGATTGACGTGAACGTGTCCTCCTCCCCAACACTAGGGGGCGATATGGGTCTTTACAGCGGCGCTGTTTCTGGTCGGTGTCAGACGTCAGAAGTGTCTACAACTGCTGCTGGGCATTTTGGAGAAACAAGAAGATGGAGCATCGTACAGCGTTGTTTTTGTCCGACATGATGGACGCGCTACTTTTTCTAAAGAGGAGACCAACGCTACTCCTCTACTCTGGGGGTTTTGTTACGGGGTTACGGGGGCGTGGCCTCATACTCCGACTACGCTGGTTACATGGTAGAGAAAATCAAATTCCAATCAGATTATCTGGGTGTCTTAATCGCAGTTCTCCGACTCAGATTATAGTCGGACTAAAGTGTTTACATGACCTTCAGTTGTCCGGTCTTAATCGGAATAAGGCGATAATTCGGTGTAGTGTCATGGAAACGTACTTCGTCCAGTTGTCCTTTCCATGTGTAGATTCCCACTCCAGAGTCATGTGACTAACCTGTTGGACATAGTTGGTTTGAAATCATCTGAAAACCATAAAAATCTGTTTTATTTCCGATCATTTTAACCCTTAAATGTCTTTTAAACTTCGTCCCTCAGAGTTCGTAGTTCTTCGACTCCAATCAGAGTTCTCAAACTTCGATTATAGTCGGACTACGGTGTTTACATGACCTTCAGCTGTCCGGTCTTAATCGGAATAAGGCGATAATTCGGTTTTCTCGAATGTCATGGAAACCTAGTAAGCGTGGATTAACTCTGAGACAGCTGCGCTGACTCCGCCCCTTTTTTTTTCCTTAGATTCAGGTCGTCTCTAAAGCTTTATTTCCGAAGGTTAAGGAGGATGATTCTGATTTTTGAAGCTTAGAGAAAGAAAATAAAAATGTCCCACAGGAAACAGAATCGACCTGAACTCTAAATATTTGAGCTTTAAAAGGTTCGTTTCTTCTTCTTCTTCTTCTTCTTCTTCTTCTTCTTCTTCTGCACACAGAGGTCCGACCCTCCGCCCTCCTCATCCATCTTTCACTTTGTTTGTCCAGAGGAGTCTCCGTCTGTCCGTCTGAGTCTCCCGGCGTAGAAACCTCCTCTCTTCTCCTCTTCTCCTCTCCTCCGTCAGCTCCTCTTTCATCCCTCCATCCACGCAGAGCGAATCAGGAGCATCAATCGCGGCGCCGAGTTCATCTCATTTTAATTGAGACGTCCGTGTTAAGACGGACATGAATATTACATCCGGAGGGGTCATTAATATGCTGAGGCCGCTCTAAATGTTTGAATACCGCCGCGCTGAATTATTGAGGGTGTGTTCACGGGCGGCGGCGGATCGGGCCTCGCAAATGTTTAGTCTCTGATGTTCAGGAAGTGAGGGAATTTTAATCGGCTACGCTGCTTAAAGTAGGACGTTATCTCCCATGATGCACCGCTGCACGCGTTCGACCGAACCCCTTTTTTAGCCGGTGACCACAGAGTCGCTTTCTGAGCTTCTTCTTCTCGACGAGACGCGAAGACAAAGAAAGAGCGTGACAGGTATTTCTTCTTCCTGTTTGTCTGTTTCCCCATCTGTCTCTGACACACACACACACACACACACACACACACACACACACACACAGGAAATTATTCCAAAAACTCCTCGTCTGATGTTCCACTGAGCACAGACGCGTGGGGCAGCGGCGGCGGCGGCGATAAAGTTGGCGTTTCGAGTGACTGCACTTGGCAATTTAAAAAGAGGCCGGTTGCACAGCGGCGGCGGCGGAAGACGTCGTCGCCTGCGGTTGCGCTCACACACACGTGCTGGCGTCTCGGAGAGGAAGATGGATCGGAGTACAGATTGTAAGTGACATGTTAATTTCTTCTCCGTCACTCAGCGCCCGCCGTCCGCTATCAAAGTAAAAGGGACACGAGCCCCCCGCCATCAACGCTCTCTTCTTCTCCTCTCATCTCTTCCTGTCGTGGAGCGTTCTGGGGTGTGACTGTGATCACAGAGACGCTGAGTGCGGCTTTCCCCGGGTCTGTTTGACTCATGAGGCGCTGTGGGCGTGTCCTCGTCTGAAAGGTCAAACCGTGTTTAGGAGGAAGAGGAGTGAGAGGTCGGCTTGGATCGAAGATCTCTGGACTCTGGACGAAGAAGAAGAGTGTGTGTGTGTGTGTGTGTGTGTGTGTGTGTGTGTGTGTGTGTGTGTGTGTGTGTGTGTGTGTTGGAGAGTTTCTCCAGCTGGAACGAAAAACAAGAATAAGCTTGATTCTGTATCACGTTCACCTTTAGGGTTTGTCCACTTGAAGTTACGCAGAGTTCAGTTAAAGGTGGTGTAGT